AGAGAGAGAGAGACCAGAGAGAGACCAGAGAGAGAGGCCAGAGAGAGACCAGAGAGAGACCAGAGAGAGACCAGAGAGAGAGACCAGAGAGAGAGACCAGAGAGAGACCAGAGAGAGAGACCAGAGAGAGAGGCCAGAGAGAGACCAGAGAGAGAGACCAGAGAGAGACCAGAGAGAGAGACCAGAGAGAGAGACCAGAGAGAGACCAGAGAGAGACCAGAGAGAGACCAGAGAGAGAGAGACCAGAGAGAGAGGCCAGAGAGAGAGACCAGAGAGAGAGACCAGAAAGAGAGGCCAGAGAGAGACCAGAGAGAGAGACCAGAGAGAGACCAGAGAGAGAGACCAGAGAGAGACCAGAGAGAGAGACCAGAGAGAGAGACCAGAGAGAGACCAGAGAGAGACCAGAGAGAGACCAGAGAGAGAGAGACCAGAGAGAGAGGCCAGAGAGAGAGACCAGAGAGAGAGACCAGAAAGAGAGGCCAGAGAGAGACCAGAGAGAGAGACCAGAGAGAGAGAGACCAGAGAGAGAGACCAGAGAGAGAGAGACCAGAGAGAGAGAGACCAGAGAGAGACCAGAGAGAGAGACCAGAGAGAGAGAGACCAGAGAGAGAGAGACCAGAGAGAGAGACCAGAGAGAGAGACCAGAGAGAGACCAGAGAGAGAGAGTCCAGAGAGAGACCAGAGAGAGAGACCAGAGAGAGAGACCAGAGAGAGAGACTAGAGAGAGAGACCAGAGAGAGAACAGAGAGAGAGAGACACTAGAGGGAGAGACGCCAGAGGTAGAGACACCAGAAGTAGAGACCAGAGAAAGAGAGACACCAGAGAGAGAGAGACCAGAGAGAGAGAGACCAGAGAGAGAGACCAGAGAGAGAGAGACCAGAGAGAGAGACCAGAGAGAGAGACCAGAGAGAGAGACCAGAGAGAGAACAGAGAGAGAGAGACACTAGAGGGAGAGACCAGAGAAAGAGAGACACCAGAGAGAGAGAGACCAGAGAAAGAGAGATACCAGTGAAAGAGAAAGACCAGAGGGAGAGACCTTCACCCAGACTCAACCACACATGGTCCCCAGCTACACTGAGTTTGAGACCTCAGCTTTAGAAAACGTCTCTCAGCTGTTTTCTTTGGTCTGACTGAGTCCGGGTTTTGTCCCTGTGAGCCCTGTGTGTTCCTGTGAGTCCCTGTGATTCCCTGTGATCCCCGTGAGTCCCTGCGAGTCCCTGTGAGCCCCTGTCAGCCCTGTGACCCCTGTGTGTCCCTGTGAGTCCCTGTGATCCCCGTGAGTGCCTGTGATCCCTGTGAGTCCCTGTGAGCCCCTGTCAGCCCTGTGAGTCCCTGTGAGCCCTGTGTGTCCCTGTGAGTCCCTGTGTGTCCCTGTGAGTCCCTGTGATCCCCGTGAGTCCCTGTGAGCCCTGTGTGTCCCTGTGACCCCTGTGTTTCCCTTTGAGTCCCTGTGATCCCCGTGAGTCCCTGTGAGCCCTGTGTGTCCCTGTGAGTCCCTGTGTGTCCCTGTGAGTCTCTGTGAGCCCCTGTCAGCCCTGTGAGTCCCTGTGTGTCCCTGTGATCCCCGTGAGTCCCTGTGATCCCCGTGAGTCCCTGTGATCCCCGTGAGTCCCTGTGATCCCCGTGAGTCCCTGTGATCCCCGTGAGTCCCTGTGATCCCCGTGAGTCCCTGTGATCCCCGTGAGTCCCTGTGATCCCCGTGAGTCCCTGTGATCCCCGTGAGTCCCTGTGATCCCCGTGAGTCCCTGTGATCCCTGTGAGTCCCTGTGATCCCCGTGAGTCCCTGTGATCCCCGTGAGTCCCTGTGATCCCTGTGAGTCCCTGTGATCCCTGTCTACCATAGTCTGATTACTCCGTCTGCCTCAGTCTTTGCCCAGTGCTTACGAGGCTCTTTGTGCGGATATGAAGTTAAGGAGGAATGTGCCGCTGCAAGGGATTCTGGGTAAATAGGAACACACTGGCGGGTCACCGTCTCGGGTCAGTCCCAGTCTCGGGTCAGTCCCAGTCTCGGGTCCGTCCCAGTCTCGGGTCGGTCCCAGTCTTGAGTCGGTCCCAGCGAAGACAGTTTTTTAGTTTTATTATGACGTGAGTAGGTTTTCACAGCAGGAAGTGTGAAGTAGTGACTGAGTGTTATGCTGTAAACAGGGTTAGTGTAGAAGTGCCACATGTCTCTGGGGTCTCTCTCTCTGGTCTCTCTCTGGTCTCTCTCTCTGGTCTCTCTCTCTGGTCTCTCTCTGGTCTCTCTCTCTGGTCTCTCTCTCTGGTCTCTCTCTGGTCTCTCTCTCTGGTCTCTCTCTCTGGTCTCTCTCTCTGGTCTCTCTCTCTGGTCTCTCTCTCTGGTCTCTCTCTGGTCTCTCTCTGGTCTCTCTCTCTGGTCTCTCTCTCTGGTCTCTCTCTCTGGTCTCTCTCTCTGGTCTCTCTCTCTGGTCTCTCTCTGGTCTCTCTCTGGTCTCTCTCTGGTCTCTCTCTGGTCTCTCTCTGGTCTCTCTCTGGTCTCTCTCTGGTCTGTGTGTAGTGATGGATTTTACAGCCTGAAAACACAGCTGCTACTTTACTGTGTGTTACTTTCAGAACACATCACCCCTGTGTTAAAGATACTGCGTTAAAGATACTGTGTTAAAGATACTGCGTTAAAGATACTGCGTTAAAGATACTGTGTTAAAGATACTGTGTTAAAGATACTGCGTTAAAGATACTGTGTTAAAGATACTGTGTTAAAGATACTGCGTTAAAGATACTGTGTTAAAGATACTGCGTTAAAGATACTGCGTTAAAGATACTGTGTTAAAGATACTGTGTTAAAGATACTGTGTTAAAGATACTGTGTTAAAGATACTGCGTTAAAGATACTGTGTTAAAGATACTGTGTTAAAGATACTGTGTTAAAGATACTGTGTTAAAGATACTGTGTTAAAGATACTGTGTTAAAGATACTGTGTTAAAGATACTGTGTTAAAGATACTGCGTTAAAGATACTGCGTTAAAGATACTGTGTTAAAGATACTGTGTTAAAGATACTGCGTTAAAGATACTGCGTTAAAGATACTGCGTTAAAGATACTGCGTTAAAGATACTGCGTTAAAGATACTGCGTTAAAGATACTGCGTTAAAGATATGTTTCAATGCAAAGTCAATTGTGACGCGCTTTGACGCTCGAACGTGTCGAAAAGCACGGACCGCGCTGGGAAAGGGAGGAACGCAGGAGATGAAGTTTGCTCAAACTTTCCTCGGGACGTTTGTGCAGCGACCAATCAGAGAGCAGCAAAGTGGTCACATGGACATTAGTCTGAGCGAGCAGACTGAACATACTGTAAACAGCCAAAACAGGAGCTACACCAGGACTAAACCAGGACTAAACCAGGACTAAACCAGGACTAAACCAGGACTAAACCAGGACTAAACCAGGGTTGACAATGGAGGACTCTGTGCTTGTGAACATGTGTGTTCTCATGCTCCCGTGACTTTATGCAACTGCTTTGAGTGTGTTCTTGATGCGGAAATACCGTTTATAATAAAATAATCTTATTGCGCACCTCCGTGAACACATACTGCTGTTATATAAAGTCCGTGGAAGGTCTCTGAACACAGACACGCTGCAAAGCTGAATATTGGAGAAGATCTGTGCACAAGAAGCCGCTAGCATAGCTCTGTTAGCATCAGAGCCTGCCGGCTACTTCCGGTGCTGGCCAGGACCTCTGGTCTGAAAACTAGAGAACGTGCGTTTCAGCGTTGCCGGTCTGAAAGCACCATTAAAAATACTTTGTTAAAGATACTTTGTTAAAGATACTTTGTTAAAGACACTTTGTTAAAGATACTTTGTTAAAGACACTTTGTTAAAGATACTGTATTTATTCATGGTATTTCCTCTGACCTTTGACCTTTGTGTGTGCAGTGCTGCCGACCTGTTCTCCGCTCGACTTCCACTGTGAGAACGGGAAGTGCATCCGGAGGTCGTGGGTTTGTGACGGCGACAACGACTGCGAGGACGACTCCGACGAGCAGGACTGCCGTGAGTGAACACACAAGGACCAGAAACCATACCTGTAAACCATGTGGGTAAACCATACGTATATGTAGAGCCAGCAGCACTCTGAGGCCCTCTACAGGTGGGAGGGTGGCAGTAATTTAGGTAAGGCCCTTTGCACCAGGCAGAGAGAGAGACCAGAGAGAGACCAGAGAGAGACCAGAGAGAGACCAGAGAGAGAGAGAGGCACCAGAGAGAGAGAGGCACCAGAGAGAGAGGCCAGAGAGAGAGAGGCCAGAGAGAGAGAGGCCAGAGAGAGAGAGGCAAGAGAGAGAGGCCAGAGAGAGAGAGGCCAGAGAGAGAGAGGCACCAGAGAGAGAGAGAGGCCAGAGAGAGAAACCAGAGAGAGACCAGAGAGAGAGAGAGGCACCAGAGAGAGAGAGGCACCAGAGAGAGAGGCCAGAGAGAGAGAGGCCAGAGAGAGAGAGGCCAGAGAGAGAGAGGCAAGAGAGAGAGGCCAGAGAGAGAGAGAGGCCAGAGAGAGAGGCCAGAGAGAGAGAGGCCAGAGAGAGAGAGGCCAGAGAGAGAGAGGCAAGAGAGAGAGGCCAGAGAGAGAGAGAGGCCAGAGAGAGAGAGGCCAGAGAGAGAGAGGCCAGAGAGAGAGAGGCCAGAGAGAGAGAGGCCAGAGAGAGAGAGAGGCCAGAGAGAGAGAGAGGCCAGAGAGAGAGAGGCCAGAGAGAGAGAGAGGCCAGAGAGAGAGAGGCCAGAGAGAGAGAGAGGCCAGAGAGAGAGAGGCCAGAGAGAGAGAGAGGCCAGAGAGAGAGAGGCACCAGAGAGAGAGAGGCAAGAGAGAGAGAGGCCAGAGAGAGAGAGGCCAGAGAGAGAGAGAGGCCAGAGAGAGAGAGGCCAGAGAGAGAGAGGCCAGAGAGAGACCAGGGAGAGACCAGGGAGAGACCAGGGAGAGACCAGAGCGAGACCAGAGAGAGATCAGAGAGAGACCAGGGAGAGACCAGAGAGAGACCAGAGAGAGACCAGAGAGAGACCAGAGAGAGACCAGGGAGAGACCAGGGAGAGACCAGGGAGAGACCAGAGCGAGACCAGAGAGAGATCAGAGAGAGACCAGAGAGAGACCAGAGAGAGACCAGAGAGAGACCAGAGAGGGACCAGAGAGAGACCAGGGAGAGACCAGGGAGAGACCAGGGAGAGACCAGAGAGAGATCAGAGAGAGACCAGAGAGGGACCAGAGAGAGACCAGGGAGAGACCAGGGAGAGACCAGGGAGAGACCAGGGAGAGAGACCAGAGAGAGAGACCAGAGAGAGACCAGAGAGAGACCAGGGAGAGACCAGGGAGAGACCAGGGAGAGAGGCACCAGAGAGAGAGAGGCCAGAGAGAGAGGCCAGAGAGAGAGAGGCCAGAAAGAGAGACCAGAGAGAGAGAGACCAGAGAGGCACCAGAGAGAGACCAGGGAGAGACCAGGGAGAGACCAGGGAGAGACCAGAGAGAGATCAGAGAGAGATCAGAGAGAGACCAGAGAGGGACCAGAGAGAGACCAGGGAGAGACCAGGGAGAGACCTCTTTCTGGTCTCTCTTTCTGGTCTCTCTCTCTCTCTCTCTCTCAGGTCTCTCTCTGGTCTCTCTCTCTGGTCTCTCTCTGGTCTCTTTCTGGTCTCTCTCTGGTCTCTCTCTAGTCTCTCTCTGGTCTCTCTCTAGTCTCTCTCTGGTCTCTCTCTGGTCTCTCTCTAGTCTCTCTCTGGTCTCTCTCTGGTCTCTCTCTAGTCTCTCTCTAGTCTCTCTCTGGTCTCTCTCTAGTCTCTCTATCGTCTCTCTCTAGTCTCTCTCTGGTCTCTCTCTGGTCTCTCTCTGGTCTCTCTCTAGTCTCTCTCTGGTCTCTCTCTGGTCTCTCTCTAGTCTCTCTCTAGTCGCTCTCTGGTCTCTCTCTGGTCTCTCTCTAGTCTCTCTCTGGTCTCTCTCTGGTCTCTCTCTGGTCTCTCTCTGGTCTCTCTCTAGTCTCTCTCTGGTCTCTCTCTGGTCTCTCTCTGGTCTCTCTCTGGTCTCTCTCTGGTCTCTCTCTAGTCTCTCTCTAGTCTCTCTCTGGTCTCTCTCTGGTCTCTCTCTGGTCTCTCTCTAGTCTCTCTCTAGTCTCTCTCTGGTCTCTCTCTGGTCTCTCTCTGGTCTCTCTCTGGTCTCTCTCTGGTCTCTCTCTAGTCTCTCTCTAGTCTCTCTCTGGTCTCTCTCTGGTCTCTCTCTGGTCTCTCTCTGGTCTCTCTCTAGTCTCTCTCTAGTCTCTCTCTCTGGTCTCTCTCTAGTCTCTCTCTGGTCTCTCTCTGGTCTGTCTCTGGTCTCTCTCTGGTCTCTCTCTGGTCTCTCTCTGGTCTCTCTCTAGTCTCTCTCTGGTCTCTCTCTGGTCTCTCTCTGGTCTCTCTCTGGTCTCTCTCTGGTCTCTCTCTAGTCTCTCTCTAGTCTCTCTCTGGTCTCTCTCTGGTCTCTCTCTGGTCTCTCTCTGGTCTCTCTCTGGTCTCTCTCTGGTCTCTCTCTGGTCTCTCTCTGGTCTCTCTCTGGTCTCTCTCTAGTCTCTCTCTGGTCTCTCTCTGGTCTCTCTCTGGTCTCTCTCTGGTCTCTCTCTAGTCTCTCTCTAGTCTCTCTCTGGTCTCTCTCTGGTCTCTCTCTGGTCTCTCTCTGGTCTCTCTCTGCTCTCTCTCTGGTCTCTCTCTAGTCTCTCTCTAGTCTCTCTCTGGTCTCTCTCTGGTCTCTCTCTGGTCTCTCTCTGGTCTCTCTCTGGTCTCTCTCTGGTCTCTCTCTGGTCTCTCTCTGGTCTCTCTCTGGTCTCTCTCTGGTGGGGCAGTAGGACCCAGGGGTTGCAGGCTCCGCAGGGACCATCAGAGGATCGAATGACCATCAAACCAGGTTCAGTTTCCGGATGTGGAGAATCTGAGCCGAGCGGAAGGACTGGAGGATAGAGTGTCCAGCCTGAGGGAACGACACGGGGAGAACAAGCAACATCCAGATGTGGTCATGTGACATCACAGAGAGGTCTGTATGTATCCTGGTAACTATGGTAACTGCCAAAACTATTTCTATCATGTATCTGTAATTCTACAGACAATCACACGAAACAAACGCTGCCACAAAGTTCTATGTCTTTGTTGTCACTGTATGCAATGGTTTCTCTCTGGTCTCTCTCTGGTCTCTCTCCCTGGTCTCTCTCTGGTCTCTCTCTGGTCTCTCTCTGGACTCTCTCTGGTCTCTCTCTCTGGTCTCTCTCTCTGGTCTCTCTCTGGTCTCTCTCCCTGGTCTCTCTCTGGTCTCTCTCTCTGGTCTCTCTCTCTGGTCTCTCTCTCTGGTCTCTCTCTCTGGTCTCTCTCTCTGGTTCTCTCTCTGGTCTCTCTCTCTGGTCTCTCTCTGGTCTCTCTCTCTGGTCTCTCTCTCTGGTCTCTCTCTCTGGTCTCTCTCTGGTCTCTCTCTCTGGTCTCTCTCTGGTCTCTCTCTGGTCTCTCTCTCTGGTCTCTCTCTGGTCTCTCTCTCTGGTCTCTCTCTGGTCTCTCTCTGGTCTCTCTCTCTGGTCTCTCTCTGGTCTCTCTCTGGTCTCTCTCTCTGGTCTCTCTCTGGTCTCTCTCTGGTCTCTCTCTGGTCTCTCTCTGGTCTCTCTCTGGTCTCTCTCTCTGGTCTCTCTCTCTGGTCTCTCTCTCTGGTCTCTCTCTGGTCTCTCTCTGGTCTCTCTCTCTGGTCTCTCTCTGGTCTCTCTCTCTGGTCTCTCTCTGGTCTCTCTCTCTGGTCTCTCTCTCTCTCTGGTCCCTCTCTCTCTGGTCTCTCTCTGGTCTCTCTCTCTGGTCTCTCTCTGGTCTATCTCTCTGGTCTCTCTCTGGTCTCTCTCTCTGGTCTCTCTCTCTCTCTGGTCCCTCTCTCTCTGGTCTCTCTCTCTGGTCTCTCTCTCTGGTCCCTCTCTGGTCTCTCTCTGGTCTCTCTGGTCTCTCTCTCTGGTCTCTCTCTCTCTCTGGTCTCTCTCTGGTCTCCTTCTGGTCTATCTCTCGTCCCTCTCTGCTCTCTCTATGCTCTCTCTCTGGTCTCTCTCTCTGGTCTCTCTCTGGTCTCTCTGGTCTCTCTCTGGTCTCTCTCTGGTCTATCTCTGGTCTCTCTCTGGTCTCTCTCTGGTCTCTCTATGCTCTCTCTATGCTCTCTCTCTGGTCTCTCTCTGGTCTCTCTCTGGTCTCTCTCTCTGGTCTCTCTCTCTGGTCTCTCTCTCTGGTCTCTCTCTCTGGTCTCTCTCTGGTCTCTCTCTCTCTGGTCTCTCTCTCTGGTCTCTCTCTGGTCTCTCTCTCTGGTCTCTCTCTCTGGTCTCTTTCTCTGGTCTCTCTCTCTGGTCTCTCTCTCTGGTCTCTCTCTGGTCTCTCTCTGGTCTCTCTCTCTGGTCTCTCTCTCTGGTCTCTCTCTGGTCTCTCTCTCTCTGGTCTCTCTCTCTGGTCTCTCTCTGGTCTCTCTCAGGTCTCTCATGTTGTGTCTGTAAATCCTTCTTCCGTCACCAGAGGGAGGGGAGACCAGAGAGAGACCAGAGAGAGACCAGAGAGAGAGACCAGAGAGAGAGAGACCAGAGAGAGACCAGAGAGAGAGACCAGAGAGAGAGACCAGAGAGAGAGACCAGAGAGAGAGACCAGAGAGAGACCAGAGAGAGACCAGAGAGAGACCAGTGAGAGACCAGAGAGAGACCAGAGAGAGAGACCAGAGAGAGACCAGAGAGAGAGACCAGAGAAAGAGACCAGAGAGAGAGACCAGAGAGAAACCAGAGAGAGAGACCAGAGAGAGACCAGAGAGAGACCAGAGAGAGACCAGAGAGAGACCAGAGAGAGACCAGAGAGAGAGCATAGAGAGACCAGAGAGAGACCAGAGAGAGAGACCAGAGAGAGAGACCAGAGAGAGACCAGAGAGAGACCAGAGAGAGACCAGAGAGAGAGACCAGAGAGAGAGACCAGAGAGAGACCAGAGAGAGACCAGAGAGAGACCAGAGAGAGAGACCAGAGAGAGACCAGAGAGAGACCAGAGAGAGACCAGAGAGAGACCAGAGAGAGACTCAAAAAAGTTTGCAGATGAAGTCTCCTTTAAAGTATTTCACCTTTTATTTTCTCACAAAACAGTGAGTTTTTATTTAGCTGTTTGTGATCGACAACGTCCCCCCGCCCCTTCTGCCTCAAGGCCTCACCTTCCAACTCCTACAATCGAGGACACTTCAGAATAAACCAAACACATGTATATTCTGTGACTTTGACTGAACCCGTGACAAAGAAACTCAGACGAAGATCCTGAAAGTGCAGATTCTGATCTTTACAAAAACATAACACTCTACTGTCGTCATGGCAACAAGGACAGGCCACAAAACACTTCCTGTTTCTCCGACGACCAATCAGAATGAGGTATTTGTACTCTACTCTACCCTGCTGTACTATACTCTACTCTACCCTACTCTACTTTAACCTCCTAAGACCCGAGCACTTTTTTGCAATGCATTTTTTATTTATCTTGGCTGGGCATATTGGGGCCAGATAAGAATATATACTAAGCATCATCTCTTGACATGACATTTTGAGAAAAATGCTGTCCACATATGTGGACGCTCGGTCTGAATTTCCATAAAAAAGGCAATTAAGTAACGACTGTGTAATAAAGTGCAAAACGCTTTATTTCGACACAAACATTTGATAAATGAACAATATTGAACAAGGAACATGTTCAAACATATCTCAGTGCAAAAACAGCTAAAAGAGTACTCGGATGATCCTGGGAGCTATTTGTCTGGGGATTCATGCCCCTGGTAGGGTCTCCCATGGCAGACAGGTCTCAGGTGACGAATCAGACGAAGCGCAGTACAAAGCCAACATAAATAGCATGATATTAAGAACCGTGACGTCGCCCGGCATGGCACAGGGGTTGCAGAGGCAAAAACCCGGGACTGGGAGGAGTTTGGAGCATGACTATCGGTCGGCCTTAATAAATTGAAGATATTCTGGCAAACCGTCCGGCGTCTCAGGAGAGGGATGCAGTTCTTTGCCAACACCGTGGACGGTGTAGGGCGAAGAGCTGCTGACCTCCACTGGGGATCTTGTCGGGCGGTGGAAGTAATACTTCAAGGTTCTCCTCAATCCCCCCGTCACGTCCTCCAGAACGGAGGCAGAGGTTGAGGATGTTGGGGCAGATACCTCCATCTCCCTGGCAGAGGTCACCAAGGTTGTTGGCAGCCTCCTTGGTGGCAAGGCTCTGGGAGTGGATGAGATCCGCAAAGACTATCTAAAGTCTATTGTAGGACTGTCTTGGCTGACATGTCTCTGCAACATCGCGAGGCGATCGTGGGCAGACCAGGATGGTGGTCCCTCTCTACAAGAAGGGGGACCAGAAGGGTGTGTTCCAATTATTGTGGGATCACACTCCTCAGCCTTCCCGGTAAGGTCCACTCCAAGGTACTGGAGAGGAGGCTACGGCCGATGGTCGAATCTCGGATTCAGGAGGAGCAGTGTGGTTTTCATCCCGGCCACGGAACACTGGACCAGCTCTATACTCTCCATCGGTTCATTGAGTGTTCATGGGAGTTCGCCCCCAACCGGTCCACATGTGTTTGTGGATTTGGAGAAGGTGTTCGACCGTGTTCTCCGGGATGTCCTTTGGGGGGTTCTCCAGGAGTACGGGGTATTCTGCCTTAGGGCCTTACGGGCCCTGTATGACCGGAGCAGAGCTGCGTTCGCATCAGCAGTAAGTCAGACCATGTTGACCTCGGCCAGGGCTGCCCTTTGTCACCAATTCTGTTTACTGTGTTTATGGACAGAATTTCTAGATGCAGGAGGGGGTCCGGTTCGGGGACCACAGGATTTCATCTCCGCTTTTTGCAGACGATGTTGTCCTGTTGGCTCCGAGGTGCCTTGCCCTCTCCAGGTGGGTGGAGAGGTCCTTCCTCAAGGAGTTCAAGTATCTCGGGGTCTTGTTCACGAGTGAGGGAAGGATGGAGAGTGAGATTGACAGGCGGATCGGTGCAGTGATGCGGTCGCGGTGAAGCTGAGCCGAAAGGCCTTGGGCTCCCCCCTGACAAACTGGAGTGTGTGTGGATAGGGAAGTCTCGGCATCTCTGCGACCCGGCAACGGATGAAGCGGAAGAAAATAGATGGATGGATGGATTTAACTCATAGGAAATAGACTAAATCAAAGAGCAAGTAAGCACTAATTTTGGAATTATATAGTATGCTGGAAGCACACTGGCTTGATTCAACAGGTGGCCCTTTTAGTTGATGGTGACATAGAAAAACTTGACAATAATAGCAAAAAATTCCATCGAACACAGGTGCATTCCACATGCGATTAGAACAATTTTCAACAAAACTAAGTCCTTCTGTCCACATATGTGGACATCATGTTTAGCAGTCCAGACAATTGTTTTTAAATTGTAATTATTGTAAAATGTACATGCCATGACAAACTTACATCACTTATAAAACTATCTGAACAAGAATAATCTTTGAAATCGGATTGGAATTTTTACTTGGTGGATTTTTTGGTTGGGAACTTGCATGTGAACTTTCCTGTGCGCGGTCAGCCATTTTGTTTTGTGTTAGCTTGTGTTGTAATTCCTCCAACACTGCTAGAGGGCAGTGTAGGTATTGCTGTATGTGGACCCCAGGCCCCAATAAATCAGGATGAAGTATTATGTTTGTACAGCCCAAAATGTGATGTCCACACATGTGGACGGCAAGTCTTAGTAGGATACTCTACTCTACCCTACTCTACCCTACTCTACTCTAACCTACTCTACTCTACTCTACTCTTCGCTACTTTACTCTACTCTACTATACTCTACCCTACTCTACTCTACTCTACTCTACTCTACTCTACTCTACTCTACTCTACTCTACCCTACTCTACTCTACTCTACTCTACTCTACTCTACTCTACTCTACTCTACTCTACTCTACTCTACTCTACTCTACCCTACTCTACTCTACTCTACCCTGCTCTACTATACTCTACTCTACCCTACTATACTCTACTCTACCCTACTCTACTCTACTCTACCCTACTTTACTCCCTTTGTCCCTCATGGTCCTGGTTCTATCCAGGCCGAGCTGGTACTAAAGTGTTCTAACTGACAGTGATTGGCCACATTGTTGTGGGTACGTTGCTAGGATACGGTACGAGATACTAAAGGAGTAGAGCAAGGCTAAAGAGGGCTGGTGGAAACAGGGCTGAAGTTTGGGTTAGGGTTAGGACCTGGATCAAGACTGAACCGGGACTAGCCCACGTTGGCCCGCCCCTCCCCCGTCCCACAGCGGAGATGGGTATCGACATTTTACATCCGACCTTGAAAGAGATCAATCCCAACATGTCCCTATCACACAGACCAGGACTAAACCAGGACTAAACCAGGACTAAACCAGGACTAAACCAGGACTAAACCAGGACTAAACCAGGACTAAACCAGGACTAAACCAGGACTGAACCAGGACTAAACCAGGACTAAACCAGGACTAAACCAGGTCTAAACCAGGACTAAACCAGTACTAAACCAGGACTGAACCAGGACTGAACCAGGACTAAACCAGGACTAAACCAGGACTAAACCAGGACTAAACCAGGTCTAAACCAGGACTAAACCAGGTCTAAACCAGGACTAAACCAGGACCAGACCAGGTCTAAATAATGCAGAATCTAAATATGATCCATTTAAGAATCGACCAATCAGACGCCTTCATTTTTGTAGAAACACAGATTTAAACCACATCCCTGTGTTTGTGTCTCCTCCTAATCCAGACTCAGACCCAGACTAGAGTCAGGCTCAGACCCAGACCCAGACCCAGACCCAGACTCCGACTCAGGCTCAGACTCAGACCCAGACCCAGACCCAGACTCAGACTCAGACTCAGACTCAGACTCAGACCCAGACTCAGACTCAGACTCAGACTCAGACCCAGACCCAGACCCAGACTCAGACTCAGACTCAGACTCAGATTCAGACTCAGGCTCAGACTCAGACTCAGACTCAGACTCAGACTCAGACTCAGACCCAGACCCAGACCCAGACTCAGACTCAGACTCAGACTCAGATTCAGACTCAGACTCAGACTCAGACTCAGACTCAGACTCAAACTGTTCAAACACCACTGTTTATAAATGTTTGTCTGATGTGAAAGTCTCTGGTCCAATCAGAACGATGGGACTTTCACTTCCTGGACTTACATTAAGACTGGGCCTACCAAGACTACTCTACTCTACTCTACTCTACTCTACTCTACTCTACTCTACTCTACTCTACTCTACTCTACTCTACTCTACTCTACACTACTCTACTCTACTCTACTCTACCCTACTCTACTCTACTCTACTCTACTCTACCCTACCCTACTCTACTCTACTCTACTCTACTCTACTCTACTCTACTCTACTCTACTCTACCCTACCCTACCCTACCCTACTCTACTCTACTCTACTCTACTCTACTCTACTCTACTCTACTCTACTCTACTCTACTCTACTCTACTCTACTCTACTCTACTCTACTCTACTCTACTCTACTCTACTCTACACTACTCTACTCTACTCTACTCTACCCTACTCTACACTACTCTACTCTACTCTACTCTACTCTACTCTACTCTACTCTACTCTACTCTACCCTACTCTACTCTACTCTACTCTACTCTACTCTACCCTACTCTACCCTACTCTACTCTACCCTACTCTACTCTACTCTACCCTACTCTACCCTACCCTACCCTACTCTACTCTACTCTACTCTACTCTACTCTACTCTACCCTACTCTACTCTACTCTACTCTACTCTACTCTACTCTACCCTACTCTACCCTACCCTACTCTACCCTACTCTACTCTACTCTACCCTACTCTACTCTCCCCTACTCTACTCTACTCTACCCTACTCTCCACTACTCTACTCTACTCTACTCTACTCTATCCTACTCTACTCTACTCTACTCTACTCTACCCTACTCTACCCTACTCTACTCTACTCTACCTACTCTACCCTACCCTACTCTACCCTACTCTACACTACTCTACTCTACTCTACTCTACACTACTCTACTCTACTCTACTCTACTCTACTCTACTCTCCCCTACTCTACTCTACTCTACCCTACTCTACTCTACTCTACTCTACTCTACTCTACTCTACTCTACTCTACTCTACTCTACCTTGCCCTAGCTCTACTCTACTCTACTCTACTCTACTCTACTATACCCTACCCTACCCTACCCTACCTTGCCCTAGCTCTACTCTACTCTACTCTACTCTACTCTACCCTACCTTGCCCTACTCTACTCTACTCTACTCTACTCTACTCTACTCTACTCTACTCTACTCTCCCCTACTCTACTCTACTCTACTCTACTCTACTCTACTCTACTCTACCCTACTCTACTCTACTCTACTCTACTCTACCCTACTCTACTCTTCTGTCATCTCAAAGTTCTTAGCAAAACAAGAAAAGTAACTCGACAAAAATAGTCTGTAATATTCTTTGAGTTTTTGCAGTCACAGACCTGCAGTGGTGTTCAGCTCTATCCACGCTCACATCAGGGCACGTGTAGCTCCGCCCCTTCTATGATGTCATCGTACCACTATGACGTCACACTCAGCAGTTTTTCTGACTTTAAAACAAACGAATTGCACCAAAAATTAGTTCTGATCATTTCTCAAGTGTCAGAAAAGTTTAAAAATATGTAAAAACCTAAACCGTTCTGCCACGCCCTCTGGTGGCAGCACAGGGAGTTACAGGCAATATCCTCTTCAGTAGAAAATACACAATATTCAAGTTTAAAAGTATTCTGTGACTTTATGAAAGAGAGTCTGAGTCTGAGGCTCCCAGTTCAACCATCAACAGACTGTATACAGGACAATGCTAACATGCTAACACAGACTGTATACAGATGGACAATGCTAACACAGACTGTATACAGATGGACAATGCTAACACAGACTGTATACAGATGCTAATGCTAACATAGACTGTAAACAGATGGACAATGCTAACACAGACTGTCTACAGATGGACAATGCTAACATGCTAACACAGGCTGTATACAGATGGACAATGCTAACACAGACTGTCTACAGATGGACAATGCTAACACAGACTGTATACAGATGGACAATGCTAACACAGGCTGTATACAGATGGACAATGCTAACACAGGCTGTATACAGATGGACAATGCTAACATGCTAACACAGGCTGTATACAGATGGACAATGCTAACACAGACTGTATACAGATGGACAATGCTAACATAGACTGTATACAGATGGACAATGCTAACATAGACTGTATACAGATGGACAATGCTAACATAGACTGTATACAGATGGACAATGCTAACACAGACTGTATACAGATGGACAATGCTAACATAGACTGTATACAGATGGACAATGCTAACACAGGCTGTATACAGATGGACAATGCTAACATAGACTGTATACAGATGGACAATGCTAACACAGGCTGTATACAGATGGACAATGCTAACATAGACTGTATACAGATGGACAATGCTAACATGCTAACACAGGCTGTATACAGATGGACAATGCTAACATAGACTGTATACAGATGGACAATGCTAACACAAACCAGTACACTTTTCACACAAACTGGGTCGAATTTAGCGATATGTACAGGAATAAAACATTTATTTTTTCAGTCAGCACCACCAGAGAGAGAGACCAGAGAGATGACAGAAGTAGAGACCAGAGAGAGACCAGAGAGAGACCAGAGAGAGACCAGAGAGAGACCAGAGAGAGAGACCAGAGAGAGACCAGAGAGAGACCAGAGAGAGACCAGAGAGAGACCAGAGAGAGAGACCAGAGAGAGACCAGAGAGATGACAGAAGTAGAGACCAGAGAGAGAGACCAGAGAGATGACAGAAGTAGAGACCAGAGAGAGAGACCAGAGAGATGACAGAAGTAGAGACCAGAGAGAGAGACCAGAGAGATGACAGAAGTAGAGACCAGAGAGAGACCAGAGAGAGAGACCAGAGAGAGACCAGAGAGAGACCAGAGAGAGACCAGAGAGAGACCAGAGAGAGAGACCAGAGAGAGAGACCAGAGAGAGACCAGAGAGAGAGACCAGAGAGAGACCAGAGAGAGACCAGAGAGAGAGACCAGAGAGAGACCAGAGAGAGACCAGAGAGAGACCAGAGAGAGAGACCAGAGAGAGACCAGAGAGAGACCAGAGAGAGAGACCAGAGAGAGACCAGAGAGAGACCAGAGAGAGACCAGAGAAAGTCCATAGAGAGTCCAGAGAGAGACCAGCAAGAAAGACCAGTGAAAGACCAGAGAAAACACACAGACCAGCAAGAGAGACCTCTATCGCTCTCCATCTCCAGTTTCCACATGCATGTACAATATTCATGCCTTTGTCACATCTTTAGACCAGCTTTTGAATCTCTGTTTGGTCCAACTACTGCACTTGTATTATTACTATCAAAGCCTAAAGATTTACATACCCCAGCTTTAATCATTCAGCTCTAGTGTCATACAGTAAACGCCACTTTGTCCTGTCCACTCATGCCTCTGTCTCATGCTGTGACCATCTCCTGTTCTGACTTCATTTTTCTCATCCTTCCTTGTCTCCTTTCCTTGTCTCCTTCCCTGTCCCCTTGTCTCCTCTGTGTCTTCTTTCTTCCTTGGCCCCCAGTTGAAGCCGGTGCCCTCCCCGCTAACCCCTTTCTCCCGACTCTCGCAGCAAGACCACTGGATCTACTGGACGGACTGGCAGACCAAGTCCATCCAGCGGGTGGACAAGTACACGGGGAGGAGCAAGGAGACGGTGCTGGCCAATGTGGAGGGACTCATGGACATTATAGTGGTGTCCCCAAACCGGCAAACGGGTAAGATTTCAGATTCAGATTCAGATTCATTTATTTGCCATTTGCAGTAAAACCACATAGGAAAAACTGTGCAAGACTACTAGAAGGACGTGCTGTAGGATGGTAGCTCATGGTCTGCCACTCGGAGGTGGAAGGAGGTACTGCAGCCTAAAACATCTCAGGCTGTAGGAGATATTCACAAAGGAGGGTTTTCTGGGGATTTTCTTTTTACATTTATCAGTTTTCTATAAATCCAAATTTGGGCTTTTTCTGATTTGTCAGAATGATGGTTTCTCTTTCTGGTCTCCTGGTCCCTTCTGGTCTTTCACTGTAGTCTCTTACCTGCTCATTCTCTGGACCCTCTCTGGTATCTCGCTGGTCTCTCTCTTGTCTCTCTCTCTCTGGTCTCTCTCTGGTCTCTCTCTTGTCTCTCTCTCTCTCTGGTCTCTCTCTGGTCTCTCTCTTGTCTCTCTCTCTCTCTGGTCTCTCTCTGGTCTCCCTCTGGTCTCTCTTTCTGGTGTCTTGCTGTAGTCTCTCTTGTCTTTCTGCCATTCTCTGGACCCTCTCTAATCTCTCTTGTCTCGTCTCTTTGTCTCCGTCTCTCTCTCTCACTCTGGTCCCTCTATCTTTCTGGTCTCTCTCTCTGCTCTCTCTCTGGTCTCTCTCTCTGCTCTCTCTCTGATCTCTCTCTCTGCTCTCTCTCTGGTCTCGCTCTCTGCTTTCTCTCTCTGGTCTCTCTCTCTGCTTTCTCTCTGGTCTCTCTCTCTGGTCTCTCTCTGGTCTCTCTCTGGTTTCTCTCTCTGGTTTCTCTCTCTGCTCTCTCTCTGGTCTCTCTCTCTGCTCTCTCTCTGATCTCTCTCTCTGCTCTCTCTCTGGTCTCGCTCTCTGCTTTCTCTCTCTGGTCTCTCTCTCTGCTTTCTCTCTGGTCTCTCTCTCTGGTCTCTCTCTGGTCTCTCTCTGGTTTCTCTCTCTGGTTTCTCTCTCTGCTCTCTCTCTGGTCTCTCTCTCTTCTCTCTCTCTCTTCTCTCTCTCTGGTCTCTCTCTGGTTTCTCTCTCTTCTCTCTCTCTGGTCTCTCTCTGGTCTCTCTCTGCTCTCTCTGCTCTCTCTCTGGTCTCTCTCTGCTCTCTCTCTGGTCTCTCTCTCTGGTCTCTCTCTCTGCTCTCTCTCTGATTCCCATGTTCATTACCGTCTGTCTCCTTCAGGTACAAACTTGTGTGGAGTGAATAACGGAGGCTGCTCTCACTTGTGCTTCGCCAAAACCAACAGCTTTGTTTGTGCTTGTCCCGACGAACCGGACACTCGGCCCTGCTCCACCGGTAACTCAGCCCCATCCCACAGACTGTATACATATGACTGTATACGACTGTATACGACTGTATACATATGACTGTATATAAGTGTATACGACTGTATATAAGTGTATACGACTGTATATAAGTGTATACGACTGTATATGACTGTATCCATACGACTGTATATATGACTGTATACATATGACTGTATACGACTGTATACGACTGTATACATATGACTGTATATAAGTGTATACGACTGTATATAAGTGTATACGACTGTATATGACTGTATCCATACGACTGTATATATGACTGTATACATGTGACTGTATACATGTGACTGTATACATATGACTGTATACAGTTGATGTATACAGGTGGATGTAATTTCCTGCTTAGCATTGCTGCCTGTCGCACCTCCGGTGCCCATGGGTCAGCTGCAGGGTCAGCTGCAGGGTCATCAGCCAGGAACCACCAATCACCAACGTTTCGCCCCTTTAATCCTGGAACGTCTCATGGTGGCGGAGCAGTGACAAGGACGTCTCCTTGTCACTCCCTGCAGCTGGAGAATGTTATCCCCCGCAGCTGTCATTGAGGTTAGCTATACTTTCCCCAACTCCTATCCTTCCTCCTCAACCAGAGCCAGAAGCTGCCCTTTTCCGCCTCCTCCGAAAGCTCTCTTGTGGCCCTGCGCAGCTTTCCCCCCGTGACTCCTGCATCCCTCAAGAGCCGTATCATTGACAGCCCCACGAAGCCTCGGCAGCCAACTTCAACAGGGTAGATGGCGGCCTTCCATCTAGCCTCCCGGCACTCTGCAGCCAGCTCGGAATACTTGGCCTTCTTGCACTCGTAGGCAGCCTCGATCTCCCCTTCTGATGGAACTGTGAGTTCAATGAGATGCACCACTTTTGCCTTTGAAGACCAAACCACAATGTCAGGGCGGAGAGATGTGATGGTGATCTCCGTGGGGAATTGGAGCTGTTTGTTAAGGTCAACCCTCATGTCCCACTCCTGGTTGGGGGCAAAGGGCCGCGATGTCTCTCTTGGCCTGGTGTAACTTTGCCCATCCCCTTCCCTGACAAAGTTGGTGTGGCTCTTTGCTGGTGGTAGCTGTTTGTTACCCTGTCTGCACCTTTCCAGGACCTCGGCGAGCTTCCTGAGGACCTGGTCATGGCGCCACCTGTAGCGTCCCTGGGAGAGCGCAATCTTGCAGCCTGACAAGATGTGTTGAAGGCTTGCGTTGGGAGCGTTACAGAGTGAGCAGCATTCCTCATTGCCAAACCATTGGTGCAGGTTACGAGGACAGGGAAGCGTGTCATAGGTTGAACGGATAAGGAAGCTGAGCCTCGCCTGCGGGATCTTCCACAGGTCAGACCAACTGATGTTGCGGTCGACAACTCCCTCCCAAGTTGTCCATCTTCCTTGCCGGCCCTGTGAGACGGCCTTGATCTTATAGCGCTCTTCCTCCATCCTCGTCACTTCTGCCACCACCATCTCCTTCCTCTCCTTGCGAGTGGCCTTTGACCAAAGCCGTGGTGCCTCTCCCCACCCTAGACCTGCTCTTCCTGCCTGGACTCTGCCCACGATCTCTCGATGCTGCAACCTGCTAACCGCATGGCCCACTTCGGCTTCTGCGTTCCACTTTCGGCCAGTGGGAACCTTGGCTTTTGCATTCCTTACAGACTCGTCGGTGGACTGACTCAGCTCGAGAACCAGCCTGGCCTTCTCTTGCATGTAGCCCACACTTAGGGACTGCAGTGGCAGTTGCAGCGCATTCCTCCCAAAGAGGCCAGAGTCAGAGAGGCACCGTGGTAGCCCCAACCACTTTCTGATGGAGGCGTTGGCTTTTCCATCCATCTTCCTCACGGTGGATGAGGGGATCTCACTCATCTTCAGGGGCCACATCAGTCTCCTATAGAGTGTGAATTGGTAGCACCAAACCTTGTATTTCCCAGGGAGCTCGCTTTGGTCGATCCTTGCCAGGCCGTCTGAAAGCTGTTTCATGACGGTCCTCCCCATCTGTTTATCAGAGAGCTCTGCAGAATACTCCCTCCCCAAACTTCTGATAGGTTGTTCAGACAGAAGAGGGATTCTCTCTCCCCCGACGACAAAGGTGGTGCTGTTGTTTATGACTCCCCTTCTGAGTGACAAACTACGGGATTTGGCGGGCTTGACCTTCATCCTGGCCCATGACATCAACTCGTCAAACCTTTTTAGCAGCCTAGATGTACATGCTGCTGTTTGGAGGAGACTAGTAACATTGTCCCTGTAGCTTCTCAGTGGGGGAAGCCTCTGGCCAGATGGAAGTTTGATCCCTCCCACCATCTGCCTTGCCCCTATGAGAATGATCTCAAAGGCTGCGACAAACAGAATTGGTGAAATGGCACATCCCATAGCAATTACATACATACGACTGTATATATGACTGTATACATGTGACTGTATACATATGACTGTATATAAGTGTATACGACTGTATACGACTGTATATGACTGTATCCATACAACTGTATATATGACTGTATACGACTGTATACATATGACTGTATATAAGTGTATACGACTGTATATAAGTGTATACGACTGTATATGACTGTATACATACGACTGTATATATGACTGTATACATGTGACTGTATACATGTGACTGTATACATATGACTGTATACATATGACTGTATATGACTGTATACATACGACTGTATATATGACTGTATACATGTGACTGTATACATATGACTGTATATGACTGTATATGACTGTATACATACGACTGTATATATGACTGTATACATGTGACTGTATACATGTGACTGTATACATATGACTGTATATAAGTGTATACGACTGTATATGACTGTATCCATACGACTGTATATATGACTGTATACATGTGACTGTATATGACTGTATACATACGACTGTATATAAGTGTATACGACTGTATATGACTGTATACATAAGACTGTATATATGAATGTATACATATGACTGTATATGACTGTATACATACGACTGTAAATATGAATGTATACATATGACTGTATATGACTGTATACATACGACTGTATATAAGTGTATACGACTGTATATGACTGTATACATACGACTGTATATATGACTGTATACATGTGACTGTATACATTATGGACAATGCTAACTTGCTAGCTCTAGGTAGCCGTATAGAGAAGTGCATTTTGTCCTTAAAGTAGTACTAGAATTTAATATGCTGCTATCCAGAATATATAACTACAATATGTGTTTATAATATTTCGGGTGTTCATTTTGACATGTTTAGATGAATTATGTTTAAAAAACGGCTTTCAAGTGGCACCTTTATAAAAACGCTAGGGGGCGCCAAAATGGCGGCGATGACGTAGGAGGAGGGCATCTCACAGCAGCAGACAGCAGTCTGGTTGGAAACTGTAGGAGGTTTCACTGTCATCTGAACAAGGTATAAACATATTCATCCGTTTTGTACATAATAGTGTGCAACTCTTTTAACCTTTTAGCCTTATTTGTGAGATTCAAGCTAATAAGTGTTGGGCAAGTTAGCTAACTCTACTTGATATCATAAAACATGCTAACAAGGCTAATATTTGTTTTTACATTATGCCAGTCTCACTGTGGTTGCCTTGAATTTATTTACCACAATGTACATTGTAATATTCAAAAATGCTAATAAAAATAACTTTAATTAAATAAATATTTTACTTTTATGAACAAAAAGCTGCAGAAGTTGAAAACATAGACTACATGTGATGCAATCATTGATAAAAATGCTAATTAAACCGTTAATAGGTGTTAGCATTTATGGATATTACAATGTACATTGTGGTAAATAAATTCAAGGCAACCAAAGTGAGACTGGCATAATGTGAAAACGAATATTAGCCTTGTTAGCATGTTTTATGATATTAAGTAGAGTTACAGTAGCTAACTTGGCCAACACTAATTAGCTTGAATCTCACAAATAAGGCTAAAAGGTTAAAAGAGTTGCACACTATTATGTACAAAACGGATGAATATGTTTATACCTTGTTCAGATGACAGTGAAACCTCCTACAGTTTCCAACCAGACTGCTGTCTGCTGCTGTGAGATGCCCTCCTCCTACGTCATCGCCGCCATTTTGGCTCCCCCTAGCGTTTCTATGCGGAAGTGAAAAAGTGCCACTTGAAAGCCGTTTTTTTAACATAATTCATCTGAACATGTCAAAATGAACACCCGAAATATTATAAACACATATTGTAGTTATATATTCTGGATAGCAGCATATTAAATTCTAGTACTACTTTAAACATCTGTGGTGTAGCGCTCTCTGTGACCCTGGTTTATAAAGATTGACCAATCGGGAACAACTACCACAGTTTATTTATTTATTTTTACCCCCAATAAAATGTGCATTCAGTTGGCTCCATATTCCTGCTAAAACAGCCAAATTTAGTAAACGAAGGAAGACTATGGACTCTCACCAATCACTGCCAGTTAGAACACTTTAGCACCAGCTCGGCCTGGATAGAACCCAGGACCAAGAGGGACTAAAGTAGGACCGGGTACTGGTTACACAGCCCGGTACAAACACTCCAGAGAGCAGAGAAGTTAAAATAGATGAATGAATTGTCACTTTTTAGTTTCAGGTTTTGTGCCCACGTCTCCGGCTAAAGGGACCAGCAGCACCCCGGTCCCAAAGAGGCCCAAGTCCCCCACAGACCGACCCAGCGGAGCGGCCTCAGCCAAGTGCGTACCCAGCTCCACTCTCTCTGGTCTCTCTCTGGTCTCTCTCTGGTCTCTCTCTGGTCTCTCTCTGGTCTCTCTCTGGTCTCTCTCTGGTCTCTCTCTCTGGTCTCTCTCTGGTCTCTCTCTGGTTTCTCTCTGGTCTCTCTCTCTGGTCTCTCTCTGGTCTCTCTCTGGTCTCTCTCTGGTCTCTCTCTGGTCTCTCTCTGGTCTCTCTCTGGTGTCTCTCTGGTCTCTCTCTGGTCTCTCTCTGGTCTCTCTCTGGTGTCTCTCTGGTCTCTCTCTGGTTTCTCTCTGGTCTCTCTCTGGTCTCTCGCTGGTGTCTCTCTGGTCTCTCTCTGGTCTCTCTCTGGTTTCTCTCTGGTCTCTCTCTGGTCTCTCTCTGGTCTCTCTCTGGTCTCTCTCTCTGGTCTCTCTCTGGTCTCTCTCTCTGGTCTCTCTCTCTGGTCTCTCTCTGGTCTCTCTCTGGTCTCTCTCTGGTCTCTCTCTGGTCTCTCTCTGGTCTCTCTCTGGTCTCTCTCTGGTCTCTCTCTGGTGTCTCTCTGGTCTCTCTCTGGTCTCTCTCTGGTCTCTCTCTGGTCTCTCTCTGGTCTCTCTCTGGTCTCTCTCTGGTCTCTCTCTGGTGTCTCTCTGGTCTCTCTCTGGTCTCTCTCTGGTCTCTCTCTGGTCTCTCTCTGGTCTCTCTCCGATGGTCCATGGGTCACATCTCTCTCTCTCTGTTGCAGCTGCACTGATAAAAATGAAGAAGGCTGTTTGACCAGCAGTGTGATGACGGCGCCACATGGTACGTACCTTACATAAGTCCAAACCATGTGGGAAAACTAACTGGTGTATGAATGTGCTGCAGGAGAAGGCCTCCACATCAGTTACGTGATTGGAGGAGTCCTGACCGTCCTCGCCATCCTCATCCTCATCGCGGCCTTCATCTTTTACAGGTCAGTCACATTTATCAATTCATATCAGAATTAGTGTATTTGTTCATTTGACGTTGGAAACTTTGAGATGTCTCTCTCTCTGGTTTCTCCCTCTGCTCTCTCGCTCTCTCTCCCTCTCCCTCTGCTCACTCTCTTTCTCTCTCTCTCTCTGGTCTCTCTCTGGTCTGTCTCTGTCTCTCTCTCTGGTGTCTCTCTCTGGTCCCTCTCCCTCTGCTCTTTCTCTCTCTGCTCTCTCTCTCTGATCTCTCTCCCTCTGCTCTCTCTCTCTTTCTCCCTCTCCTTGCTCTCTCTCTCTCTCTGGTCTCTCTCTCTCTCTCTGCTCTCGCCCTCTCCCTTTGCTCTCTACCTCTGTTCTCTCTCTCTATTTCTCTCTCTATGTGGTCTCTCTCTGTCTCTCTCTCTCTGGTCTCTCTCTGGTCTCTCTCTGGTCTCTCCCCCTGCTCTCTCTCTGTCTCTCTCTCTCTCTCCCCTGCTCTCTCTCTCTCTCTCTCTCCCCTGCTCTTTCTCTCTCTCTCTCTCTTTCTCCCCTGCTCTCTCTCTCTCTCTCTCTCTCTCTCTCCCCTGCTCTCTCTCTCTCCCCTGCTCTCTCTCTCTCCCCTGCTCTCTCTCTCTCTCTCCCCTGCTCTCTCTCTCTCTCTCTCTCTCTCTCCCCTGCTCTCTCTCTCTCCACTATATGTCATTAAATAATTCCTTTCTTTCTCTCGCAGACATAAAAAGTCCAAATTTGCAGACCAGGGAGTGAGTAACCTGACCTACAGCAACCCTTCGTACCGGACGTCCACGCAGGAGGTCAAGATCGAAGCCTCCCAAAAACCTCCCATTTACAACCAGCTGCGATACAAACGTGAGGTAAATATCTCACTCCCAAGTCCGCTTCAGATTCAAAAAGTTGTCCAGTTTTTATGGTTAAGCAAATCAGGCCAAACAAAGCAGGAAGTAAAGGCCCTGGTCTTAGAAGTGAAGGTCAATTGTCTATGAAGATGTGGGCGGCCATGTTTGTAGTCCGGCTCCATGTTTGTAGTCCGGCTCCATGTTTGTAGTTCTGACTGAGGACTTTCCATGAGTTAAATACGGCTTTAGACTTCAGTTTAACGCTAACCTAGCCTAGCATTATCCATGTGTAAACTCTGGTCCATGATCATCTCCTACATGTACGTCTGGGTCTGATCCTAGTGGCTGCAGTTTCCTCGGTTGAATCCCCTCCGACCAATCAGAGAGCGGGGGAGGCGGGTGTTGTAGGTCGGTGTCGGTGACGTCAAGAGTTTGTGCTGAATTTGCTGGTTGTAGTTTGTCGGAGAATGTAAAATAATCTGTTCTGGTTCAATCCAAATATCAAGAAACTGATATTTAGTTTAGCAAATATCAATTTCTAAACTATGGCTAACGCTAGGCTAAATGCTAAAGCTAGGCTAAATGCTACATGCCTCACTCACTCGGGCTCATTACATACATCACTGTAAACTCAGATCCAGTCGTTTCAATCATGTTTCACGTTTCAAACATGAAATGAGTACCATGGTGCGGTAAGACCAGGGTAGTATTGTGTTTGTTGTTTTCATGTTGATTTGTTTAAACTGGTTTTCCTCCAGCAGAACCATCCGTACAACTCCCTGTCTCCCTTTATTTTCTGATGTCAGGTACAAACGCATGAAGAGTGCATTTGGTTCATGATAAAAGATGACTGTGACATTTCCTCTCTCTCTGCTCTCTCTCTGGTCTCTCTCTGGTCTCTCTCTGGTCTCTCTCTGGTCTCTCTCTGGTCTCTCTCTGGTCCCTCTCTGGTCTCTCTCTGGTCTCTCTCTGGTCTCTCTCTGGTCTCTCTCTGGTCTCTCTCTGGTCTCTCTCTGGTCCCTCTCTGGTCTCTCTCTGGTCTCTCTCTGGTCTCTCTCTGGTCTCTCTCTGGTCCCTCTCTGGTCTCTCTCTGGTCTCTCTCTGGTCTCTCTCTGGTCTCTCTCTGGTCCCTCTCTGGTCTCTCTCTGGTCTCTCTCTGGTCTCTCTCTGGTCTCTCTCTGGTCTCTCTCTGGTCTCTCTCTGGTCTCTCTCTGGTCTCTCTCTGGTCTCTCTCTGGTCTCTCTCTGGTCTCTCTCGCTGGTTATAGATGTTATATTTTTTGGAACCTGCACACACATATTTTTTAAATAAAGATTATTTACTTCCAGACAAATAAAAAACACACATTTTTAACTTCCATCAGCTTTGAGCATGTTGTTAAAAATGTGTGTTGTGTGTTTATAGTTTGTGTTGCTGCAGTGGATGTGTGGTGCTGTGTGTGTCTGATCAGCCTGTTGTATGCAGACCTCTTTGTCCCACCAGTCTCCCCAGTCTGCCCCAGTCTCCCCAGTCCCACCAGTCTGCCCCAGTCTCCCCAGTCCCCCCAGTCTCCCCAGTCCCACCAGTTTGCCCCAGTCTCCCCAGTCCCACCAGTCTCCCCAGTCTTCCCAGTCTGCCCCAGTCTCCCCAGTTCCACCAGTCTCCCCAGTCCCACCAGTCTCCCCAGTCCCACCAGTCTCCCCAGTCTTCCCAGTCTGCCCCAGTCTCCCCAGTTCCACCAGTCTCCCCCAGTCCCACCAGTCTGCCCCAGTCTCCCAGTCCCACCAGTCTCCCCAGTCCCACCAGTCTCCCCAGTCTCCCCAGTCCCATTTCCCAGTCTCCCCAGTCTCCCCAGTTCCACCAGTCTCACCAGTCTCCCCCAGTCTCCCCAGTCTGCCCAGTCTGCCCCAGTCTCCCCAGTCTCCCCAGTCCCACCAGTCTGCCCCAGTCTGCCCCAGTCTCCCCAGTTCCACCAGTCTCCCCAGTCCCCACCAGTCTCCCCAGTCCCACCAGTCTGCCCAGTCCCACCAGTCTCCCCAGTCCCACAGTCTGCCCCCAGTCTGCCCCAGTCTCCCCAGTTCCACCAGTCTCCCCAGTCCCACCAGTCTCCCCAGTCTTCCAGTCTGCCCCAGTCTCCCCAGTTCCACCAGTCTCCCCAGTCTCCCCAGTTCCACCAGTCTCCCCAGTCCCACCAGTCTCCCCAGTCTTCCCAGTCTGCCCCAGTCTCCCCAGTTCCACCAGGTCTCCCCAGTCTCCCCAGTTCCACCAGTCTCCCCAGTCCCACCAGTCTCCCCAGTCTCCACAGTCTCCCCAGTCCCACCAGTCTCCCCAGTCTCACCAGTCTCCCCAGTTCCCCAGTTCCACCAGTCTCCCCAGTTCCACCAGTCTCCCCAGTCTCCCCAGTTCCCAGTCTCCCCAGTCCCACCAGTCTCCCCAGTCCCACCAGTCTCCCCAGTCCCACCAGTCTGCCCAGTCCACCAGTCTCCCCAGTCCCACCAGTCTGCCCCAGTCTGCCCCAGTCTCCCCAGTTCCACCAGTCTCCCCAGTCCCACCAGTCTCCCCAGTCTTCCCAGTCTGCCCCAGTCTCCCCAGTTCCACCAGTCTCCCCAGTCTCCCCAGTCCCACCAGTCTCCCCAGTCTCCCCAGTCTCCCCAGTCCCACCAGTCTGCCCCAGTCTGCCCCAGTCTCCCCAGTCTCCCCAGTCTCCCCAGTCCCACCAGTCTGCCCCAGTCTGCCCCAGTCTCCCCAGTTCCACCAGTCTCCCCAGTCCCACCAGTCTCCCCAGTTCCACCAGTCTCCCCAGTCCCACCAGTCTCCCCAGTCCCACCAGTCTGCCCCAGTCTGCCCCAGTCTCCCCAGTTCCACCAGTCTCCCCAGTCCCACCAGTCTCCCCAGTCTTCCCAGTCTGCCCCAGTCTCCCCAGTTCCACCAGTCTCCCCAGTCTCCCCAGTCCCACCAGTCTCCCCAGTCTCCCCAGTCCCACCAGTCTGCCCCAGTCTGCCCCAGTCTCCCCAGTCTCCCCAGTCTCCCCAGTCCCACCAGTCTGCCCCAGTCTGCCCCAGTCTCCCCAGTCTCCCCAGTCCCACCAGTCTGCCCCAGTCTGCCCCAGTCTCCCCAGTTCCACCAGTCTCCCCAGTCTCCCCAGTCTCCCCAGTCTCCCCAGTCCCACCAGTCTGCCCCAGTCTGCCCCAGTCTCCCCAGTCTCCCCAGTCTCCCCAGTCCCACCAGTCTGCCCCAGTCTCCCCAGTTCCACCAGTCTCCCCAGTCTCCCCAGTCTCCCAGTCTCCCCAGTTCCACCAGTCTCCCCAGTCCCACCAGTCTGCCCCAGTCTGCCCCAGTCTCCCCAGTCTCCCCAGTCTCCCCAGTCCCACCAGTCTGCCCCAGTCTGCCCCAGTCTCCCCAGTCTCCCCAGTCTCCCCAGTCCCACCAGTCTGCCCCAGTCTCCCCAGTCCCACCAGTCTCCCCAGTCTTCCCAGTCTGCCCCAGTCTCCCCAGTTCCACCAGTCTCCCCAGTCCCACCAGTCTCCCCAGTCCCACCAGTCTCCCCAGTCTTCCCAGTCTGCCCCAGTTCCACCAGTCTCCCCAGTCTCCCCAGTTCCACCAGTCTCCCCAGTCCCACCAGTCTCCCCAGTTCCACCAGTCTCCCCAGTCCCACCAGTCTCCCCAGTCCCACCAGTCTGCCCCAGTCTGCCCCAGTCTCCCCAGTTCCACCAGTCTCCCCAGTCCCACCAGTCTCCCCAGTCTTCCCAGTCTGCCCCAGTCTCCCCAGTTCCACCAGTCTCCCCAGTCTCCCCAGTCCCACCAGTCTCCCCAGTCTCCCCAGTCCCACCAGTCTGCCCCAGTCTGCCCCAGTCTCCCCAGTCTCCCCAGTCTCCCAGTCCCACCAGTCTGCCCCAGTCTCCCCAGTTCCACCAGTCTCCCCAGTCCCACCAGTCTCCCCAGTTCCACCAGTCTCCCCAGTCCCACCAGTCTCCCCAGTCCCACCAGTCTGCCCCAGTCTGCCCCAGTCTCCCCAGTTCCACCAGTCTCCCCAGTCCCACCAGTCTCCCCCAGTCTTCCCAGTCTGCCCCAGTCTCCCCAGTTCCACCAGTCTCCCCAGTCTCCCCAGTCCCACCAGTCTCCCCAGTCTCCCCAGTCCCACCAGTCTGCCCCAGTCTGCCCCAGTCTCCCCAGTCTCCCCAGTCTCCCCAGTCCCACCAGTCTGCCCCAGTCTGCCCCAGTCTCCCCAGTTCCACCAGTCTCCCCAGTCCCACCAGTCTCCCCAGTTCCACCAGTCTCCCCAGTCCCACCAGTCTCCCCAGTCCCACCAGTCTGCCCCAGTCTGCCCCAGTCTCCCCAGTTCCACCAGTCTCCCCAGTCCCACCAGTCTCCCCAGTCTCCCCAGTCCCACCAGCTCAACATCGCTCTGCTCTACTGGTCTTTAACTGTTTCTTGGTGCCTTTCAGTTGCCCTGGTTTAGGCCCCGGTTCTACTTAGACTGTGCCTTCCGACCCTCTCTCAGACCCTCTCTCAGACCCTCTCAGACCCTCTCTCAGACCCTCTCAGACCCTCTCTCAGACCCTCTCTCAGACCCTCTCTCAGACCCTCTCTCAGACCCTCTCTCAGACCCTCTCCTTGTGCCTTCAGACCCTCTCTCAGACCCTTCAGACCCTTCAGACCCTCTCAGACCCTCTCTCAGACCCTCTCCTTGTGCCTTCAGACCCTCTCTCAGACCCTTCAGACCCTCTCAGACCCTTCAGACCCTCTCTCAGACCCTCTCTCAGACCCTCTCCTTGTGCCTTCAGACCCTCTCTCAGACCCTCTCCTTGTGCCTTCAGACCCTCTCTCAGACCCTCTCTCAGACCCTCTCCTTGTGCCTTCAGACCCTCTCTCAGACCCTTCAGACCCTCTCAGACCCTCTCTCAGACCCTCTCCTTGTGCCTTCAGACCCTCTCTCAGACCCTCTCAGACCCTTCAGACCCTCTCTCAGACCCTCTCTCAGACCCTCTCTCAGACCCTCTCTCAGACCCTCTCCTTGTGCCTGTGCCCAGGGCTGCGTGGATGGAGGCTACACTAAGGAGAAGCTCCGTATCGTGGAGGGGGTGTGTCTGCTGTCTCACTCAGACCTGTCTCACTCAGACCTGTCTCACTCAGACCTGTCTCACTCAGACCTGTTCTGGGACGATCAGATAAAGCAGATCAAACCGTCGCGCAGCCTCCACACCTGCATGAGGACAGACACCGTGTCACTGCAGACCTCCAGCGCCTCCCTGGACGACGGAGAGACGGAGCAGCTGCTGCAGGAGGAGGCGTCCGAGTGCTCCTCCATCTGCACCACCCTCACCACCCTCACCCCCTCCACCCTCACCCCCACACGCCACACCCCCCACAACATGGCCGACACGGGCTGGAGCTGCCAGCGCAAGCCCTCCACAGAGAGCGAGGTCTGAGTGAGAGAAGCCGTACGTGAAGGTGGACCGCTGACTTCTGGGAGATGGTGTTGGTCCAGTTTTTCCGAGGGCTGCAGTGTTCTATGGATCACTGACCTTATGTTTTTAAAGCGTCGACTGCAGAAATCACATACATTTTAGGCATTAATCCCAATATAAGTCATCTCGGAGGACTTAAACTAACAAACTCATGGAACTCTCTCTGGTCTCTCTCTGGTCTCTCTCTGGTCTCTCCCTGGTCTCTCTCTGGTTTCTCTCTGGTCTCTCTCTGGTCTCTCTCTGGTCTCTCTCTAGTCTCTCTCTAGTCTCTCTCTGGTCTCTCCCTGGTCTCTCTCTAGTCTCTCCCTGGTCTCTCTCTAGTCTCTCTCTGGTCTCTCTCTAGTCTCTCTCTGGTCTCTCTCTGGTCTCTCTCTAGTCTCTCTCTAGTCTCTCTCTGGTCTCTCTCTGGTCTCTCTCTAGTCTCTCTCTAGTCTCTCTGGTCTCTCTCTGGTCTCTCTCTGGTCTCTCTCTGGTCTCTCTCTAGTCTCTCTCTAGTCTCTCTCTGGTCTCTCTCTGGTCTCTCTCTAGTCTCTCTCTAGTCTCTCTCTGGTCTCTCCCTGGTCTCTCTCTAGTCTCTCCCTGGTCTCTCTCTGGTCTCTCTGGTCTCTCTCTGGTCTCTCTCTGGTCTCTCTCTGGTCTCTCTCTAGTCTCTCTCTAGTCTCTCTCTGGTCTCTCTCTGGTCTCTCTCTAGTCTCTCTCTAGTCTCTCTCTGGTCTCTCCCTGGTCTCTCTCTAGTCTCTCCCTGGTCTCTCTCTAGTCTCTCTCTGGTCTCTCTCTAGTCTCTCTCTAGTCTCTCTCTGGTCTCTCTCTAGTCTCTCTCTAGTCTCTCCCTGGTCTCTCTCTAGTCTCTCTCTGGTCTCTCTCTAGTCTCTCTCTGGTCTCTCCCTGGTCTCTCTCTAGTCTCTCTCTGGTCTCTCTCTAGTCTCTCTCTAGTCTCTCCCTGGTCTCTCTCTAGTCTCTCTCTGGTCTCTCTCTAGTCTCTCTCTGGTCTCTCCCTGGTCTCACTCTAGTCTCTCTCTGGTCTCTCTCTAACAAACTCATGGAAGCCGTAGGGAGCAGACCCAGACGGAAAGGTTCTGCACTAAAATGTTAGAAATGATTCATATTCAAAGTTTCACAGCAGAAGGTCCTGGGTTCCTTTCTCTGTGGTCGGGCGAGTCTCCTCAGATCTCCTTGTGCCTCGGTGGGTTTCCTCCTGGTGCTCCGTTTTCCCTTTCATTAACAACATAGACGTACACAACAATAGATTTGAATGAAATGTAAAAGTATGAAACTACATTAAGCTCAAGTCTGTTAGCAATTAGCCGCTATACTTGACACATGCTAGCTTCCCCTAACAAACTAGCAATTAGCAAAACTCCACGCCTTTTCCTCTGATGTTCTCGTCTTTGCCACAAGAGGGCGATATGCAAACTTGAAATTGGCACTTTGGGGGTTATCGGTTCAGCCGTTTTAGGTTTTTTAGAAAATCCAACTCAAAAACAACTCACTTTGTTCCATCGGCTCCAAAATATGAATGATTTATGTTTTAAGGCTGCATAATTTGGTCCATTCTTGTTTGAAAACACATGAAAACTTGACTACTTCGTGGCTTTAGGGACGTAATAAAAGGTGAAAACGTCCGTATCATAAACGGTGGTATAATCTCATAGTTTAATCCCATATAATCTCAGTCCAGGACCAACACCTTCTCCGCCGCAGACACCAGTCCATCGTTTACGTACAGACCGACGCTAGCTTAAGCAGCTAACGGTACAATCTGAACCTGTCTGGACTCCAACTGGATCTCTGTCCCGGGACTATGAGAGCAGCCGAAACCAGCAGAGGGACAAAAACCAGGACTAATCTCTGCCACTTTGGGTCTACTACTTTGTCGGCGTAAACTCTAATGCCACTTGTCTTTATAAACTTTGTATTTAAAGATGTTTTTTGTACTTTTGAAGCTTGGACAGGAGTGGATCTACGCAGCAGGACCCAGGATTTCTGTATTTATAAATGAGGTGCCAAAGTTGGGGCTTTGTGTTGCGTTCTCTCTCGCTCTCTTCTACATTTGGAATCCTAATAATGACTATATCTTTGCAGTGGTGTGTTTTTGACCTAGGGCTGGACGAAACTGATGCAATGTTGTGTATCATATCTGCTTGCATAAGAAATGTACATGTTTGAATACACCCAAACCATACGCACTCGACCATAGATTCCGCTTCTGTATGACGTGTAGTAAAACCAGCAGAGAGTGAACCATGTGTCAATAGTTAGGACTGGGAACCGTGCTCTAGAACATGTCGTATACTCCAAGAACCTTCTATAACCTCTAGAGTAACAGATAACTTTATTTATTCACCGCCAGGATTAGTTTAGAAGGCACTCTCTGGTCTCTCTCTCTAGTCTCTTTCTGGTCTCTCTCTGCTCTCTTCTGTCTCTCTCTTGTCTCTTTCTCAAGTCTCTCTCTCTTGTCTCTCTCTTGTCCCTCTCTCTGGTCTCTCTCTGATCTCTCTCTAGTCTCTCTCTCTCTGGTCTCTCTCTCTGGTCTCTCTCTCTCTGATCTCTCTCTAGTCTCTCTCTCTCTAGTCTCTCTCTGGTCTCTCTCTGATCTCTCTCTAGTCTCTCTCTCTCTGGTCTCTCTCTCTGGTCTCTCTCTCTCTGATCTCTCTCTAGTCTCTCTCTCTCTAGTCTCTCTCTCTGATCTCTCTCTAGTCTCTCTCTCTTGTCTCACTCTGGTCTCTCTCTCTAGTCTCTCTCTCTGGTCTCTCTCTAGTCTCTCTCTCTGATCTCTCTCTGGTCTCTCTCTCTGATCTCTGTCTAGTCTCTCTCTATAGTCTCTCTCTCTGGTCTCTCTCTCTAGTCTCTCTCTCTAGTCTCTCTCTATAGTCTCTCTCTCTGGTCTCTCTCTCTGGTCTCTCTCTCTGGTCTCTCTCTCTGGTCTCTCTCTCTCTAGTCTCTCTCTATAGTCTCTCTCTCTAGTCTCTCTCTATAGTCTCTCTCTCTGGTCTCTCTCTATAGTCTCTCTCGCTGGTCTCTCTCTCTGGTCTCTCTCTCTCTAGTCTCTCTCTAGTCTCTCTCTATAGTCTCTCTCTCTAGTCTCTCTCTATAGTCTCTCTCTCTGGTCTCTCTCTCTGGTCTCTCTCTCTAGTCTCTCTCTCTAGTCTCTCTCTGGTCTTCCCGTAGCCCTCAGTCTCCTCTGCAGCTGTGTTTTCCAGTGTGCAGCACTCAGAGCTGCAACAACAGCTCTGACATCTCTCTCTCTGCTTAGAAAAGTTTTACAGCCTTAAAAACTCAGATCATCGAGGATTTCACTCTTTACCCTGTACTCTACTTAAGTATCTGCTTTACAAAGTATCTATCTGAATACATATTTATATGCATATTGACTTTACAGTCTATGGTATCTACTTTACAGTCTATGGTATCTACTTTAAAGTCTATGGTATCTACTTTACAGTCTATGGTATCTACTTTAAAGTCTATGGTATCTACTTTAAAGTCTATGGTATCTACTTTACAGTCTATGGTATCTACTTTACAGTCTATGGTATCTACTTTAAAGTCTATGGTATCTACTTTAAAGTCTATGGTATCTACTTTAAAGTCTATGGTATCTACTTTAAAGTCTATGGTATCTACTTTAAAGTCTATGGTATCTACTTTAAAGTCTATGGTATCTACTTTACAGTCTATGGTATCTACTTTAAAGTCTATGGTATCTACTTTACAGTCTATGGTATCTACTTTAAAGTCTATGGTATCTACTTTAAAGTCTATGGTATCTACTTTAAAGTCTATGGTATCTACTTTAAAGTCTATGGTATCTACTTTACAGTCTATGGTATCTACTTTAAAGTCTATGGTATCTACTTTAAAGTCTATGGTATCTACTTTACAGTCTATGGTATCTACTTTACAGTCTATGGTATCTACTTTAAAGTCTATGGTATCTACTTTAAAGTCTATGGTATCTACTTTACAGTCTATGGTATCTACTTTAAAGTCTATGGTATCTACTTTACAGACTATGGTATCTACTTTAAAGTCTATGGTATCTACTTTAAAGTCTATGGTATCTACTTTAAAGTCTATGGTATCTACTTTAAAGTCTATGGTATCTACTTTAAAGTCTATGGTATCTACTTTACAGTCTATGGTATCTACTTTACAGTCTATGGTATCTACTTTAAAGTCTATGGTATCTACTTTACAGTCTATGGTATCTACTTTAAAGTCTATGGTATCTACTTTACAGTCTATGGTATCTACTTTAAAGTCTATGGTATCTACTTTAAAGTCTATGGTATCTACTTTACAGTCTATGGTATCTACTTTAAAGTCTATGGTATCTACTTTAAAGTCTATGGTATCTACTTTAAAGTCTATGGTATCTACTTTACAGTCTATGGTATCTACTTTACAGTCTATGGTATCTACTTTAAAGTCTATGGTATCTACTTTAAAGTCTATGGTATCTACTTTACAGTCTATGGTATCTACTTTAAAGTCTATGGTATCTACTTTACAGTCTATGGTATCTACTTTAAAGTCTATGGTATCTACTTTACAGTCTATGGTATCTACTTTAAAGTCTATGGTATCTACTTTAAAGTCTATGGTATCTACTTTACAGTCTATGGTATCTACTTTACAGTCTATGGTATCTACTTTACAGTCTATGGTATCTACTTTACAGTCTATGGTATCTACTTTAAAGTCTATGGTATCTACTTTAAAGTCTATGGTATCTACTTTAAAGTCTATGGTATCTACTTTACAGTCTATGGTATCTACTTTACAGTCTATGGTATCTACTTTAAAGTCTATGGTATCTACTTTACAGTCTATGGTATCTACTTTAAAGTCTATGGTATCTACTTTAAAGTCTATGGTATCTACTTTACAGTCTATGGTATCTACTTTACAGTCTATGGTATCTACTTTAAAGTCTATGGTATCTACTTTACAGTCTATGGTATCTACTTTAAAGTCTATGGTATCTACTTTAAAGTCTATGGTATCTACTTTAAAGTCTATGGTATCTACTTTAAAGTCTATGGTATCTACTTTACAGTCTATGGTATCTACTTTAAAGTCTATGGTATCTACTTTAAAGTCTATGGTATCTACTTTACAGTCTATGGTATCTACTTTAAAGTCTATGGTATCTACTTTAAAGTCTATGGTATCTACTTTACAGTCTATGGTATCTACTTTAAAGTCTATGGTATCTACTTTACAGTCTATGGTATCTACTTTAAAGTCTATGGTATCTACTTTAAAGTCTATGGTATCTACTTTACAGTCTATGGTATCTACTTTAAAGTCTATGGTATCTACTTTAAAGTCTATGGTATCTACTTTAAAGTCTATGGTATCTACTTTACAGTCTATGGTATCTACTTTAAAGTCTATGGTATCTACTTTACAGTCTATGGTATCTACTTTAAAGTCTATGGTATCTACTTTACAGTCTATGGTATCTACTTTAAAGTCTATGGTATCTACTTTAAAGTCTATGGTATCTACTTTACAGTCTATGGTATCTACTTTACAGTCTATGGTATCTACTTTACAGTCTATGGTATCTACTTTACAGTCTATGGTATCTACTTTACAGTCTATGGTATCTACTTTAAAGTCTATGGTATCTACTTTAAAGTCTATGGTATCTACTTTACAGTCTATGGTATCTACTTTACAGTCTATGGTATCTGTTTTTTACTAAATCGGACATAAAAACATATTTAGCTCTAGTTGCCTTAAATATTGTACGTATCCTGGTCTGTTGTCACACACTCGGGTAAATATTGTGTGTAGTTAGAAACCGTTAAAGACCTGATGTTAATTTATGGCATTGAGACGAGACACTTTCCATTTGTTTAAAACTAAGGTACTGGAATATTATTATGAAAATGGGTAGAAAAACTAGTATTTTGTATTTGTGGATTTTTGCTGCTAGACAAAGCACTGAGGACGATGACAAGGTCCTGGCAGCTACACACACACACACACACAGAGACACACACACACACATAGCGATAGAAGCACACACACACAGAGACAGAGGCACACACACATAAAGATAGAGACACACACACAGAGACATACATACACAGAGATAGAGACACATGCACACACACACAAAGATAGACACATACACACATAGAGGTAGATGAAACACACACACACACACACAGATAGACACATACACACATAGAGGTAGATGAAACACACACACACACACAAAGATAGACACATACACACATAGAGGTAGATGAAACACACACACACACACAAAGATAGACACATACACACATAGAGGTAGATGAAACACACACACACACACAAAGATAGACACATACACACATAGAGGTAGATGAAACACACACACACACACACAGATAGACACATACACACATAGAGGTAGATGAAACACACACACACACACACACATGCACGTGCGGGGAAAACGTGCACTGAGATATAAAACAAATCGGTTTCGTGCACGGGAACGGGCTAGCTAGCTGATGTTAGCTCTGTGACACCAAACTCTGAAAACACATCACAAACATAGACACAACATCACAAACACACACATCACAAAGACACACAACATCTGGGTAGTCTTCACTTTGTATTTATTTCTTGTTTTGATATTTTATGTTTTAATAAAATACCGGAAGTGCTAATGCTAACAGTGAGCTAGCTAGCGCGCTCCCGCCACCTGCTCAAGCCTAACTTATTACAGCCACATTTGGGTAGAAAATATGTTCATTTGTAAATTCTTTTGTACAAAGGGATCTCATGTTTTTAATATGATTGTTTTTGCCTCGTTCGTTTCTTGCTCACTGGAGAAAAAATATGTTTTGTTTCTGGAATATTTTAACCACTGTTTATTCCATGCTTTGTAAAATGATCTAGAACTTTCTACCTTTGGCTGATCCACAGAGGTGTTTATGGATAGTGTTTGACGTGTAAATATGAGCAGAATGTTGTACTAACAGCTGTGTCGTGTGACGGAGGCGTCCCTTTGCTCTCTTTTAATATAAAACTGCATTCCAACAAAGTCTGGTTTCTTGATTTCACTGAAGAGAAGAACAAGTGTGACAAGAACAGGAGGCGTGGTTTAAAGATGGACTCTCTCTGGTCTCTCTCTGGTCTCTCTCTGGTCTTTCACTGGTCTCTCTCTCTCTGGACTCTCTCTGTTCTCTTTCCAATCTCTCTCTGGTCTCTCTCTCTCTGATCTCTCTTTGATCTCCCTCTGGTCTCTCTCGCTCTGGTCCTTCTCCAGTCTTACTCTGCTCTCTCTCTCTGGGCTCACTCTGGGCTCACTCTGCTCTCTCTCTCTCTCTCTGGTCTCTCTCTGGGCTCACTGTGCTCTCTCTGCTCTCTCTTTGGGCTCACTCTGCTCTCTCTCTCTCTGGGCTCACTGTGCTCTCTCTCTCTCTCTGGGCTCACTCTGCTCTCTCTCTGGGCTCACTCTGCTCTCTCTCTCTCTGGGCTCACTGTGCTCTCTCTCTCTCTCTGGTCTCTCTCTGGGCTCACTCTGCTCTCTCTGCTCTCTCTCTGGGCTCACTCTGCTCTCTCTCTCTGGGCTCACTGTGCTCTCTCTCTCTCTCTGGTCTCTCTCTGGGCTCACTCTGCTCTCTCTGCTCTCTCTTTGGGCTCACTCTGCTCTCTCTCTGGGCTCACTGTGCTCTCTCTCTCTCTCTGGTCTCTCTCTGGGCTCACTCTGCTCTCTCTGCTCTCTCTTTGGGCTCACTCTGCTCTCTCTCTCTCTGGGCTCACTGTGCTCTCTCTCTCTCTCTGGTCTCTCTCTGGGCTCACTCTGCTCTCTCTCTGGGCTCACTCTGCTCTCTCTCTGGGCTCACTCTGCTCTCTCTGCTCTCTCTCTGGGCTCACTCTGCTCTCTCTCTCTGCTCTCTCTCTGGGCTCACTCTGCTCTCTCTCTCTGCTCTCTCTCTGGGCTCACTCTGCTCTCTCTCTGGGCTCACTCTGCTCTCTCTCTCTGCTCTCTCTCTGGGCTCACTCTGCTCTCTCTGCTCTCTCTCTGGGCTCACTCTGCTCTCTCTCTCTGCTCTCTCTCTGGGCTCACTCTGCTCTCTCTCTGGGCTCACTCTGCTCTCTCTCTGCTCTACACTCAGACCAAGCTGTCCTTTAAACCTTCATAGTGAGGTCCCAGTTCTCTTGCGTCAGATGGGACTGTGGGGGAGGGGGCTTCCACATGGACAGTTGTCAGGTTATTTAAAGCAGAGAGCTCTAGTAAGTTCTCGGGGCTGGAGCCAGTCTATATATACACACAGTCTCCAGGCCCCTCAGCAGAAGACCCCTACACCCCACTCCAAACCTGGATTATCTCCCATTTTAACCCTGATTTTGTTTTAATTCGTGTTTATTTCACATAAATTCTGAAGCCGTTTACAAAGTTCTGGAGTTATGGCAAAGTGGGGACAGGGCGACCCCCGGTGGATCGTGGAGGAGCGCGCAGACGCCACAAACGTCAACAACTGGCACTGGTGAGACCACAGTGTTTTTGGAGAGGACTGAATGTGACATCACCTCAGTGCACAGAAGATAGCTGGAGCCATTATTCTTATATTGTTTTTATGGTGTTAGCTTCATGCATTTGTTAAGGAGAATACTCTCTGCTCTCTCTGGTCTTACTCTGGTCTGTCTCTGGTTTCTCTGGTCTTACTTTGGTCTCTCTCTGGTCTCTCTCTGGTCTTACTCTGGTCTTGCTCTGGTCTTACTCTGGTCTCTCTCTGGTCTGTCTCTAGTCTTACTCTGGCCTCTCTCTGGTCTGTCTCACTGGTCTTACTCTGGTCTCTCCCTGGTCTCTCTCTGGTCTCTCTCGGGTCTCTCTCTCTGGTCTTACTCTAGTCTCTCTCTGGTCTCTCTCTAGTCTTTGGTCCCTCTCTGGTCTTACTCTGGTCTGTCTCTGATCTTACTCTGGTCTCTCTCTAGTCTCTCTCTGGTCCCTCTCTCTGGTCTCTCTCTGGTCTCTCTCTGGTCTCTCACTGGTCCCTCTCTCTGGTCCCTCTCTCTGGTCCCTCTCTCTGGTCCCTCTCTCTGGTCCCTCTCTCTGGTCTCTCTCTCTGGTCTCTCTCTGGTCTTACCCTGGTCTCTCTCTCTGGTCTCTCTCTGGTCTCTCTCTCTGGTCTGTCTTACTGGTCTTACTCTGGTCTCTCTCTGGTCTGTCTCTAGTCTTACTCTGGTCTCTTTCTGGTCTTTTTTGGTGTCTCTCTCTGGTCTCTCTCTCTGGTCTCTCTCTCTGGTCTCTCTCTGGTCTCTCTCTCTGGTCTCTCTCTGGTCTTACTCAGGTCTTTCTCTGGTCTCTTTCTGGTCTGTCTCTGGTCTCTCTCTAGTCTTTGGTCCCTCTCTTGTCTTACTCTGGTCTCTTTCTGGTCTTTTTTTGGTGTCTCTCTGTTCTTACTCTGGTCTCTCTCTGGTCCCTCTCTCTGGTCTCCCTCTGGTCTCTCTCTGGTCTCTCTCTGGTCTCTCTCTGGTCTCTCTCTGGTCTCTCTCTGGTCTCTCTCTGGTCTCTCTCTGGTCTCTCTCTGGTTTCTCTCTGGTCTCTCTCTGGTCTCTCTCTGGTCTCTCTCTGGTTTCTCTCTGGTCTCTCTCTGGTCTCTCTCTGGTCTGTCACATTCATAATAATACAGAGTACAATCAAAGCCACGCTCTCTTCTCCAGACCTTGCACTTACCATATTTTCCGGACTATAGGCCGCACCTGATCATAAGCCACAGCTCTCTAAGCCGCACCTCTCTATAAGCCGCACCTCTCTATAAGCCGCACCTCTCTATAAGCCGCACCTCTCTATAAGCCGCACCTCCCTATAAGCCGCACCTCCCTATAAGCCGCACCTCCCTATAAGCCGCACCGCTCTATAAGCCGCACCGCTCTATAAGCCGCACCTCTCTATAAGCCGCACCTCTCTATAAGCCGCACCTCTCTATAAGCCGCACCTCCCTATAAGCCGCACCGCTCTATAAGCCGCACCTCTCTATAAGCTGCACCTCTCTATAAGCCGCACCTCTCTATAAGCCACACCTCTCTATAAGCCACACCTCTCTATAAGCCGCACCGCTCTATAAGCCGCACCGCTCTATAAGCCGCACCTCTCTATAAGCCGCACCTCCCTATAAGCCGCACCGCTCTATAAGCCGCACCTCTCTATAAGCCGCACCTCTCTATAAGCCGCACCTCTCTATAAGCTGCACCTCTCTATAAGCCGCACCTCTCTATAAGCCACACCTCTCTATAAGCCACACCTCTCTATAAGCAAAAACACTGATGTAATGCAAGAAAAGGCGATCCCGAAAAACCCGGAAGTAGATTCCAGGATATTTTAGGAACATTTGCAGAGGATGGAATTATAGATTTAGGTTAAGTTTATGTTTGAGTCACTCACCGCTGATGTTCAGGATTCTGTGTTCAGTTTTCATGCAGTTCCAGAGAGTTCTAGTTTGGAAGTTACTAGTTATTAGCCTAACTGTTACTAGCCTAACTGTTACTAACCTAACTGTTACTAGCCTAACTGTTACTAACCTAACTGTTGCTAGCCTAACTGTTACTAGCTCAACTGTTACTAGCCTAACTGTTGCTAGCCTAACTGTTACTAGCCTAACTGTTGCTAGCCTAACTGTTACTAGCCTAACTGTTACTAGCCTAACTGTTACTAGCCTAACTGTTGCTAGCCTAACTGTTACTAGCCTAACTGTTACTAGCCTAACTGTTACTAGCCTAACTGTTGCTAGCCTAACTGTTACTAACCTAACTGTTGCTAGCCTAACTGTTACTAACCTAACTGTTACTAGCCTAACTGTTACTAGCCTAACTGTTACTAACCTAACTGTTACTAGCCTAACTGTTACTAGCCTAACTGTTACTAACCTAACTGTTACTAGCCTAGCTGTTACTAGCCTAACTGTTACTAGCCTAACTGTTACTAGCCTAACTGTTACTAACTTAACTGTTACTAACCTAACTGTTGCTAGCCTAACTGTTACTAGCCCAACTGTTACTAACTTAACTGTTACTAACCTAACTGTTGCTAGCCTAACTGTTACTAGCTCAACTGTTACTAGCCTAACTGTTGCTAGCCTAACTGTTACTTGCCTAACTGTTGCTAGCCTAACTGTTACTAGCCTAACTGTTGCTAGCCTAACTGTTACTAGCCTAACTGTTGCTAGCCTAACTGTTACTAGCCTAACTGTTACTTGCCTAACTGTTGCTAGCCTAACTGTTACTTGCCTAACTGTTGCTAGCCTAACTGTTACTAGCCTAACTGTTACTAGCCTAACTGTTGCTAGCCTAACTGTTACTAGCCTAACTGTTACTAGCCTAACTGTTACTAGCCTAACTGTTGCTAGCCTAACTGTTACTAGCCTAACTGTTGCTAGCCTAACTGTTACTAGCCTAACTGTTGCTAGCCTAACTGTTACTAGCCTAACTGTTACTAGCCTAACTGTTACTAGCCTAACTGTTGCTAGCCTAACTGTTACTAACCTAACTGTTACTAGCCTAACTGTTACTAGCCTAACTGTTACTAGCCTAACTGTTGCTAGCCTAACTGTTACTAGCCTAACTGTTACTAGCCTAACTGTTACTAGCCTAACTGTTGCTAGCCTAACTGTTACTAGCCTAACTGTTACTTGCCTAACTGTTGCTAGCCTAACTGTTACTAGCCTAACTGTTACTAGCCTAACTGTTACTAGCCTAACTGTTACTAGCCTAACTGTTACTAGCCTAACTGTTACTAGCCTAACTGTTACTACCCTGAAGCCGCGGCGTGGCTTACGTTAGCGGTTGCGGTGGACCTACGTAAGCACAATTGATGTTATACTGGCGCGTTCCCCTTACGGAGTTTTGAGGAGAATGTTGTAATCCCACAACAAACCACATGAGGGCGATCACACAGCTACTTTGTCCTCTTCAGAACAACAATAGCAAACAAAGCTGTTATATATATGTTAGATATAAGTTATATCTATGTTAGATATAAGTTATATATATGTTAGATATAAGTTTTATATATGTTAGATATAAGTTCAATCAATCAATCAATCAAAGTTTATTTGTAGAGCGCCTTTCATACACATGGCAACACAAAGCGCTTCACAGTCCACATCACAAATCATCACATAAAACAAACACCAGAATCACAATTAAAACATTAAAATCACACAAAAGATTAAAACACAATTAAAACATTAAAATCACACAAAAGAATAAAACCATTAAAACTTTCAAAATTACACAAGAAATTTAAATAAATAAATAAATGACAGCAGTGCATTAAAAATGGAGATAAAATCCTTCAGTTGTATGCACAGGCAAACAGAACAGTCTTTAACCTGGAGTTATATATATGTTAGATATAAGTTATATATATGTTAGATATAAGTTATATATATGTTAGATATAAGTTATATATATGTTAGATATAAGTTATATATATGTTATATATAAGTTATATATATGTTAGATATAAGTTTTATATATGTTAGATATAAGTTATATATATGTTAGATATAAGTTATATATATGTTAGATATAAGTTATATATATGTTAGATATAAGTTATATATATGTTATATATAAGTTATATATATGTTAGATATAAGTTATATATATGTTATATATAGTTATATATATGTTATATATAAGTTATATATATGTTAGATATAAGTTATATATATGTTAGATATAAGTTATATATATGTTAGATATAAGTTATATATATGTTAGATATAAGTTATATATATGTTAGATATAAGTTATATATATGTATATATAAGTTATATATATGTTAATATAAGTTATAATGTTAGTATAGTTATATATATGTTAGATATAAGTTATATATAGTTAGATATAAGTTATATATATGTTAATATAAGTTATACATATGTTAGATATAAGTTATATATATGTTAGATATAAGTTATTATATGTTAGATATAAGTTATATATATGTTATATATAAGTTATATATATGTTATATATAAGTTATACATATGTTAGATATAAGTTATATATATGTTAGATATAAGTTATATATATGTTAGATATAAGTTATATATATGTTAGATATAAGTTATATATATGTTAGATATAAGTTATATATATGTTATATATAAGTTATATATATATTATATATATATAGTTAGTATAATATATATGTTAGTATATAAGTTATATATATATGTTAGATATAAGTTATATATATGTTAGATATAAGTTATATATATGTTATATATAAGTTATATATATGTTATATATATAGTTAATATAAGTTATACATATGTTAGATATAAGTTATATATATGTTAGATATAAGTTATATATATGTTAGATATAAGTTATATATATGTTATATATAAGTTATATATATGTTATATATAAGTTATACATATGTTAGATATAAGTTATATATATGTTAGATATAAGTTATATATATGTTAGATATAAGTTATATATATGTTAGATATAAGTTATATATATGTTATATATAAGTTATACATATGTTAGATATAAGTTATATATATGTTAGATATAAGTTATATATATGTTAGATATAAGTTATATATATGTTATATATAAGTTATATATATGTTATATATAAGTTATACATATGTTAGATATAAGTTATATATATGTTAGATATAAGTTATATATATGTTAGATATAAGTTATATATATGTTAGATATAAGTTATATATATGTTAGATATAAGTTATATATATGTTATATATAAGTTATATATATGTTATATATAAGTTATACATATGTTAGATATAAGTTATATATATGTTAGATATAAGTTATATATATGTTAGATATAAGTTATATATATGTTATATATAAGTTATACATATGTTAGATATAAGTTATATATATGTTAGATATAAGTTATATATATGTTAGATATAAGTTATATATATGTTATATATAAGTTATATATATGTTATATATAAGTTATACATATGTTAGATATAAGTTATATATATGTTAGATATAAGTTATATATATGTTAGATATAAGTTATATATATGTTATATATAAGTTATATATATGTTATATATAAGTTATACATATGTTAGATATAAGTTATATATATGTTAGATATAAGTTATATATATGTTAGATATAAGTTATATATATGTTATATATAAGTTATATATATGTTATATATAAGTTATACATATGTTAGATATAAGTTATATATATGTTAGATATAAGTGATATATATGTTAGATATAAGTTATATATATGTTAGATAGTCCACTGTCTCCTGTATATCAGGCTCTGAGCCCAAACTGCTTTTCCTTCGAAGCACAAAGCTCTCTGCTCCATAGTGCCTCGTCCATGCTCCTGCTGCAGCCGCTCCGTGCTTCCTTCCAATACACACACACGGACCAATCACAGCGGAGCTTCTCTCACACACGGACCAATCACAGCGGAGCTTCCTTGCAGCGACCCTTACATAGTTAGAAAATGTCGATGCTGCGCGGCAGGCGACGTAAGGGCCTGCGGTGACCAACGCGTTGCGCAAGTGACGTCACGTCACCTCCGTAAGCTCCGCGCCGCGCAAGTATAAACTAGGCTTAACTGTTACTAACCTAACTGTTACTAGCCTAACTGTTGCTAGCCTAACTGTTACTAGCCTAACTGTTGCTAGCCTAACTGTTGCTAGCATAGCCACGGGAAAGCCTTTGGGAACTATTTTATTTTCTGTCATTAAATAAACCTTTCAGCGTTCATAAAAGTGGACTGAAGTTTATGTTGTGTGTTCTGTCGGTACAAAGCCGTATAATAAGCAGAAACAGGGCCGAGCGGACCCCTCCCCCCTGTCGGTACTTATTTTCCGATAATGACCTGCGTAATAACGGCTAATTAACCGAGGTCGAGGTCTGTACGGAGAAATATCAGACCGCGGCCTTAATGTGCAAGAAGGCCCAGGTCTGATATTTCTCTGCACAGACCGAGCCGTGGCGAGGTTAATAAATGTTTTATTATATGACTCTCTTCTGTGTCTTTACCAACGCTTTTGAGATATGTGTGAAGTATGTTCATGTCCGACTTGGTTTTGTGTGATACGGGCTGCGGACAGATTGTCATGGTAACGGTCCAAGGAAAGATATCAAATGTGATACGCGCTGTTCGGACCAATTGTCATGGTAACGGTCCAAGATGGGAAAATATCAGACCGGTAATCAGCCAATCAGAGCGCACGTACGGTCCAAGTCATACAATAATGTACTTTATCGATTACATATATTGTTCTATACAAATAAACTGCATTTTCAGGACGGAGCGTAATGTGTCGTCGTGGTCCGAGGAGCGCCTGAGGTCTCTGCTCTTCGCGGTCTCAGTGGAGGGTCCTGAGGGAGCGTGTGCAGTGACCGACGTGAGCAAACTGGAGGGAGAGGCCTGCATCAACAACCGCAAAGGAAAGCTCTTCTACTTCTACGAGTGGGTGATCCGGGCCAACTGGACAGGTCAGAACCAGGCCATACTGGGCCAACTGGACAGGTCAGAACCAGGCCAATCCAGGCCAACTGGACAGGTCAGAACCAGGCCATACTGGGCCAACTGGACAGGTCAGAACCAGGCCAATCCAGGCCAACTGGACAGGTCAGAACCAGGCCATACTGGGCCAACTGGACAGGTCAGAACCAGGCCATACTGGGCCAACTGGACAGGTCAGAACCAGGCCAATCCAGGCCAACTGGACAGGTCAGAACCAGGCCATACTGGGCCAACTGGACAGGTCAGAACCAGGCCAATCCAGGCCAACTGGACAGGTCAGAACCAGGCCATACTGGGCCAACTGGACAGGTCAGAACCGGGCCAATCAAGGCCAACTGGACAGGTCAGAACCAGGCCATACTGGGCCAACTGGACAGGTCAGAACCAGGCCATACTGGGCCAACTGGACAGGTCAGAACCAGGCCAATCCAGGCCAACTGGACAGGTCAGAACCAGGCCATACTGGGCCAACTGGACAGGTCAGAACCAGGCCAATCCAGGCCGACTGGACAGGTCAGAACCAGGCCATACTGGGCCAACTGGACAGGTCAGTCCCAGGCCAATCCGGGCCAACTGGACAGGTCAGAACCAGGCCAACTGAACAGGTTTTAGCCCGCCAGTAGATGATAAACATTCTCACTATCTTCTCTCTCCTCGATGGCTGTAATACCCTTCGCTCCGGTTTTGACTCCACGTCCTTCTCACGCCTCAAACTGGGTCAGAACGGAGCAGACTTCTCACTGGTTTAAACAGAAGGGAGCACATCACCCCTGGGTTAGCATCCCTCCCTCAGCTCCCTGTGAGCCTTAGACCCTTCGTTGATTCAGGGGTGAAAGTGATCGGCTGGGCCCTCTTGGTCACACATGTTTAAATGACTTGTGTTGTTCTAATCCCCACCGCCGCCACTAGATGGGGCTGTTTCCTTGTCTCTTGGACTTCTCACAAATCTGAACTGTCCTTTCAGGAACGACAAAGACCGGAGTGAAGTACAGAGGGACCGTGGACGTAGCAAACCTGTCCGACGAAAACGACGCAGACGATCTGGACGTAAGACACTAACATTTATATTTTTGAGATTTGAACCAAGACTTTTCACCTTATGAACGAGAGAAAGACCAGAGAGAGACCAGAGAGAGACCAGAGAGAGACCATAGAGAGACCAGAGAGAGACCAGAGAGAGAGACCAGAGAGAGACCAGAGAGAGACCAGAGAGAGACCAGAGAGAGACCAGAGAGAGACCAGAGAGAGAGACCAGAGAGAGACCAGAGAGAGACCAGGGAGAGAGATCAGAGAGAGATCAGAGAGAGACCAGAGAGAGACCAGAGAGAGACCAGAGAGAGAGACCAGAGAGAGACCAGAGAGAGACCAGAGAGAGACCATAGAGAGACCAGAGAGAGAGACCAGAGAGAGACCAGAGAGAGACCAGAAAGAGACCAGGGAGAGAGACCAGAGAGAGACCAGAGAGAGACCAGAGAGAGACCAGAGAGAGAGATCAGAGAGAGAGACCAGAGAGAGACCAGAGAGAGACCAGGGAGAGAGATCAGAGAGAGACCATAGAGAGACCAGAGAGAGACCAGAGAGAGAGATCAGAGAGAGAGACCAGAGAGAGAGATCAGAGAGAGAGACCAGAGAGAGACCAGAGAGAGACCAGGGAGAGATCAGAGAGAGACCAGAGAGAGACCATAGAGAGACCAGAGAGAGACCAGAGAGAGACCAGAGAGAGACCAGAGAGAGACCAGAGAGAGACCAGAGAGAGAGACCAGAGAGAGAGATCAGAGAGAGAGACCAGAGAGAGACCAGAGAGAGACCAGAGAGAGAGATCAGAGAGAGAGACCAGAGAGAGACCAGAGAGAGACCAGAGAGAGACCAGGGAGAGAGATCAGAGAGAGACCAGAGAGAGACCATAGAGAGACCAGAGAGAGACCAGAGAGAGACCAGAGAGAGACCAGAGAGAGACCAGAGAGAGACCAGAGAGAGACCAGAGAGAGAGACCAGAGAGAGAGATCAGAGAGAGAGACCAGAGAGAGACCAGAGAGAGACCAGAGAGAGACCAGAGAGAGACCAGAGAGAGACCAGAGATAGACCAGAGAGAGACCAGAGAGAGAGACCAGAGAGAGACCAGAGAGAGACCAGAGAGAGACCAGAGAGAGACCAGAGAGAGACCAGAGAGAGAGACCAGAGAGAGACCAGAGAGAGACCAGGGAGAGAGATCAGAGAGAGATCAGAGAGAGACCAGAGAGAGACCAGAGAGAGACCAGAGAGAGAGACCAGAGAGAGACCAGAGAGAGACCAGAGAGAGACCATAGAGAGACCAGAGAGAGAGACCAGAGAGAGACCAGAGAGAGACCAGAAAGAGACCAGGGAGAGAGACCAGAGAGAGAGACCAGAGAGAGACCAGAGAGAGACCAGAGAGAGAGATCAGAGAGAGAGACCAGAGAGAGACCAGAGAGAGACCAGGGAGAGAGATCAGAGAGAGACCATAGAGAGACCAGAGAGAGACCAGAGAGAGAGATCAGAGAGAGAGACCAGAGAGAGAGATCAGAGAGAGACCAGAGAGAGACCAGAGAGAGACCAGAGAGAGACCAGAGAGAGACCAGAGAGAGACCAGAGAGAGACCAGAGAGAGACCAGAGAGAGAGACCAGAGAGAGAGATCAGAGAGAGAGACCAGAGAGAGACCAGAGAGAGACCAGAGAGAGAGATCAGAGAGAGAGACCAGAGAGAGACCAGAGAGAGACCAGAGAGAGACCAGGGAGAGAGATCAGAGAGAGACCAGAGAGAGACCATAGAGAGACCAGAGAGAGACCAGAGAGAGACCAGAGAGAGACCAGAGAGAGACCAGAGAGAGACCAGAGAGAGACCAGAGAGAGAGACCAGAGAGAGAGATCAGAGAGAGAGACCAGAGAGAGACCAGAGAGAGACCAGAGAGAGACCAGAGAGAGACCAGAGAGAGACCAGAGATAGACCAGAGAGAGACCAGAGAGAGAGATCAGAGAGAGAGACCAGAGAGAGACCAGAGAGAGACCAGAGAGAGACCAGGGAGAGAGACCAGAGAGAGACCAGAGAGAGACCAGAGAGAGACCATAGAGAGACCAGAGAGAGACCAGAGAGAGATCAGGGAGAGAGACCAGAGCGAGACCAGAGAGGGATCAGAGAGAGACCAGAGAGAGACCAGAGAGAGACCAGAGAGAGACCAGAGAGAGACCAGAGAGAGACCAGGGAGAGAGACCAGAGAGAGACCAGAGAGGGATCAGAGAGGGATCAGAGAGAGAGACCAGAGAGAGAGATCAGAGAGAGAGACCAGAGAGAGACCAGAGAGAGACCAGAGAGAGACCAGGGAGAGAGACCAGAGAGAGACCAGAGAGAGACCAGAGAGAGACCACAGAGAGACCAGAGAGAGACCAGAGAGAGATCAGGGAGAGAGACCAGAGCGAGACCAGAGAGAGACCAGAGAGAGACCAGAGAGAGACCAGGGAGAGAAACCAGAGCGAGACCAGAGAGAGACCAGAGAGAGACCAGAGAGAGACCAGGGAGAGAGACCAGAGAGAGACCAGAGAGAGACCAGAGAGAGACCAGAGAGAGACCAGAGAGAGACCATAGAGAGACCAGAGAGAGACCAGAGAGAGATCAGGGAGAGAGAGACCAGAGAGAGACCAGAGAGAGACCAGAGAGAGACCAGAGAGGGACCAGAGAGAGACCAGAGAGAGAGAGACCACAGAGAGAGACTAGAAAAAGATCCAGAGAGAGACCAGAAAGAGTGATTGGAGAGAGACCAGAGAGAGAGCGACAAGAGAGAGAGAAGAGAGAGAGACCAGAGACCAGACACACACAGGGTTTCTCTCTTCTTGTCTAACATGGCTGTGGCCCCTGTTCCCAGATCTCGGTGTCTCTGTGTGCGGACCACCCTCCGACTCCTCTGCTGCAGCTCATGAGGACCAAAGGAATCCCTGAAGTCCGCCGGGCCCTGGGACTGTACATGACCCAGCTCCAGACCGGTACGGACCACAGACTGTCAACATTAACGGACGTAGTGGCGTCTAACTCCGCTGCTCAAACTCATGTGACATCACTTTCACCGCCTGTGGCTTTTTCAAAATGGCCGCAGGGAAAATGTGAAAAAAGGCATTTGCGAATGTGTTAGCTGCACTAGCATCTTTCATTTAACTGAAGCTCTGAGGGGAGAGATCAGAGAGAGAGAGCAGAGAGAAACTAATGAGAGACCAGAGAGAGACAGACCAGAGAGAGAGCAGAGAGACAGACCAGAGAGAGAGCAGAGAGAGACAGACCAGAGAGAGACCAGAGAGACAGACCAGAGAGAGACCAGAGAGACAGACCAGAGAGAGAGCAGAGAGACAGACCAGAGAGAGAGCAGAGAGAAACTAAGGAGAGACCAGAGAGAGACAGACCAGAGAGAGAGCAGAGAGAGACAGACCAGAGAGAGAGCAGAGAGACAGACCAGAGAGAGAGCAGAGAGACAGACCAGAGAGAGAGCAGAGAGACAGACCAGAGAGAGAGCAGAGAGAGACAGACCAGAGAGAGAGCAGAGAGAGACAGACCAGAGAGAGAGCAGAGAGAGACAGACCAGAGAGAGAGCAGAGAGACAGACCAGAGAGAGAGCAGAGAGAAACTAAGGAGAGACCAGAGAGAGACAGACCAGAGAGAGAGCAGAGAGAGACAGACCAGAGAGAGACCAGAGAGAGTTGCTTCAGTTCCATACAACTCTGGACTCCCTGGACCTGAGGACTAGTCCCAGCCTGAGGAAGCCTGGTCTTATCCATCCGTCCTCTCCGATCAATCATAATTTCCTGCCTGTAACGTCTGGGTCTGGTCCTTGTGTTTGCGATTACAATCGATTGAATTTCATCCGACCAATCAGAGAGCGCGGGAGGCGGGTGTTGTAGTTAGTTGTGGGTGACGTCAAGAGTTTGCGTCGAACGAGCAGGTTGTAGTTTGGCGATGAATGTGATAGTAAAGTATTCTGTTCTGGTTCTATCAAGAAACTGAAGCCGGAGCAAGAGGAATGTTTAACAAATGTAATTATTGGCAAAGATTGTGGCGCTACTCCCCACCAGTGGGGGCGGGTCCCGGCTAAAAGTGGCCAAAATGACGTGCGCTGACATGCTGCAATACCACCCCGGGCCTGTGGGGGTGGACCCGGAAGTAGAATTAGCCAATGCTAACATATAGCGTTAGCAGACCTCTCAAAAACGTCTTTACAGGATGGTCCAAAAGTTGTCTCTTGGCCCAAAGCTCCGTTCCACATGTGTGTCAATGCTGAGTGTTTTGGTCCACTCTAGTTTACCTCTCGTGAATTTTTGAAGTCTCTCGTTCAAATGAATGGAGCTGCGCCGGCTGACGCATGCGCAGATGCGTTTTTTCACAATTTTCTTGTGGGCGGGACCACTCGCGGCCATTTTGGATTGCTCCAGTAGAGCACATTTTTTGGCCCATTTGTTTGAACGGCGCAGATAGGCGTGACTCTGTCCGTTAATACATACAGTCTATGCTCCCCACGGGCTCCGTTATTGGCAAAAGAGATGCCTAGGCTAAATGCTAAAGCTAGGCTAAATGCTAAATACTAACAACTCACTCGGGCTCATTACATACGTCACAGTAAACTCAGATCCAATGGTTTCAATCTGCAAAAGGAGTTAGCCCCTCCCACCTGTTAATGGAGTCAATGGAGCAGATCCAGATTTTAGTACGAAATGAAATTCGTACTATGGTGTGGTACGACCAGGCTAAGCCTCAGGTGTCTTTCTCTGTCCAGAGTTCAGTCAGGGGATGATCCTGCCCACGGCCAGCGGCGCTCCAGCCCCGCCCCCTCAGCCCCAGAGCAAACCCCAGGTCCAGAGTAAGACCCAGGTGAGACCCGAGGGCCTCTAAACCTGCTCCTCTGGGATCATGGAGTCACAGAGACCTTGTGTTTCCAGATCAGCTCAGCTCCCTCCAGAGCCTCCTCCTCCATCGAGCTAACCTCCACCCGCAACATCAACCTGAAGGAAACGTTCAACACCTCACCAGACGAGCTGTACAACACGTTCATCAGCCAAGACGTAAGAATCAATATAATAATAATAATCCTAATAGTTATGCAAATTAGGGCCCTTTAATGATGACAGATTAGGGCCCTTTAATGATGACAGATTAGGGCCCTTTAATGATGACAGATTAGGGCCCTTTAATGATGACAGATTAGGGCCCTTTAATGATGACTCAACATGAAAATCTTACATATTGCGCGTTTAACGATGCAGCTTGTCTGAAGTTCCAACACAGAGCTATTTTAAAGGAGCTACACCTTTTTTTTTCTGTTTGAATGTTTAGCACCGCCCCAACTCGCTCACAGGCTTCTCATTGTGAGAAACCCTCCCACTCTCCCCTGTGCTCTTCTGTTGTCTTTGCGATCCATATACAGATACATATGCTAACATTAGCATTAGCACAACTTCTACTAAGCTGTACAATAATCACTGATGAAATGGTACAAAAGCAACGCACTGGTAACACAATATATAACATAGTCCGAGCGTAGATAGTCCGAGCGTAGATAGTCCGAGCGTAGATAGTCCGAGCGTAGATAGTCCGAGCGTAGATAGTCCAGCGTAGATAGTCCGAGCGTAGATAGTCCGAGCGTAGATAGTCCGAGCGCAGATAGTCCGAGCCTAGATAGTCCGAGCGTAGATAGTCCGAGCGTAGATAGTCAGAGCGTAGATAGTCCGAGCGTAGATAGTCCGAGCGTAGATAGTCCGAGCGTAGATAGTCCGAGCGTAGATAGTCCGAGCGTAGATAGTCCGAGCGTAGATAGTCCGAGCGCAGATAGTCCGAGCGTAGATAGTCCGAGCGTAGATAGTCCGAGCGTAGATAGTCCGAGCGTAGATAGTCCGAGCGTAGATAGTCCGAGCGTAGATAGTCCGAGCGTAGATAGTCAGAGCGTAGATAGTCCGAGCGCAGATAGTCCGAGCGTAGATAGTCCGAGCGCAGATAGTCCGAGCGTAGATAGTCCGAGCGCAGATAGTCCGAGCGTAGATAGTCCGAGCGCAGATAGTCCGAGCGTAGATAGTCCGAGCGCAGATGGTCCGAGCGTAGATAGTCCGAGCGTAGATAGTCCGAGCGCAGATAGTCCAGCGTAGATAGTCCGAGCGTAGATAGTCCAGCGTAGATAGTCCGAGCGCAGATAGTCCAGCGTAGATAGTCCGAGCGTAGATAGTCCGAGCGTAGATAGTCCGAGGCGGTCCCGCAGGTCTCTCCCTCAGACCAGTCTCTCCAGAGGATACGATGTAAGCTAACTCTGTTCAGGGCTTGGTTTCTTCTTTGATCATGTTTAGCTTTAGTTCCTCTTCTCTTCCTCACTGTTGTGTGGTTTGGGCTGTTTTGCTGTGTCTGCAGTTACAGCCAGAGGAGTTATAGCCACTTATGCTAACATGCTACTGTGGTTAGCAGCGCTGTAGAGGCTAGAGGACGCAGCCTCGTTCTGTGATTGGAGGAAAGTCTCTACTCAGCACTTTTTACGCCTGAGTTTATACACAGCAGAATCAATGAGCTCAAGTTTTACATTAAATTACGGATTATAAAACAACTTGTGTGTAGTAATAAGCATTTTTATGAACTCAATAGAAAACAAATTAGGTATTGTTCCTGGTTTTGTGATGCTTCTCTTGTGCTATACAGTTAAACTTGCCTGACTTTCTTACCTTTCTGTGAGCCACAGTTTGTGCAGATCTTCACTCGCTCGGTCGCTCAGCTCGACGTCCGCAAAGGAGGAAAGTTTCAGCTTCTGGACGGTTCTGTCAGCGGAGAGTTTGTGCAACTGGTAACTGCCATGAAGCACCAGGGTTTTACTTCTATGAAAGGAACAAAGAGAGACATGCTGAGAGAGACCAGAGAGAGACCAGAGAGAGACCAGAGAGAGAGACCAGAGAGAGACCAGAGAGAGACCAGAGAGAGACCAGAGAGAGACCAGAGAGAGACCAGAGAGAGACCAGAGAGAGACCAGAGAGAGACCAGAGAGAGACCAGAGAGAGACCAGAGAGAGACCAGAGAGAGAGAGGCCAGAGAGAGACCAGAGAGAGAGACCAGAGAGAGAGACCAGAGAGAGACCAGAGAGAGACCAGAGAGAGACCAGAGAGAGACCAGAGAGAGAGAGCCAGAGAGAGAGACCAGAGAGAGAGAGACCAAAGAGAGACCAGAGAGAGACCAGAGAGAGACCAGAGAGAGACCAGAGAAGAGAGAGACACCAGAGAGACACCAGAGAGACACCAGAGAGACACCAGAGAGAGACCAGAGAGAGACCAGAGAGAGACCAGAGAGAGACCAGAGAGAGACCAGAGAGACCCAGAGAGAACAGAGAGACCAGAGAGAGACCAGAGAGAGACCAGAGAGAGACAGAGAGAGAGAGAGACCAGAGAGAGACCAGAGAGAGACCAGAGAGAGACCAGAGAGAGACCAGAGAGAGACCAGAGAGAGACCAGAGAGACCAGAGAGACCAGAGAGAGACCAAAGACAGACCAGAGAGAGACCAGAGAGAGACCAAAGACAGACCAGAGAGAGACCAGAGAGAGACCAGAGCGAGGACCTCTTAGCAGATGACACAGACGGGCCGTGGGTGGTCCTCGGGTCCCGTCGTGGTAAGTGCCAAATACTCACTTGAGTATTTACGTCGTTTCCTTGATTTGTAATGTTGTTTTTCTGACGTCTCACGGCTCCCGCAGTGCCCTCACGGCCCCCGCAGTGCCCTCACGGCCCCCGCAGTGCCCTCACGGCTCCCGCAGTGCCCTCACGGCTCCCGCAGTGCCCTCACGGCCCCCGCAGTGCCCTCACTGGACCCCGCAGTGCCCTCACTGGACCCCACTTTGGGAGACACTGCTCTAAGTCCATCTCAAGACATCATTGAAACGGCGTCTCTCTGTTTCAGGTTCAAGACAAAGGCCTCGAGATGAAGTGGAGGTTCAGGACGTGGCCCAAAGGTACAACGAGAAAAACAATGTGACATCACAGGCAGACTGTCTACTGTCTCCTTCTGGTCTCTCTTCTCTCTGGTCTTTCCCTCTCCTGTCTCTCTCGCGCTGCTCTCTCTCTGGTCTTTCTTTCTCTGGTCTCTCTCTAGTCTCTCTCTCTTTGGTTTCTCTCTCTCTCTCTCGGGTCTCTCTCTCTCTCTCTCGGGTCTCTCTCTCTTTGGTCTCTCTCTCTCTCTCTCGGGTCTCTCTCTCTCTCTCTCTGGTCTCTCTCTCTCTGGTCTCTCTCTCTCTCTCTCTCGGGTCTTTCTCTCTCTCTCTCTCTGCTCTCACTTTATTAAGTTTCTCTCTCTCTCTCTCTCTGCGCTCACTTTATTAAGTCTCTCTCTCTCTCTCTCTCGGCTCTCTCTTTATTGAGTCTCTCTCTCCCCTCCAGATCACCACGCCACTGTGATCCTTCTTTTCGAGGACCAAGGAGGAGAGACCCTGCTCTCTGTGGACATTCAGGGCGTTCCGTCTGGGTTCGAGGACAGCACCAGAGAAGGATGGAACCGCTTCTATCTCCAGGCCATAAAGCAGACCTTTGGATACTAGACCATCTGCACCCGGACTGGTCTCCCCTGGCCTGGGTCCTGGGTCTACAGACTCAGTCCTGGATTTACAGCCTCAGTCTTGGATTAACAACCTCAGTCCTGGATTAACAACCTCAGTCCTGAATCTACAGCCTCAGTCCTGGATCTAAAGCCTCAGTCCTGGATCTAAAGGCTCAGTCCTGGGTCTACAGCCTCAGTCCTTGGTCTAAAGCCTCAGTCCTGGATCTACAGCCTCAGTCCTGGATCTACAGCCTCAGTCCTGGATCTAAAGCCTCAGTCCTGGATTAACAACCTCAGTCCTGGATCTAAAGGCTCAGTCCTGGATCTAAAGCCTCAGTCCTGGATCTACAGCCTCAGTCCTGGTCTAAAGCCTCAGTCATCTAAAGCCTCAGTCCTGGTCTAAAGCCTCAGTCTTGGATCTACAGCCTCAGTCCTGGTCTAAAAGCTCAGTCCTGGGTCTTCAGCCTCAGTCCTGGGTCTACAGCCTCAGTCCTGGGTCTACAGCCTCAGTCCTGGGTCTACAGCCTCAGTCCTGGGTCTTCAGCCTCAGTCCTGGGTCTACAGCCTCAGTCCTGGGTCTACAGCCTCAGTCCTGGGTCTACAGCCTCAGTCCTGGGTCTATACTTCATCGCCCTAAATCACAGCAGCAGTTGGACTCCGGCTGTAGATCCAGGTCTGGATTTTAATGTCTTATTCTTGATTGAAATGTATTAAAAAAGTGTTTGTAAAACATATATTTTTAAAACTTTTGTAATAAATTTGTTTCATTTTCTGGTCCTTTTTGCAAGAATTGGATTTTAATTTCAATGTATCTGGAAGTGGAAAACAGAGATCCATGGTTTGGGATTATCTTCTAAATCTTATTCCACCTCACGAGGTTTTGTCTCATCAAATGATTATTATTATTACTATTATTATTTTTTTATCTACCATTTAGGTTTCATGGTGAGATTGTCATTTTTAAAGAGGTGCGGTGGTCTCTCTCTTTGGTCTCTCTCTGGTCTCTCTTTGGTCTCTCTCTGGTCTCTCTCTGGTCTCTCTCTAGTCTCTCTCTCTGGTCTCTCTCTCTGGTCTCTCTCTAGTCTCTCTTGGGTCTCTCTCTTTAGTCTCTCTCTCTGGTCTCTCTCTCTGGTCCCTCTCTCCAGTCTCTTTCTGCTCTCTCTCTGGTCTCTCTCTGGTCTCTCTCTTTGATCTCTCTCTGGTCTCTCTCTGGTCTCTCTCTCTGGTCTGTGATAAAGGCGGGAGCCCTGCAGACCATGAAGGCACCATCTGCGCTCTCACTTCAGACACTTGACACAGATCATGGAACTCTGGTTTATTAAAAACCTCATCACGGTCTGGTGTACTCGCAGCTCCAATGACTCTGCACTTTACTCACAGACAGTCACACTCATTCCCAGGTTTAGGGCACTATCTTCTCTTCCCGTCCCTGACCCTACTCTACAGAGTTGTTCTGTTTAACTGGTACCAGGTTCCTCTTGGCCCTGGTTCTATCCAGGCCAAACTCAATGACGGTGATTGTCCAGAGTGCTGCAGGAAGCCATGGTAACCAAGGAGATTTCTGGGATACTGATGTTGTGCTTAGGTTGCTAAGATACTGAACCACATACAGTACTAAAGTGTGGTGTGGAAACACAACTCGAGTCGAGTAGTGTTTTTGGACGCAGTGTAAAGTGAAAGTAAAAAAATCAGAGAAAAAGCTGACGTTTCCAGAGTTGTCTTGGCTCGTCTTACTGAGGGTTCCAACTCTTCTGAGTGTTCTCCTTGTGTCTGCGCAGGTTTGCTCCTGGCGCTCCGGTTCCCCCTACCACTAAAGACATGTACAATAGTTCTGAATGTAGTGAGTGATGGAGGGTGTTTGGTCGGAGGATTTGATGGTCCAGTGTGTTCTGGTCTTGTTTCTGTTGTGACCATGTGGAGAGAATGGAACAATATCTGAACTTTATAAAGTGCTTTGTGTGACCTTGGTCTGTAAAAGAAGAAGGTTCTTTATTGGTCCCACAGTGGGGAAATTTCAGTGTTGCATCACAAGTTATAGAACAGTAGGAAAGAGGAGCACACGGCACAAGATAAGTGAACAATAGCTCTACTCATTAAAAGAAGAAGGTCTTGCGATGGACTCGAACCCAAGACCTTCAGGCTCAAAGGCCAATGCTCTACAAACTGAGACACAGTCGCCAAAAATGCCCCATATGTAAAAAAATAGGTTTTGAAGAAATCTGTGAAGGATCAGTGAGGGTCTGGTGCTCTGTGGATTGGGTACAGCTCTGACTGCCACCCCCCAGACCCAGAAATGGATCAAGGGGAAGAAAATGAATGGATTAGGGTGCTTTCACACTTGCATCATTTAGTCCACTGAAAATGGACTGGAGTCCGGACCACCTGCAAGTACGGTTCGTTTGAGCAGGTGTGAAAGTGGACCAGTTAAAATAAGTCTGGACTAAAGCTCGGTGCGGTTCCGGTCTGGTAATGTTAGTATTTTACACACCTGAATTACAAACAGAGATTGCATTGTCAAAGGGCTGCGGTCATTATTGATTTGAGAGTTCTGTTATCAAGAAAAAATGATCGGTAGAATTACATTCAAGTCAATGGAGTGTTCTGCTGCTGTGAGGAGCTGTATAAGTAAGGGATAACGTATATTACGCCGGTCATTATCGGAAAATAAGTACCGACAGGGCGAAGCGGACCCCGACACGCAGCGGAGGGGTCTGCTTCCGCCCTGAAGGTACTTATTTTCCGATAATGACCGGCGTAATATACGTTATCCCGCTTATTATACGGCTTTATACCAACAGAACACACAACATAAACTTCAGTCCACTTTTAGGAATGCCGAAAGGTTTATTTAATGACAGAAAATAAAATAGTTCCCAAAGGCTTTCCCGTGGCTATGCTAGCAACAGTTAGGCTAGCAACAGTTAGGCTGGCAACTTCCAAACTAGAACTCTCTGGAACTGCATGAAAACTGAACAAAGAATTCTGAACATCAGCGGTGAGTGACCCAAACATAAACTTAACCTAAATCCATAATTCCATCCTCTGCAAATGTGTCCGAAAATGTGCCGGTATCTTAAAATGTGCCGTATCTACTTCCGGGTTTTTCGGGATCGCCTTTTCTCGCATTGCATCAGTGTTTTTGTCATGAAAACGTAAACGGAAAATTCTGAAAACTTCCGTGCACTTGTATTAAGACTGGATATGTATAAATTACTCTCCCATTAACATTTCATTGCGTTGATTGATTGGCATTTGCGTTTATTGAGCGGCTGGAACTACTTCCGAGTTTTTCACGATCGCTTTTTGACGCAGAGAAATAGTATTTTTGTCATGAAGACAAGACCAGAAAATTCTGAAAATGTCCGTGCACGTGTGTGAAGAATGTATATGTATAAGTATTCTCCGATTAACATTTAAGTGTGTTGATTGAGCGTGGCTAGCTCAGGAGTGGCCGGAACTACTTGCGGAGTTATCCACGCATTTGAAAGACAAGCAGAGAGTGCGTTGCCAAAGGGCAGCGGTCATTATTGTTTTGAGAGGTCCGTTATAGAAAATAATGACCGGTAGAACGTTTTGAAATTACATTCAAATCAATGGAGCGTTCTACTGCTGCTGTGAGGAGCCGTATAATAATAAATTATAATTAAATACTTGAATATATTCTAATGTTTTAGTGAATACATTCGGACGCAAAACTAGCGGTATTCTTTTACTTATATATTGTGTTAGCAGTGCGTGCTTTAGTGCCATTTCATCAGTGATTGTTGTACAGCTTAAAAGAAGTTTTGCTAATGCTAATGTTAGCATACATATCAGATCACAAATAAAACTAGATGGCTCTGTGTTATGAGAGCGTAGGGGAAATGAGAAGCCACTGAGCGAGTTGGGGGCGGGGCTAAACATTCAAACCTGCAGAAACGGGTATAGCGCCTTTAAGACAGCAATACATAAAAATACGGGATGCTCTGAAACAATCTGGAGGTACTTCAAAAGTTAAAGATAAGTTTGAGTGGTACGAGGCACTGGATAAAATCCTTGGGACAAAGCCTGATGTGGAGCCTATTGACATCGTGGAGTCAAATGAGGGCTATCTGCGTCACTACATGGTAAGAAACCTTCTCTATGAACACAGTTACGATGTTAAAAGATTAACAATAGTTATTGTGCTGCTGCATTACAGACGAGGAGGCAGATACTACCCTGGACAGTGACGTCTCATGTGCTCAGGAGAGTGAACCCACTCGAGCCAGCGGGAGGCTTGAGAGACCTGGGGCCAAATCAAGAAAAAGAAAAGCAAAGGCCAGGGGACGGGATGACGACTTCGCCAAATATATGGCAGAAAGCAACAAGGTTTTGGAGGAAATGAGGGAGGCAGAGACCAGGCAGTTAGAACAGGATCAGGCTCTACAGAAGACAGGAAGCAGATGGAAGAAGATTTAGTGCCTTGATGACCCAGATGCAAGCCTCAAATCAGCTGATGGCGAATTGTTTTTCACAACTCATCAATATGGTGAACACACAGGTTCCTCCTTCTGCATCATCCTGGTCTGGTGGTCCGTCCCATCAGAGCCCCCCTTATGTTCCACACAGCTCCCATCAGCTGCCTCCTTCTGGAGCTCCACAACACACCAGTCCAGACTATTACAACCTTTAAGATGCATATTTTACAATTTGTTGCTATACCGTGTGAAAGCACCCTTAGAAGTCGATCGTTACCGACCACGGCCCATAATTCCATATTTCGAGGATTGTTTTAGTGTGTGTTTGTTTAGTTTAGTTTATTGTCACACAACAACAGCACAACAATAATTACACAGAAAAAGAACCAGAACAGAGACAGAGTCAGACTCCGGTGTTTTCCTTCCTCTACTGAAGATCAGTAACTCCCCAGGGAGGCGTCCAGGAGGCATCCGGAACAGATGCCCGAGCCACCTCAACTGGTTCCTCTCGACGTGGAGTAGCAGCGGCTCTACTCCGAGCTCCTCCCGTGTGACTGAGCTCCTCACCCTATCTCTAAGGGAGCGCCCAGCCACTCTGCGGAGGAAGCTCATTTCGACCGCTTGTATCCGCGATCTCGTTCTTTCGGTCATTACCCAAAGCTCATGACCATAGGTGAGGGAGGGAACGAAGATTGACCGGTAAATCGAGAGCTTTGCCTTTCGGCTCAGCTCCCTCTTTACCACAACGGTCCGATACAGCTCTGACTGCAGACGCTGCTCCCTCTTTACCACAACGGTCCGATACAACGACCGCATCACTGCACACGCTGCACCGATCCGCCTGTCAATCTCACGCTCCATCCTTCCCTCACTCGTGAACAAGACCCCGAGATACTTCTCCACTTGAGGAAGGACCTCTCCACCCACCTGCAGAGGGCAAGGCACCTTTTTCCGGTCGAGCACCATGGCCTCGGATTTGGAGGTGCTGATTCTCATCCCAGCCGCTTCACACTCGGCTGCAAACCGCCCCAGTGCATGCTGCAGGTCCTGGTTCGTTGGAGCCAACAGGACAACATCGTCTGCAAACAGCAGAGATGAAATCCTGTGGTCTCCGAACCGGACCCCCTCCGGTCCCTGGCTGCGCCTAGATATTCTGTCCAGAAAAGACAGTGAACAGAACCGGTGACAAAGGGCAGCCCTGTCGGAGGCCAACATGCACCGGGAACAGGTCTGACTTACTGCTGATGCGAACGTAGCTCTGGCTCTGGTCATACAGGAACCGGATGGCCCTCAGCAGAGGACCCCGGACCCCGTACTCCCGGAGACCCCCCCAAAGGACACCCCGGGGGACAGGATCAAACGCCAAATCCACAAAGCACATGTGGACAGGTTGGGCGAACTCCCATGAACCCTCGAGTATCCGATGGAGAGTATAGAGCTGGTCCTGTGTCGCAACATCAAACATATTTATAGTTTACTGCCGCTCAAAGCTATTGAATATAAAACAGCAGCAGCAGCAGGTGTAGCAGCAGCAGCAGGTGTAGCAGGTGTAGCAGGTGTTGGTTCAAGGCAACCTGCTGATTTTAGATTCCGAGCCGTGCTGAGACAAGGCCGACGTGGAAACTACAAATGAATACAGTAAGATGCATGAGGTCATTGTGTAGCGTGTCCGTGAGGGTTCTAGTTTCAATCTGAGAGCCAAACAGGTCAGCTATTTATACAGCTCTATCCCCCCCACCCCCACCCCCGATTCTATCAAAACACCTCCAGAGCACAAATGCATCCTGTCAAAGGCTCTGGACCTGGCTCTGGACCCTGATCTGGACCCGGCTGCAAAAGTGACCAGTCCGGACCCAGACCCGAGGCCCTCATTACTCTGACTGTGAGTGGATGTTTCTGTATTTACTGTCATTTTACCATGATGCAGTTCACCTGTCGGGGCCTTTTTGATTCGTAGATATTTGTGTCGTGCTTTTGCATTTACTCTGCAACATCATCATAAACAACAGCATGTATCTGCAAGTTTAGTGTTTCATTTAAAGTCAGAAGGAAACTTTGTGGTTCATGTGCATTGCAGCGATTAGTTCAGGAAACTCTCTCTGATCTGCCTCTCATGACCTCCGGGTTTCTCTCTGGTCTCACTCAAATTTTTCTCTGGTTTCTCTCTCTGGTCTTTCTCTGGCCTCTCTCTCTGGTCTCTCTCCCTCTGGTCTCTCTGGCCTCTCTCTGGTGTCTCTCTCTCTCTCTGGTCTCTCTCTCTGGTCTCCCTCTGGTCTCTCTGGCCTCTCTTTCTGGTCTCTCTCTCTCTGGTGTCTCTCTCTCTCTGGCCTCTCTTTCTGGTCCCTCTCTGGTCTCTCTCTCTGGTGTCTCTCTCTCTCTCTGGTCTCTCTCTCTGGTCTCCCTCTGGTCTCTCTGGTGTCTCTCTCTCTCTCTGGTCTCTCTCTCTGGTCTCCCTCTGGTCTCTCTGGCCTCTCTTTCTGGTCTCTCTCTCTCTGGTGTCTCTCTCTCTCTGGTCTCTCTCTGGTCTCTCTCTGGCCTCTCTCTGGTCTCCCTCTGGTCTCTCTGGCCTCTCTTTCTGGTCTCTCTCTCTCTGGTGTCTCTCTCTCTCTGGTCTCTCTCTCTGGCCTCTCTCTAGTCTCTCTCTGGCCTCTCTTTCTGGTCCCTCTCTGGTCTCTCTCTCTCTGGTCTCTCTGACCTCTCTTTCTGATCTCTCTCTCTGGTCTCTCTTTCTGGTCTCTCTCTCTCTGGCCTCTCTTTCTGGTCTTTCTCTCTCTCTGGTCTCTCTTTCCACTTTCTCTCTGGTCTCTCTCTCTCTCTGGTCTCTCTTTCCAGTTTCTCTCTGGTCTCTCTCTCTCTCTGGTCTCTCTTTCTGGTCTCTCTCTCTGGCCTCTCTTTCTGGTCTTTCTCTCTCTCTGGCCTCTCTTTCTGGTCTCTCTCTCTCTGGTGTCTCTCTCTCTCTGGCCTCTCTCTGGTCTCTCTTTCTGGTCTCTCTCAGCTTAATCTTACTCCATGAAACCTTCCAGGATCCGCACAGACATCTTGATGTTTTGCTCTCCCACAGACAGGAGCAGACTGAGACATGTGGCCGTCGTGGTCAGTAGGTCGAAGGATATTCAGACTTATCACATGTCACTTTGCTGAAACTGCTAAATGTTTGAGTGAAGCCCTCGGCACAGAACTCAAACTCTCTCTCCTGTGATTTAAAGGTTCCATATTTCACTCTATCATCATTCTTCACGGTCCCTCCAAAGCAGATGTGTGATAATAATTTGGGAGAAACACCATACAACACTCAAAACAATTGAAATTATGGCCATTTTGTAACAGGGCCTTTCTGAGTGGAGTTTGCGTGTTCTCCCTGTGTCTGCGTAGGTTTCCTCCGGGTGCTCAGGTTTCCTCCAGGTGCTCCGGTTTCCACTAAAAACATGTATAATAGTTAGCGTATTTTATTATGGGAATAAAACCAGGTTTCAAGATCAGCGTTTGAGTAAGTCCAGTTTGAGTAAGTCCAGTTTGAGTAAGTCCAGTTTGAAAGCAACTGTAGGTCTGGAACAGTTCAGGGTTAGTGTTGTCACATACAGTGTTGACATCGAGAAATACTTTTTCTTCAAGTTGACATGATGCGAACACAAAGTTTATTTATTTAAGATGACAGGGACAGTGTACAATAAACATTAGCCTCAAAGGGAAAGATGTACTGTACCAAGTTATAGCTCAGAAGCGAATTCCCACCCATAGTCTCTGGGATGATGTTATGATATTACATTAAAAATAACAAACATTCTGGATGTACAGTTTACATAAAAGATCAAGTCTTCACGTGCACAATTTGCTAAAACCTCACATTAATATGGCTCATTTATGCAGGCCAAAAACACCTGTATAAATGAGTGGTAGGAGTGGTAGGGGAAACTGGAGAACCTGGAGGAAACCTGCGCAGCATGGGAAGAACATGCAAACACCACACAGAAAGACCCGGTCTGGAGCAGGTCCTGGAATCAAACCCAGGACCTGCTTGCTCTAATGCACATACTGTACTAACCAACAAATATAGTCCCGTCAGCCTGATCTGGTCTATCCAAGTTTGCACATCTTATAAAGTCCTTTACTGTTGTTCTGATCGTCTCCAGAGTCCCGCCCCCTGCTGGTCACCATGGCGACGCTAGCCTTCGAAGACTACTCTCTGTACAGTGACCTCTCAGACGACGAACTGCTGCAGCTCGCCATCCAACGCAGTCTGGAGGAAGGCCACCAATCAGACGCCCCGCTGTTGCCCGAGGCTCCACCCCCTCGAGACATCCAGCCATTCAGGGCGGCCCGCAATTCCCAGCACCAGAACGCTCTCGCTATCAGAAGAAACTCCACCCCCCAGAATGCACCTGTGCCCGAGGTCGCTCACTACAGCTCTCACAACCCGCCCAGTGAGAAGCCCCCAGACCCGTAAGAACCCAGTACCAGGTGTAGCTTGGGATTAAGACCTATTTTCACCAAAACGACTAAATTGATATGTAAAAAGGCAGACGAAATGTGAAAATATTTTACTCTATCTAGTCTTTCTCTCTGGTCTATTCATTGTCTCTCTCTCTTATCTCTTTCTGGTCTTTCCATGGTCTCTCTCTGATCTCGCTCTGGTCTCTCTCTTGCCTCTCTCTGGTTTATCTCTGGTCTTTTCATTGTCTCTCTCTCTCCCTTGTCTCTCTCTGGTCTCTCTCTGGTCTCTCTCTGGTCTCTCTCTGGTCTCTCTCTGGTCTCTCTCGGTCTCTCTCTGGTCTCTCTCGGTCTCTCTCTGGTCTCTCTCTGGTCGCTTGATCACAAGAAAAAGTTGTGATTTTAGATGGTCAGTAAAAGTGTGGTGTGAGGGGTTTAACAGCCTGTTACTTTCAAACACATTTCCCCTGTGAAAATGCAAATGCAAAATGTCGGGGAGGGTCCAGGACATTACGATATTGTGTCAATTTGCAGTGTTTCCATCGCTGTTGTGTTGGAACTGTGTAAAGCTCTTCTTCGACCAAATCTCAGAGTAATTATAACCGTGGCCTTGGTTAGCACCGGCTCCATAAATGCTTGAAGAGTTTGGCAAAACGAGCGAGTGACATGTCTCTCCCTGCCCTGTCTTTCAAGAACTAAATGTTTCCATGTCACCGGAAACTCTCCCACTGCTAACATAAGCCTAAAAGTATTAAAATATAGAATACAGAAATGCTAACTCTCTCTGGGTCTTGTTCTCAGTGAGGAAGGATGGAGCAGAGGGAACCGTCAGATCTGTGCCGGACTGAAGCAGGAGCAGTGTCTGTAGTCAAAGCTCTGGTTCCCTCCCTCACCTCTGGTCATGAGCTTTGGGTAAAGACCAAAACAGACACGGCGATCCACTGAGCATGTGCGAGAAACAGGGATGTGTGAAAGCTGCTGAACATAACTGAGAGTGAGATGGTGATGTATCGTGTTTGAAAAATAACCCAACCTTAAAGTAGCAGCTGTTTTAAGGTTGTAAAAACCCTCACCATGCACTCAATACACTTGTCTAACCACCTGAATTCAATTGCAGAGATGTCATACCTTTGGGTTGTAGGTCTGAGTGCTGCATCAGCTGTAAAAAGCGGTGCAAACACAGCTGCAGAGGACATTGACAGGAGCAGGACTGAGGGCTACGAAAGACAATGGTAGTTCTCTGCACTAACCTCCCCTCCCTGACATCTGTAATCTACTGGCTACACCGAGGCTGCCGCTGTAGAGAGCTAGAAATAAGAAAAGACATTTAAACCAGTATAAGAACTGGTTCCTTCATCTGTGAACCTCCTGAATGCAGGTCACGGAGCAGAGCTGATGGTTCATGTCTGTGTTACTGTGTTTTAAGTCTGTCTTATTTTCAACGTCCAAGACAAATAAACTTGAATCTTGAGTATCCAGGCCCATTCATGTTCTTCTCGGGAGTTGATTTGTGTTTGTTCTTGAATTCTGCATCAGGAAAACGTTTGAAGGAACCATCAGCCACTTCATCTCAGCCACAGGGAAGAGGATGGTGACCTACCGCAGGATGGACGACAAAATCGTCTACATTGGTCCTGAATCCGAAGAGTGAGTACTGTTCACCCTACACAGACAATAAAGTACCGTAACATCAGAGGTTTTCTTCCCCAGTGACGAGGAGCCTATTTTCGTGGCGATCCGTGTGGGCAACGTTGCCCGAGTGAGGGCTTTGGCGTCACGACCCTGTAAACCAGGCTGGCTGCCCATCCACCAGGCAGCATGGTACAGACAGACGGAGTGTCTCAAAGTCCTCATCTCAGGTGGCTAGATATGTGGGATATATTGGCATTAGAAAGTCTTTTGCTCAAAACCCTGCTAGCTAGTGTGAAATTATAACCTGTGTATTTGCCTTGATGGTTTGTCTTTTGTCTTCTGTATGTAGTCTTTTAGTGGCACAGGCTTCATTCAAATCTTAAACCTAACCATTCAAACCATCACCATAAAGACCTCCATGACACTGGTCGTGAATAGAGACATTACTGGTCGGTCTTTAAACGGACTCTCTTATTGTGTGCAGTCCAGTCTGGGATGCTGAACAAGCAAGCAGCGTGTGGGGAGACGGCTCTGCTGGTGGCGGTGCAGAGAGACAGTCTGGACTGTGCCCTGGTGCTGCTGGAGAACGGAGCCAATCCAGACATCGCCAACTTTGACAAGAACACGCCCCTCTACGAAGGTACAGCTAACCGGTACGGCTAACCGGTTCAGCTAACCGGTACAGCTAGCCGGTACAGCTAACCGAAGGGACAACTAACCAGGACACACTGCTCGAGGAAAGAATGGATGGAGTGTCTTTCCATTCTGTTCAGTGCAAATTTATGAACATTTTTAATCACAGGGTAAATGTGGAAATGGCAAAGATGATATGGCCCTGTCCAGTGTGGGCGGGTCCCGGCTCCAAAAGATCCATGAGCACGTCCATGCAAACTCCCTCCTTAGTGGTGGGAGTGAACCCGGAAAGAGAATTACCCAATGCTTTTGTATGGCGTCTTCTTTCCTCTCAAAAAACGTCTTTACAGGATGGTCCTTGGTCCAAAAGTGGTTCTTGGTCCAAAAGTGGCTCTTGGTCCAAAAGTGACTCTTGGTTCAAAAGTGGTTCTTGGTTCAAAAGTGGTTCTTGGTTCAAAAGTGACTCTTGGTCCAAAAGTGGCTCTTGGTCCAAAAGTGGCTCTTGGACCAAAAGTGGCTCTTGGTCCAAAAGTGGCTCTTGGTCCAAAAGTGACTCTTGGTTCAAAAGTGGTTCTTGGTTCAAAAGTGGTTCTTGGTTCAAAAGTGGTTCTTGGTTCAAAAGTGACTCTTGGTCCAAAAGTGACTCTTGGTTCAAAAGTGGTTCTTGGTTCAAAAGTGGTTCTTGGTCCAAAAGTGACTCTTGGTCCAAAAGTGGCTCTTGGTCCAAAAGTGACTCTTGGTTCAAAAGTGGCTCTTCAGGATAGAGACCTGAGACCAGGACTAATTTAAGAGGACTTCAGGACAGAGACCTGAGACTAAGACTAATGCTATAGTTTAATCGTGATGCGTTCCCTTTACCTGCCTTTCTAACATTCACGTCACGATCCTTTCCAGCTTGTCAGAACTGTAACGCCGCGATAGTGTCTGCACTGTTGAACCACGGAGCAGCGGTGAACACACCCTGCATCCAGGGCTATACGGCTCTGCAGGAGGCCGCGGTCCACAACAGCGTGGAGATCTGCCAGATGTTGATTGCAGCCGGAACCAGAATCAATACGTCAAACATGTTCGGCATCACGCCTTTGTTCACCGCGGCTCAGAACAACAGCATGGACGCTCTGCACATGTTCATTGAGAACGGTGAGTATGGAGGTCATAATCATCACTCGAATTAACAAAAATGGGATTATGGCTATGTTGTATGGGGCTTCATGCCCCTGGTAGGGTCTCCCAAGGCAGACAGGTCTCGGGTGATGAGTCAAACAAAGAGCAGTCCGAAGCCAACATGGCTCACACCTCCGGGAGAGCTTCTGCCAGGTCCCGGCAGAGGAGGGGGATATCGAGTCTGAGTGGACCATGTTTTCTTCCTCTATCGCTGATGCGGCAGCTCGTAGTTGTGGTCGCAGGGTCGCTGGTGCTGGTCTCGGCGGCAACCCACGAACCCGGTGGTGGACATCGGCAGTAAGGGATGCCGTCAGGCTGAAGAAGGAGACCTATTGAGCCATGATGTTTCGGAGGACTCCTGAGGCAGCTGTCCAGTACCGGCAGGCCAAGCGTGCCGCTGCCCGGGCTGTTGCAGAGGCAAAAACCCGGGACTGGGTGAAGTTCGGAGAGTCCATGGAGCATGACTATCGGTCGGCCTCAAAGAGGTTCTTGCAAACCGTCCTGCGCCTCAAGAGGGGGAAGCAGTTCTTTGCCAACACCGTGTACGATGCGGGTGGAGGGCTGCTGACCTCGACTGGGGATATTGTCGGGCGGTGGAAGGAGTACTTCGAGATTCTCTACAATCCCCCCGCCACGTTGAGGAGGTTGGGGCAGATACTTCCATCTCCCTGGCAGAGGTCACCAAGGTTGGCAACCTCCTTGGTGGCAAGGCGCTGGGAGTGGATGAGATCCGTCCTGACAATCTAAATTCTCTGGATGTTGTAAGACTGTCGTGGCTGACACGTCACTGCAACGTCGCCTGGCGATCGGGGCGGTGCCAATGGAGTGGCAGACCGGGGTGGTGGTTCCTCTCTACAAGAAGGGGGACCGGAGGGTGTGTTCCAATTATCGTGGGATCACACTCCTCAGCCTCCCCGGTAAGGTCTACTCCAAGGTACTGGAGAGGAGACTACGACCGATCTCGGAATCAGGAGGAGCAGTGTGGTTTTTGTCCCGGCCGCGGAACACTGGACCAGCTCTATACTCGCCATCGTATACTCGAGGGTTCATGGGAGTTTGCCCAACCTGTCCACATGTGCTTTGTGGATTCGGAGAAGGCGTTCGACCGTGTTCCCCGGGGTGTCCTTTGGGGGGTTCTCCGGGAGTACGGGGTCCGGGGTCCTCTGCTGAGGCTCCGGTCATACATGGACATGGAAAAAGGTGCCTTGCCCTCTCCAGGTGGGTGGAGAGGTCCTTCCTCAAGTGGAGGAGTTCAAGTATCTCGGGGTCTTGTTCACGAGTGAGGGAAGGATGGAGCGTGAGATTGACAGGCGGATCGGTGCAGCGTGCGCAGTGATGCGGTCGCTGTATTGGACCCTCGTGGTGAAGAGGGAGCAGCGTCTTCAGTCAGAGCTGCATCGGACCGTCATGGTAAAGAGGGAGTTGAGCCGAAAGGCAAAGCTCTCGATTTACCGGTCAATCTTCGTTCTCTCCCTCACCTATGGTCATGAGCTTTGGGTAATGACCGAAAGAACGAGATCGCGGATACAAGCGGTCGAAATGAGCTTCCTCCGCAGAGTGGCTGCTCCCTTAGAGATAGGGTGAGGAGCTCAGTCACACGGGAGGAGCTCGGAGAAGAGCCGCTGCTTCTCCACGTCAAGAGGAACCAGTTGAGGTGGCTCGGGCATCTGTTCAGGATGCCTCCTGGACGCCTCCCTGGGGAGGTGTTCCAGGCACGTCCCACCGGGAGGAGGCCCCGGGGAAGACCTAGGACACGCTGGAGGGACTATGTCTCTCAGCTGGCCTGGGAACGCCTTGGGGTCGGACAAGCTGGAGGAAGTGTGTGTGAATAGGGAAGTCTGGGCGTCTCTGCTTAGACTGCTGCCCCCGCGACCCGGCAACGGATGAAGCGGAAGAAGATGGAATGGAAAGTCTGGGTCTGATCCTAGTGACTGCAGTTTCCTTGGTTGAATCCCCTCCGTCCGATCAGAGAGCGGGGGAGGCGGGTGTTGTAGGTCGGTGTTGGTGACGTCAAGAGTTTGTGCTGAATTTGCTGGTTGTAGTTTGTCGGAGAATGCGATAGTAAAATAATCTGTTCTGGTTCAATCCAAATATCAAGAAACTGAAGCCGGAGCAAGAGGAATGTTTAGTAAATGTCATTGAAGCAAACATGTTGTGGCTCTACTCCCCACGGGCTCCACTAGTGGCAAAGGAGATGGATAAAGCTAGGCTACAGGCTAAAGCTAGGCACAGGGAGTCGAATGAATTGTATACTCTATCTGGAGAAGACCTCATCAGAATCTTATGTAGTAATCTATCCTGGTTCCTTTTGCAGGTGCAGACATAAACACTCAGGCTCATGATGGGAACACGGCGCTGTATGAAGCCGTTAAGAACCGTCATGAGAAGGTTGTGGAGCTGCTGCTGTCCCAGAAAGCCGACACCAACAAAACAGGAAAACACGGACTTCTGCCTCTGCACGTCGCTGCACAGAACGGCAACAAGACGTATGTGACGACCGCACACCTCAAAGTCCCTCATCTGCAATGTTGCTATATTCCACAGATTGCTTACAGATGGACGTGCAGTAGCTAACCCGATAGCTCAATGCAGAATATGGAAGTGCTAACTCCTTAACCTCCTTAACTCTCGCCAGACCCATGTATTTTGCTGAGCTCAACACAAGGATCTGGGATTTGTCAATAGGAGATGTAATAGGAGGTGGGGCTTTGAAAAAAAAACATGGTATGTGATTGGATAAAACATTTGACCGTTATTTTGAATAAGATAAGATAGACTTTATTGATCTCACACTAGAGAAATGTACATGTCACATTTGGCACAGACAAAATCACTCAGATTTGCAAAAGACAGAAGTGTGAAACATGTTGAAGGTTAAAAAAACTTCAACCACTCACCTGGAAATCAACCCGAGACGCTGACGAAAATCCAAAACAGAACAGCCGACATTTTGGAAAATGACAGCGCGGAATATCAGAACTTTTTACTGAAACGACGCAGCAATGTCAGCACACAACTCTTCCGTTGTTGTTTGTATCATGGCGTGGCACCCTTTAGAAAAAAAAAAGCCTTAGCGGCATCAGGATGGGTCAAATGCAGAGGATGGATTGCCCTACGGGGATTAATAAACAGCACCTTTACCTTTAGAAATCCCAGCAATCCTGATTGGTTCGTTATTTGTTGCTGTCTGGAAGGAGTTTGCCTTGCACTCGTTCCCAGATCCTTGAGTGGAGCTCAGTGAGACGCCTCTGGTGGAGCACAGCGGAACTACAACAGTGTGGCCAGAGTCTTACATATATATATATATATATATATATATATATATATATATATATATATATATATATATATATATATATGTATACATACACATAAAAGTAAACTCCTGTAGGGCAGTTACTGTTTGTCACACTCACCATTTTGGACTTTTATCCATGGTTACTCTCTTGGATCCTGGTTTATTTTGTGATATTGTCAAATCCAGATGAGCCTTATAAGGAGTGACCAGCAACACGTCTGCCCCTGGTACGGTGCAATCATAATGCAGCAGAATTATGCCCATATAAGGACATTTTAATATTCAAACTGGGATCGTCCACATTGACTGCCGTTGACGTATTTGTCTGAGACTGGAAATGTATGTCGAACGTCCCTCAATTCAACAAAACTAGCTAGAAACCAACTTATTATTGAAAGTAGACTATCCAGTCTTTCAGAATTTGGTTTCATAATTCATAGAGTCATAGCACACAATATTCTGTGGGTCTTGAAAATCAGTGAAATGATCAAAACCGGCTGGCAGTCAATAAGGCAAACACTATGGTGATGTCACACTCAGTCCTAACATACTGTATGTGTGTGTGTAAATTCAGGCCACTCCAAACCATGGCCCTGGTGAAAGTCACAGCCGTAGGAATCTGGAGTGATAAAAAGCACATTCTAGTATTTCTTTGTTTACTTTAAACAAGCTGGTTTACAGTGTGTGTGATGTTGCAGAGTTAGGAGTGAGTAAAACCTGTTGGCTTTGACGGTTGATGATTCCATTGACAGTATGACATTTGTCTGTGCACAGGATCGCGTCTTTGTTGATCCCAAACACCAGATTGGCTCGTGTTCGCAGCTGCGGCGTCAGTCCCCTGCACTTCGCCGCCGAACGGAACAATGACAATATTCTGGAGATGCTTCTCAAAGCCGGGTCCGAACACAGCCTTTTCTCCAACAATTTCCCCCCAAAGAATGTGATTCATAGGGTCGACCATTACCATTATTTGGGCCTCAACTAGTCACTATTGTTTTGATTACATTATCAACAACCTTTTAACAAAGGGGTAAATTGGGGTCAAACCAACAACTAACATCTAGTCTGGTGATCAGGGGGGTAGCGCCAAATTCTGGGCCCTGGGTACAAACACACTTAATGCGTAATACATATACATATATAGACATACTTTAGAGGGCCCCTCCCTGCCTTGGGCCCTGGGTAATCGGTACCCTTTACCCCCCCCAGTCCGACGTCTGTTCTGGTGATCATTGCTGGACTCACCTGTTGATGGTTGAACTCCTTCAGGATGATTCCTCCTCCGCTCTATAGGGATCGGTCTGCACCAGCTCTGCAACACAGCAGGAGTCATCAGGAGCTAGTGTCTCTGTAGAGCTGTCATCAGGAGCTAGTGTCTCTGTAGAGCTGTCATCAGGAGCTAGTGTCTCTGTAGAGCTGTCATCAGGAGCTAGTGTCTCTGTAGAGCTGTCATCAGGAGCTAGTGTCTCTGTAGTACTGTCAACAGGAGCTAGTGTCTCTGTGGAGCTGTCATCAGGAGCTAGTGTCTCTGTAGAGCTGTCATCAGGAGCTAGTGTCTCTGTACAGCTTGGTCCTCATGATTTAGCAGTCTTGGGCCTCAGGGTTTGAAGGAGGTTGGAGTCTGGAGGCGGTGAGAGGGACAGCGCTGATGGAGCAGGTCGGTGAGATAAGAGGGGCCTGGTTATGGAGGGACTAGTCTGTGAAGAGGAGGACATAATTATGCGGTATGGGACAAGGAGCAAATTGAGTTGACAGAGGATGGGGGTGAAGTGGTCTCTCGAGCGGGTGTGGGTGAGTAGGCGTACAGAAGAGTTCTGGGTATTCTCCAGTAGACCATCGAGGAGGCTCCAAGCAGTAGTTGAGTCTGCAGGTGATGAAGACGTGGACGAGGGTTTCTGCAGTGGCTTTTGTCGAGCTGTTAGACTTAGAACCCTTTAATATTTGTTTCTCTTTCCCACAGGTACGAGGTGAACGCACTGCTGAGCCCTGAACGTAGCCATCTGTACGAAGACCGCCGCCGCTCTGTGCTCTACTTCAGCGTCGCTAATGTGAACATATATGCTGTGCGCCTGCTCCTGTCGCACGGAGCCAAGACCGACCTGGACACACTGCCCCCCCTGGTGGTGGCGGTGCGTCAGGGCGCGCTGCAGACCGTCAACCTGCTGCTGGAACACGGGGCCCAGGTGAACGTGAGCGTGCCGGGCCTCACCACCTCCTTCCCTCCTCTCATCATGTTCACAGCCCGTGATCCACTGCTGCTCAAAGTCCTGCTGGACCACGGCCTGCAGGGGGCGCCGTGTTTCAGCTGCTCCTACGGCAACAGGCCACACCCACCACTCCGCAGCCGACCGGAGAACGACACACGCATCATGGAGGTAATGATCTGTGCCAGAGAATGGAGACATCTGTGCTTTTTGCCGTTTTGTCTGATCTTGGTTCGTAGTGTGTAGTGACACAGGCGGCCTGTAGGAGGCGCTGTGGCTCTTGTGCGCCTTGTTTGTGTTCATGTGCTTTTATTTTAGGAAGTCTGGAAACAAATCATAATCAGCTCTTTTACAACATTAAACAAAGCAAACTTGTCAATTAATTGCTTCATAACCTTCTGAAAGGATAAGCTTTATAACCTGAAATTATTAAGCAATACTTTATCGTCCGCTAATGACTTTTTTTCCTCTTCATTTGACCCATCTTTCCAATGCCATAAAGCAAACGTTCTTACTTCTTTAAGCTAACATTAGCCTTCATGAAAGAATATTGAGGACTCATCTGTTCCTCTAATGATTAGAATAAACCGCAGTGTTTAGTTGGGGTTGAACGAAGTCGAGGACGTCTTGGGCTCAGGTTCCATCTCGGTCTCCATCGCACAGGCCGAGTCGGACCAGATTTGGATCGACCCTGTTACAGTTGATTGGAGGTTGACCCCAGTTCCAGAGTTGTTTTCCTGACTTTAACGGTTCATTTATATCTTTCATTTGCAACTTTTCGAGCCTTTTCAGTGTTCCTGACTTTGTTTGCGTTTTGTTGTTTCGAAGCCTTGTTTTCCTTTTTAGACTGAGTGTGTGAGTGTAGATGGCGGTCGGAGAGTCTGAGGATCCTGAGCCTCTAGTTTCTGACACATGTGGATGCAAAAGTGATGCAAAGTGTCCCATCACCTGCACCTTAAAGCTGGACGTCCCATTCTGTCATTCTGTCCCTGGTCAACAGGGCACATGTGACATCACAGAACCCCCCAACACATGGTCCAGGGTCCTCCTTCAAACCCAGTTTGAGGACAATTATTTTTTATTATTATTATTTTTTTTTATTATTAAATCAACATAAAAACACAAGATACACTTACAATTAGTGCTCCAACCCAAAACCCTCCCACCCTCACCCCCATTCACACTCATTCACACAAACGGGTTGTTTCCTTACCATATTAACCTTCTGGTTCCTACAATATATATCAATGCAGTCTGCACGGGATGAAGTCCGTGAGGCACTGCCCTAAACCAGTGCCTTTCGGAAACCACATCCACCGCAATAGGGTTGTGTGTGCTGCTGGTCCACTGTTAGTAGTAACATTTACCAGTTACATTTTTCTTAAATTCAAAAATTATTGTATTAAAAAATAAAATAGAAAAAAAAATACAAAATAAATAAAATGTATAATAATTAAAAAAAAAATTATGATAAGTTAATTAACAAAAAAATAAAATAAAAAATAACAACTATCTTCACCAGACCAGGCTTCAGCGAGATTAGATGGTTTAAAGGGCTCTTACAACCGGGTCCAGTCCAGATTATGTCGAGCTCGGGCTCAGCAACACACACCTTCATTTGCATACACCCAGATTAAGGAAACACAAACACAGTTTAGCATATAATCTATAATCAAAAATACATTTTCAAAAAAAGCCTTTGAGAACTTCCCATCTACGTTTATGTTTTTTGGCATCATTATCGGTTTCAACCATATAACTTTCTAATGTAAAGAAATGCTGAATAAATGTTTTAAAGAAAGTAATACTAAGTGAATATCTATTTTTTGCCTTAAAAATAAATCTTTTACCGAGTACAATAATTAAATTAACTAAATCGTGACTGTCAATAAAATCTCCTAATATTACAGAAATCACATCAAGCTTCATAAACAAACCGATCCTTCAACACATTTTTTCCAAAACAAATGCAGTGTGGATTCAGACTCCTGACAACAAAAACGGCAATCATCTGACTCAGTCACATTCCATAATTTTAAAATTTTTCCGTTGGGTAAGAAATTATATAAGATTTTGATTTGAAAATAACGATTCTGCACATCGATAGTAGTTTTGTAGATTAATTTAAATATTGTATCCCACGGCAACGGGCAGTCAAAATAGTCTTCCCATTTTCCATATGTGTTATATGGGGCAACCATCAGAGATTTCTTTATTAAATAAAAATTATATATTTTTTTATTTATTTTTATTCCTTTTTGCCAACTTGAGTTTCTTATTAGAGGTCTACAAACTAATAGTTTAGTAGTTCCATAGTTAATTATTTGTTTCCATTTTTTTCCAATAACATTTTTTTCCAATAACAATAACTTTTTCCAATAGTTAGTTGATTAAAAGCTTGAACAAACATCACCATACATAATTCTAAATTCATCATACTCCATGATCTTACCATTCTCATTGATAATGTCATTGACAAAAATAATTCCTCTTTCAAACATGTTTTTCCAAAAGAAAGGCTTTCCATCTATTACAATATTAGAATTCATCCATATTATCTGCTGCAAAATGTCATCTCTTTTTTCTGGTACACAAAATTGAAAACACCACCATGACTGGATTGTTTCCTTTATGAACCCTGAGATGTTTCCCAGCAGACTCTCTACATAAGGAAAATTATACACTCATTTGAAATATAATAAGTTATAGTTATTTGGGATTTACACAAAGCTCACCTTTTCTTTTCTTCTCCTTATTTGACAGTTCTGTGAGTTGATGTCGTCTGCGTCGGCGAGCAGGTGGGTGGGGCCTATTGTGGACGTCCTATTGGACTTTGTGGGTCATGTGACGCTGTGCTCCCGCCTCCTGGAGCACTTGGACAGTTTCTCAGAGTGGAGCCCCATCAAGGACAAAGCAGGTACAATAATAGCACTGATATAAGGACTGGCAACTGTGAGACCCACCCCTCTGTCGGGCGAAGGCCATTTCAATAACTCCAACACAATAATAGCTCTAATACAAAGTGTAAAGGAGACCCTCAGGACTGGGAGCCACGTGAACCCTGTGAGACCCACCCCTCGCCGAGACCTCCTCCTGGGTGAAGGCCAGTTCAATAACACCAGCCCTGGCCCTGAACCGGAAAATGACCCTGAGTGTACAGTTTGTTTAAGGAATGCTTGGTCTGGGAACAACTCTGGGAGGAGTTTCCAAAGTTTTTGATTCACTAATGACAGATCAGAGAATCTGATAGTTCTTATTTCCTGCTTTTATTGCATTTGAACACAGGGGCATGTAATAATATCAAAGACCTTTGAGCCATTGGTCCATCAGGAGCCGGACGACCACTGTCCAGAAATATTAAATATAGACCCTCCTCAGACCCTCCAAGGAAGGAACCACTCAAAAACTCAGTGAGAACAAACTGAGAAACCTCAGGGATGCCTATATTGGGAGAGGAGTCCGCTGCCAAGGACCTACAGGCTGTAGCTCCAGGACTGAGGCTGTAGACCCAGGACTGAGGCTGTATATTATTAGTCTTACTCCTGTCTCTGGTCCTCAGTGCCTCCGCGGTCGCTCATGCACCTGTGTCGGCTGAAGATCCGCTCGCTGGTGCAAAGACATCGGCTAAAACATCTGCCGCTGCCTCCAATGCTGCTGCAATTCATCCTGCACCAGCGCAAAGGAGACCTGGACCCAGAGACCATGGACCCACGCATCTACGAGATCTACATCTAGACCAGCTCCAAGTAGACCTGGACCCAGAGACCATGGACTCACCCTACATCTAGACCAGCTCCAAGGAGACCTGGACCCAGAGAGCATGGAGAGATCTGCATGATGATTGTTTAGCTCTAAAAATCTTATTTTTCTAGAAATGTAATTTGTTTCTCTGCACTCTTGTTCTGCATGCCCCATACAGTGATGGGTTCAAGTCCCATCCACGCCTGTATAGTCAATTGTATCCCTCTATCAATCAATCAATCAAAGTTTATTTGTAGAGCGCCTTTCATACACAGGGCAACACAAAGCGCTTCACAGACCACATCACAAATCTTCACACAAAACAAACACCAGAATCACAAATCACACAAAAGATTAAAACCATTAAAACTTTCAAATTACACAAGGAATTAAAAAAAAAAAAAAAAAACACAGTGCATTAGAAATGGAGATAAAATCCTTCAGTTGTAGCACAGGCAAACAGAACAGTCTTTAATTGACAGGGTAGACGCCTCTCACATTTTCAGGGAGATTGTTCCAGATCTTAGCTGCATGGATCTGAAACGCAGCCTCCCCATGTTTGGTTCTCACCCTGGGCACCAGCAGGAGGCCAGTCCCTGTGCTCCTCAGAGTCCCAGCAGGAGGCCAGTCCCTGTGCTCCTCAGAGTCCCAGCAGGAGGCCAGTCCCTGTGCTCCTCAGAGTCCCAGCAGGAGGCCAGTCCCTGTGCTCCTCAGAGTCCCAGCAGGAGGCCAGTCCCTGTGCTCCTCAGAGTCCCAGCAGGAGGCCAGTCCCTGTGCTCCTCAGAGTCCCAGCCGGTTCATATGGCACCAATATTTGTAAACTATGTAAATATATGTAAGCCTCTATACAAATATGAATATATACTTGTCCGTTTCGGTTCCCTTTTATTTCTAACTAAAGAAAAAAACTCAATTTCCCATGAGCCTTTGCGGTCGGCAACCCCAGAACTCTTAACTTTTATTGCCACGTAAGTAACAGGAGGTCACAGACTTGGAAATTGCTTTGGCTCAGTGCAACAGTCAGAGAGAGATAATAAAAATAAAGAATAAAAATAAAGAATAAAAAACACTTCTAAGGAATACATTTAAATTTAAAATAGAGTTACAGTTACTATTTACAATCTACAAGTGCACATGGTGCACACAATGTAAGGTGACAGCAGTACAGTGAAGTAAAGTGACGTATGATGGGCAGTAAAGTGACTTTATAAAGGGCGGGGGGACAGGTTAAGAAGTGTTCAAGAGTCCAACAGCAGAGGGGAAGAAACTGTTCTTGTGGCGGGAGGTTCTAGTCCTGATGGACCGCAGCCTCCTGCCTGAGGGGAGTGGTTGGAATAGTCCATGTGCAGGTGAGAGGGGAGTGGTTGGAATAGTCCATGTGCAGGTGAGAGGGGAGTGGTTGGAATAGTCCATGTGCAGGTGAGAGGGGTCGGCTGTGATACGACCAGCCCGGCCTCGAGCTCGGGCGACGTACAAGTCCTGCAGCGATGGAAGGCTGCGGCCGATCACTTCCTCTGCAGAGCGCACAATGCGCTGTAGTCTCTGTTTGTCCCTGACTGTGGCTCCAGCGAACCACACGGTGATGGAGGAGGTGATGGAGGAGGTGATGGAGGAGGTGAGGATGGACTCGATGATGGCCGTGTAGAACTGCACCAACATCTGTGCAGGCAGCTTGGCTTTCCTGAGCTGCCGCAGGAAGTACATCCTCTGCTGGGCCTTCTTGATGAGGGAGCTGATGGTCGGCTCCCACTTGAGGTCCTGGGTGATGGTGGTGCCCAGGAAAGGGAAGGACTCCACAGAGGTGATGGGGGAGTCCATCACGGAGGGTGGGGGCGGGGGGACAGTGCTCTTCCTGAAGTCCACAATCATCTCCACTGTCTTCTGGGCGTTCAGCTCCAGGTTGTTACCACTGCACCAGGACACCAGCCGGTCCACCTCCCTCCTGGAGGCGGACTCATCGTTGTTGGAGATGAGTCCAATGAGGGTGGTGTCGTCCGCGAACTTGATCAGCTTCACGGAGTCGTGGCTGGAGGTGCAGTGGTTGGTGTACAGGGAGAAGAGCAGGGGAGAAAGAACACAGCCCTGTGGGGCTCCTGTATTTATAATCCGAGAGTCCGAGACATTCTTCCCCAGACGCACTCGCTGCTTCCTGTCCGTCAGGAAGTCAGTGATCCATCTGCAGGTGGAATCGGGCACGTTGAGCTGGGAGAGCTTGTCCTGGAGCAGGGATGGCAGGATTGTGTTGAAGGCAGAGCTGAAGTCCACGAACAGGACCCTGGCGTAGGTCCCCGGGGAGTCCAGGTGCTGTAGGATGTGGTGGAGGGCCAGGTTGATGGCGTCGTCTACAGATCTGTTGGCTCTGTAGGCGAACTGCAGGGGGTCCAGGAGTGAGGAGGTGAGGGACTTGAGATGGGAGAGGACCAGGCGTTCAAATGACTTCATGACGACAGACGTAAGTGCTACAGGTCTGTAGTCATTGAGTCCTGTGATCCTGGGCTTCTTCGGGACGGGGACAATGATGGAGGATTTGAAGCAGGCCGGGACATGGCAGGACTGCAGAGAGGTGTTGAAAATGTCCGTGAACACAGGAGTAAGCTCACTGGCGCAGTGTCTCAGAGTGGCCGGAGACACGTGGTCCGGGCCAGGAGCTTTGCGGGGGTGCAGCCTCAAGAAGAATTGTTTAATATCTTTAGAGGCTATTGTTAGGCTGGGGGCAGGGCTGATGGGTGGGTCGTTAGAGTAGTGGGGCTGGGGGAGGTGTCAGGGGCAGCATCAAAGCGACTGAAAAAAAAGTTCAGTTCGTCAGCTAGCTTGTGGTCGTCAGCACAGGGGGGGGCTTTGGGTTTGTAGTTGGTGATCTCCCGTAGGCCCCTCCAGACAGAAGCAGTATCGTTGTTACCAAACTGCTCCTGTAGTCTGTGTAAGCCCTCAGTCGTACAGGGATTAGTCAAAGCAAAGGAAGGTTTCTCACCCATCATCTGTACTTCTTAGCAAGTTTTCCCAACGTTTCGTCCTCAAACTAGCGGACTTCTTCAGGGAATGAATTCTCGGACCGCGCGTTGGAGAGTGAGTGAACTTGCCTTTCTAGATTGTAAGGTCATCATACTGGAGAACGGACAATTAGAGACTGAGGTCTTCAGAAAGTCCACTCACACTGACCAGTACCTGGCCTTTGATTCAAATCATCCGCTACAACACAAACTCGGGGTCATTAGAACGCTTCAACACCGAGCCCACCAGGTCCCCACTAGCTCGGAGGGAAAGAACAGAGAAACCAAACATGTTCAGAGAGCACTTTCCAGATGTGGCTACCCCAAGTGGTCTTTTACTAAAGCCCAAAGGACGAGAAAGGCCAGAGACACAGTCCAACAGACAGAAGAAAGTAGGAGGAGAGGGGTGTCCTTACCGTATGTGGCGGGAGTTTCAGAGAAACTACAAAGAATCTAACCACACCCATAGGTTATACATCTCCAACGCGCGGTCCGAGAATTCATTCCCTGAAGAAGTCCGCTAGTTTGAGGACAAAACGTTGGGAAAACTTGCTAAGAAGTACAGATGATGGGTGAGAAACCTTCCTTTGCTTTGCTCCTGTAGTCGTTCTCTGTGCCGGGACTTGGCTGCTTTCAGTTCTTTCCTGAACTGATATTTAGCTGCTTTGTAGCCGCTGCGGTCCCCCTCCCTGAAAGCGGACTCCTTTGCTTTCCTGAGCTGCCGGAGTTTAGCAGTGAACCAGGGTTTGTCGTTGTTATAGATGACCCTGGTCCTTGTTGGAATGATGCTATCCTCGCAGAAGTGAATGTATGACGTCACAGTGTCCGTGTATTCATCCAAACTATCTGTGGCAGCTCTGAAAAGGTCCCAGTCTGTAGATTCCATGCATGCAGCTCTTCCACAGCTTCATCAGACCACACTTTGGAGCTTCTCACTGCAGGTTTCGAGAGCTTTAGTCTCTGTCTGTAAGCAGGAACCAGATGTATCATGGAGTGATCTGAGAAGCCGAGGGCTGGCTTGGGAACAGCGCGAAAAGCTCCGCGCACGGTGGATTTGGGTAATTCCTGGCTCAAGTTTCCCTTATTAAAATCCCCCAGGATAATAATCAGAGAGTCCGGGTATAAACGTTCCATACACAGTACTTGCTCTGCGTCCGCGCATGCCGGTATGTAAACAGAGGCAAGAATGAAAGAAACAATTTCATGAGGGGAGTAAAACAGTTTACAATGAATGAAAAGATATTCCAGAGCAGGAGAGCAGTGCTTGGAGATCACTGTCACATCGTTACACCAGTTTGTATTGACGTAGAAACACAGCCCTCCGCCTCTGCTCTTCCCTGAGAGCGCACAATGGCGATCCGTGCAGAGAGTAGAGACGTAGAGAAAGGTTGAGCAGAGTGGGGCTGATGGCAGATCCTTGGACTGTAATGTCGTGGATCAGTTTTCTGTTTTTTAAAGTATTTTATAAACATCTAGAGCAGTGCTGTGTGTGTGTGTGTGTGTGGCCGTGTGTGTGTGTGTGTGTGTGTGTGCCGTGCATGTGCGTGTGTGTGCCGTGTGTGCGTGTGCGTGTGTGTGTGTGTGTGGCGTGTGTGTGTGTGTGTGCGTGCGTGTGCCGTGTGTGTGTGCCGTGTGTGTGTGCGTGCGTGTGCCGTGTGTGTGTGCCGTGTGTGCTGTGTGTGTGTGTGTGTGTGTGTGTATTTGGTTGTCCTAAAACAGATAAACAAGAACAAAAACGAGGTGGGAGGAGGCAGTGGGTTCTCCTGGTCCCCTGTGTGTAGCCTCCTCTGTGGACCTATTCCCTTTTGTAACTCTGTCGCTGTCAATCAGTTTTGTTTTTATACTTTTTGTACTAAATGTGTGCTGAAAGTGTTTATTGTTGTCTTTCAAGAATAGTAAAATAAATCATCTCAATCATCTGTAAGTGGAAACGTCTAATCAGAAAACCAGACTTCTCACTGGTTTGAACAGAAGGGAGCACATCACCCCTGTCTTAGCGTCCCTCCACTGGCTCCCTGTGCGGTTTACAATTGATTTTACTTTTAAAGCTCGTTTAGGTCTTGCACCCAGCTATATTTATGCACTTTTAACCCCCTACGAGCCCTTCCCCCGCAGCCTTAGATCCTCGGGCAGGTCCCTGTGACTGTTCCAAGGTCGAGGCTCCGAACAAAAGGAGACCGAGCCTTCTCTGTCCGGGGTCCTCGGCTTTGGAACCACCCGAGGAGATAAGGCTTCATCAGTATCCTCTTTTAAATCTCTTCTAAAAACCCACTTTTATAAAACAGCTTTTAATTGTTTGTTTTAAACTTCACATGCTTCATTTTAATGTCTGCTCTGTCTTTGTTGTGTCTTTCTTCTTGTGTTTGTTTTCCTGTATTACTAAAAATTACTAAAAATATGTTCAATAGGTCTGGCATGTGCCTCCTGTACTGGCCCCACTCCCAAAAATAACAATTGTAAACCGCTTTGAGACTCCGATGTGCAGTGAAAAGGCGGTATATAAATAAAGATTACTAACTTACATAAAGATTACTTACTGTATCTGATGTATCTAATTATTTTGACTTTGCATTATGTTATTATTGTTTATTAAGCTGACTGTGCAGCGCTTTGTAAACATTGTTTTTAAAAGTGCTACACAAATAAAGATTATTATTATTATTATTATAATGCTTTGGTCACTCAGCTCAAAAGACGTACTACAGACCAGAGATCATCATGAACCGAGAGGTCGCGGTCTGGCCAGCTCTGGTTTGGTCTCTCACTGGTCTCTTTGTCTCTGGTCTCTCTCTAAAGTCTCTCAATGATATCTCTCTGGTCTCTCTCTCTGGTCTCTCTCTGGTCTCTCTCTCTGGTCTCTCTCTCTGGTCTCTCTCTCTGGTCTCTCTCTCTGGTCTCTCTCTCTCTGGTCTCTCTCTCTCTGGTCTCTCTCTCTCTGGTCTCTCTCTCTGGTCTCTCTCTGGTCTCTCTCTCTCTCTCTCTCTCTGGTCTCTCTCTCTGGTCTCTCTCTCTCTGGTCTCTCTCTCTCTGGTCTCTCTCTCTCTGGTCTCTCTCTCTGGTCTCTCTCTGGTCTCTCTCTCTCTCTCTCTCTCTGGTCTCTCTCTCTGGTCTCTCTCTCTCTGGTCTCTCTCTCTGGTCTCTCTCTCTCTGGTCTCTCTCTCTGGTCTCTCTCTCTCTGGTCTCTCTCTGGTCTCTCTCTGGTCTCTCTCTGGTCTCTCTCTGGTCTCTCTCTGGTCTCTCTCTGGTCTCTCTCTGGTCTCTCTCTGGTCTCTCTCTCTGGTCTCTCTCTCTGGTCCTCAGAGAGTTAAATTATGAAAGTCTGTTATCTCTTCCACCGCAGTAGTTTTTCTACAAAAGATATTATTTCAAATTTAAAAACATATAAATAATTCTCATAATAACAACGGCCAAAACATTAAATAACATGTAATCTTAAGGTAGAGGGTCAGTGTGTCGCATGTTCAAGAAGTTTCTGGTTTCAAAATGTGGGCCACGATGGTCAGATATTTATAGTCTCAGCCCTCTCCTGGTTTCAAAACACGTCCCCATGAGCACTCGCTCCTGGGTCAGACAGGGTCAGACAGGGTCAGACTGGGTCAGACAGGGTCAGACTGGGTCATACAGGGTCAGACTGGGTCAGACTGGGTCAGACAGGGTCAGACAGGGTCAGACAGGGTCAGACTGGGTCAGACTGGGTCAGACTGGGTCAGACAAGGTCAGACAAGGTCAGACTGGGTCAGACAGGGTCAGACAGGGTCAGACTGGGTCAGACAGGGTCAGACAGGGTCAGACTGGGTCAGACTGGGTCAGACAGGGTCAGACAGGGTCAGACAGGGTCAGACTGGGTCAGACTGGGTCAGACTGGGTCAGACTGGGTCAGACTGGGTCAGACAAGGTCAGACAAGGTCAGACTGGGTCAGACAGGGTCAGACAGGGTCAGACAGGGTCAGACAGGGTCAGACTGGGTCAGACAGGGTCAGACAGGGTCAGACAGGGTCAGACTGGGTCAGACAGGGTCAGACTGGGTCAGACTGGGTCAGACTGGGTCAGACTGGGTCAGACAAGGTCAGACAAGGTCAGACAGGTCAGACAGGGTCAGACAGGGTCAGACAGGGTCAGACAGGGTCAGACTGGGTCAGACTGGGTCAGACAGGGTCAGACAGGGTCAGACAGGGTCAGACTGGGTCAGACAGGGTCAGACAGGGTCAGACAGGGTCGGGGCAGTCATGATTTACACTTTTTTACTAATTCCCTCTAAGTCCTGTTTGTGTTCATGTCCTGGTGGTTCATGACTGTTAGCAAAAAAACAAATGTAACGTCATAATGTGTGTGTTTATGTGTGTGTATTTTTCATGTTTTTTTATTGTTGCTGTTTAAAAAACAAACAAAAAAAAACGAGATTTTTCATCAAATCAGACGGGTCGATTTAATCATAATAAAGTGTATGTAAATCTTGTCTCTCATCACATTTTAGTTGAACTGTTCATTAATATGCACTTTCCCAGTAATAAATAAATAGAGAATATAATGTTTTGTGTAGACCTGTAATCAGACTTGTGTTTTACAGACCAGACTGAGGCTGAACCTGAGGAGGCACCGCTTTCAACACAGTCAGGTGAGAGACCCTCCAAGATCAAGTGCAAGGCTGGATGATGTACACACACATTTTACACGTTCCATATTTAATGCAATATTCAATAAGATGTAATGAGTGTGTTTTTGAAAGTGCAGTTGGGGGTGCATGTCCACCTCTCAAACCACAATAAAGCGCTGTCGCAAAGGTCAAAAGACTGCCTCCACATTATGATACCCGAGTCCAGTCACTGGCCCTTACATAGGGGACATTAGTACCAAGCTCTACAGACATGAGTCAGATCCATATTAGCTCACTGTTCCTCCTGGAGGATGGTATTCTTAGTGGATAGAAAGCTTAAGTTTGACCTAAAATGAATGATATCCACTGGTCTAAATGTCCCCAACACGACATGTACAGAGCTGAAAGTTGTGTCACACTTTCCTGAAAGAACTGCAGCACCAGAAAGTGAACTGGTGCATTTTCAATGAGCTGCACTACAGTGCCCCCTGCATGACATTTCTGAAACAATGTTGTGAAAGCTACATTTGTACATTGTTCTGCAGATATGTATTCACACCTGTTTTCTGTTCCCTCCAGAAGCACCAAGGGAGCAGCAGAGTCCGGCTTGGTCATTCTGAGAGAAGTGGGACAAATGGTGGAATGGAACCAGGCGTGGACCAGAGGAGGACGCCACGCCCTCCACAGTCAGGCGAGTGACGGACTTCTATGTGTCATAAGCAGTGTTGGGGAAGTTTGTTTTAAAGAGACTTCTCTCGTTACTTATTTTAAAAAGGACCTGTTACTTTACTTACTTAGTCTCTACAGAAAGTTACGTTAATGTTATTCGTTGCTTTACTTTTGTGTTGCTGTTATTAACCACTACAGTCTCTGCCATCCACTAAAAGTGGTCAAATCCAAGAAGACACGTCGAACTGTCATTGACTTTGCACTGAAACTGGACTCACCGCGTGGCCTGCTGTGAACGCCTCTTAACGCTCTGAACCAATGCAGAGCTGGGAAACCTATTGAGCCAATGAAACGCTTCGACACCGTTCACACTGTTTAACCTACACTGTTTAACCCACACTGTTTAACCTACACTGTTTAACCCACACTGTTTAACCTACACTGTTTAGCCTACACTGTTTAGCCTACACTGTTTAACCCACACTGTTTAACCTACACTGTTTAACCTACACTGTTTAACCTACACTGTTTAACCTACACTGTTTAGCCTACACTGTTTAACCCACACTGTTTAACCCACACTGTTTAACCTACACTGTTTAACCCACACTGTTTAACCTACTGTTTAGCCTACACTGTTTAACCTACTGTTTAGCCTACACTGTTTAACCCACACTGTTTAACCTACACTGTTTAACCTACTGTTTAGCCTACACTGTTTAACCTACACTGTTTAACCCACACTGTTTAACCTACTGTTTAGCCTACACTGTTTAACCTACACTGTTTAACCTACTGTTTAGCCTACACTGTTTAACCCACACTGTTTAACCTACACTGTTTAACCTACACTGTTTAACCTACACTGTTTAGCCTACACTGTTTAACCCACACTGTTTAACCTACACTGTTTAACCCACACTGTTTAACCTACTGTTTAGCCTACACTGTTTAACCTACACTGTTTAACCTACTGTTTAGCCTACACTGTTTAACCTACACTGTTTAACCTACTGTTTAGCCTACACTGTTTAACCCACACTGTTTAACCTACACTGTTTAACCTACTGTTTAGCCTACACTGTTTAACCTACACTGTTTAACCCACACTGTTTAACCTACTGTTTAGCCTACACTGTTTAACCTACACTGTTTAACCTACTGTTTAGCCTACACTGTTTAACCCACACTGTTTAACCTACACTGTTTAACCTACTGTTTAGCCTACACTGTTTAACCTACACTGTTTAACCTACATTGTTTAACCTACTGTTTAACCTACACTGTTTAACCTACACTGTTTAACCTACTGTTTAACCTACACTGTTTAGCCCACACTGTTTAACCTACATTGTTTAACCTACTGTTTAACCTACACTGTTTAACCTACATTGTTTAACCTACTGTTTAGCCTACACTGTTTAACCTACTGTTTAGCCTACACTGTTTAACCTACATTGTTTAACCTACACTGTTTAACCTACTGTTTAGCCTACACTGTTTAGCCTACACTGTTTAATCTACATTGTTTAACCTACTGTTTAGCCTACACTGTTTAACCTACTGTTTAGCCTACACTGTTTAACCTACATTGTTTAATCTACACTGTTTAACCTACTGTTTAGCCTACACTGTTTAGCCTACACTGTTTAACCTACATTGTTTAACCTACTGTTTAGCCTACACTGTTTAACCTACAGTATTTAACCTACAGTCCGACCTGACAACATCACATACACAAAAAGACATAGTTCAGGCATTCTTTATTATTTGGTTGCCTTTTCAGAGCACAACCAGCTCAGCCTCCTTCCCAGAACATGTCTCCTTCAAAATGTCCTTTTTAAGAAGATAAGACACGCCTCCACTTCCACACAGTCATACAGACTCACAATGAGACCCTCGGTATTTGCTTAACAGATATTTGCAAGTCACAGGACAGGAATGAGCCACAGAGAACAGAGCATTGTCACCGAGAGCATCTGCATGCAAACCCCTGGACCTCCTGGAGCCAGAAATGAATCTCTTTCATTACACAATATATCTAGCCACAAAAGGATTATTAAAATGATAACTTAAACAACATTCCAGTTACAGACACACTGACACAGTTGATGCAGAGGCCGAGACACTGACACGTTTATGACATGACCGTCTGTTTTGATACACGCTCCAACGTTTTGAAGCAGTTTGCTTCTGGAAGAGCGACACACACAGCCTTGGTGTTCTTTGCCCATCACTAATGCGCCAGATAAAAAAAATAAACGGCTTCAAGTTATAAAATTGTCGATAGTTACCGCGTTACTTTACTTCCCCCCTGGAAAAAAGTTGTTTTGTTAATGTAACACGTTAATTTGTAAGTACTTAATTACTTTGCAGCGCGTGTTACACCCACCCCTGGTCATAAGACACAGATGTGTGAGTGTTCTGTTGTATATAGACCTGTAATCAGACCTAGTAAGTAAGTAATGTTTATTTATATACCGCCTTTCACAGACCAGAGTCACAAAGCGGTTTACAATTGTTATTTTTGGGCACTTGTCTCTCACTCCACACAGAGATGGAGCGGGGTCGCCGAACAGCAGGCGCATGCCAATCCTATTGTACATATTTTTAGTGGTAGGGGAAACCGGAGTACCCGGAGGAAACCTACGCAGACACGGGGAGAATATGCAAACTCCACTCAGAAAGGCCCTGGTCCGGCCGGGATTCGAACCCAGGACCTTCTTGCTGAGAGGCGAGAGTGCTATCCACTCAGCCACCGTGGGTTCTACTGAAGGACGGAGCGAGGAGCAGAACGCAGTTCCCCACAGCAATGTAGGGACAGACTCAGCACCGCCTCCCTCTGGGCAGTCTCTCTCTGGGCTGTCTCCCTCTGGGCAGTCTCCCTCTGGGCAGTCTCCCTCTGGGCAGTCTCCCACTGGGCAGTCTCCCACTGGGCAGTCTCCCTCTGGCCTGTCTCCCTCTGGGCAGTCTCTCTCTGGGCTGTCTCCCTCTGGGCAGTCTCCCTCTGGGCAGTCTCCCTCTGGGCAGTCTCCCACTGGGCAGTCTCCCTCTGGCCTGTCTCCCTCTGGCCTGTCTCCCTCTGGGCTGTCTCCCTCTGGGCAGTCTCCCTCTGGGCAGTCTCCCTCTGGGCAGTCTCCCTCTGGGCAGTCTCCCTCTGGGCAGTCTCTCTCTGGGCAGTCTCTCTCTGGGCAGTCTCCCTCTGGGCTGTCTCCCTCTGGGCAGTCTCCCTCTGGGCAGTCTCTCTCTGGGCAGTCTCTCTCTGGGCAGTCTCTCTCTGGGCTGTCTCTCTCTGGGCTGTCTCCCTCTGGGCAGTCTCCCTCTGGGCAGTCTCTCTCTGGGCAGTCTCCCTCTGGGCAGTCTCTCTCTGGGCTGTCTCCCTCTGGGCAGTCTCCCACTGGGCAGTCTCCCTCTGGCCTGTCTCCCTCTGGGCAGTCTCTCTCTGGGCAGTCTCCCTCTGGGCAGTCTCCCACTGGGCAGTCTCCCTCTGGCCTGTCTCCCTCTGGCCTGTCTCCCTCTGGGCTGTCTCCCTCTGGGCAGTCTCCCTCTGGGCAGTCTCCCTCTGGGCAGTCTCTCTCTGGGCAGTCTCCCTCTGGGCAGTCTCCCTCTGGGCAGTCTCCCTCTGGGCAGTCTCTCTCTGGGCAGTCTCTCTCTGGGCAGTCTCTCTCTGGGCTGTCTCCCTCTGGGCAGTCTCTCTCTGGGCAGTCTCTCTCTGGGCAGTCTCTCTCTGGGCAGTCTCCCTCTGGGCAGTCTCCCTCTGGGCAGTCTCTCTCTGGGCTGTCTCCCTCTGGGCAGTCTCTCTCTGGGCTGTCTCCCTCTGGGCAGTCTCCCTCTGGGCTGTCTCCCTCTGGGCAGTCTCTCTCTGGGCAGTCTCTCTCTGGGCTGTCTCTCTCTGGGCTGTCTCCCTCTGGGCAGTCTCCCTCTGGGCAGTCTCCCTCTGGGCTGTCTCTCTCTGGGCTGTCTCGCTCTGGGCAGTCTCTCTCTGGGCTGTCTCCCTCTGGGCAGTCTCTCTCTGGGCTGTCTCCCTCTGGGCAGTCTCCCTCTGGGCAGTCTCTCTCTGGGCAGTCTCTCTCTGGGCAGTCTCTCTCTGGGCTGTCTCCCTCTGGGCAGTCTCCCTCTGGGCTGTCTCCCTCTGGGCAGTCTCTCTCATGGGCTGTCTCCCTCTGGGCTGTCTCCCTCTGGGCAGTCTCTCTCTGGGCAGTCTCTCTCTGGGCTGTCTCCCTCTGGGCTGTCTCCCTCTGGGCAGTCTCTCTCTGGGCAGTCTCTCTCTGGGCTGTCTCCCTCTGGGCTGTCTCCCTCTGTGCAGCCTCCTCCTGCGCAGCCTCCTCCTGCGCAGCCTCCTCCTGCACAGCCTCCTCCTGCACAGCCTCCTCCTGCGCAGCCTCCTCCTGCGCAGCCTCCTCCTGCGCAGCCTCCTCCTGCGCAGCCTCCTCGTGCGCAGCCTCCTCCTGCGCAGCCTCCTCCTGCGCAGCCTCCTCCTGCGCAGCCTCCTCCTGCACAGCCTCCTCCTGCTCAGCCTCCTCCTGCGCAGCCTCCTCCTGCGCAGCCTCCTCCTGCGCAGCCTCCTCCTGCGCAGCCTCCTCGTGCGCAGCCTCCTCCTGCGCAGCCTCCTCCTGCGCAGCCTCCTCCTGCGCAGCCTCCTCCTGCACAGCCTCCTCCTGCTCAGCCTCCTCCTGCGCAGCCTCCTCCTGCGCAGCCTCCTCCTGCGCAGCCTCCTCCTGCGCAGCCTCCTCCTGCGCAGCCTCCTCCTGCGCAGCCTCCTCCTGCGCAGCCTCCTCCTGCGCAGCGTCCTCCTGCGCAGCCTCCTCCTGCACAGCCTCCTCCTGCTCAGCCTCCTCCTGCGCAGCCTCCTGCTGATCCCCTCCCAATAACATCAACCTGGAGGCCTGAGGAAATACCAGGGAGGAACCAGATGCCAGGTAAGGACAGCTGTAAGGTTATTATTTCACATCTACTGCTCATGTTGTTCACTATAGCTCTGTTCCGACAGCTCACCCCGTTCTTTCTAGGCTCTCACTCAAATCTCAATCCTTTTCTCAAACACCTAGTGACCTGTGTCTAAGTGTACAACCTATTTGGACGAGGGCTGGGCGATATGGCTGAAAACTATATCACGATATAAGTCATTCATATCGGTCGATAACAATATATATTGAGTTTTTTTTTTTTAAACCTAAATAAATATATTTGTGGTGTGGGCTAACCAACCTTAGCAGCCTTGTTTACAGTCACGGGGCGATGAGGCTGGAGGAATATGTTCACACTGTGTCCCTCGTTGTTAGTCCTGGTTTAATCCTGTTTTTTTATTCCTGGTTTAGCTCCTGGTTTAGCTGTTTTAGGGTCTTGTGTCCCCCTGACTGCTCCGTGCGGCTCTCTGTGCCGCACATGCTTCCCGAGGAAAAAGTTAATCTCTTGCTTTCGCCGAATACATGGTGTCTGTCCACTGCCTCTGCCGCCGCACATGTTATTCCGCGCACGTACGTGCATAACCATTGACACGGCATTGAAACACGAGCTATAGATCCATGGACGCTACGCATGCTGCGGTTGTTGTTGTCTTTGCATTGCCCAGTTTTGCGGTTCCTGCTCGGCTGTTATTGGTCGAGAAGCCTCTGCCTACATCCCCCACAATGCCATGCGCTTATGAGTCGGCTTTACTTCCGGTGTTTTCTTCCTGTTTTTCCTGACGGAGTTAAGTTAAACTATCGAACATTCTATCGACCCCATTCTCTATTGATATCGAACACATGTCTATCGCGATATATATCGTTATCGTTTTATCGTCCAGCCCTAATTTGGACAATAAAATCACCAACGTTGTGTGTTTCCACCATAACACAGGATGGGCGTGAACATGAGGTTGAGGCTGAAGGAGACTGGAGACGAACCCGACATGACTACGATGTCTGGAGAAGTCAGTGTTTCTTGAGTGGTCTTAGCCCGACAGAAACCCGGGCAATAAACTTTCTGCCGTCTGCCCTGAACTGGAACACACATGTTTTTTGTGTCATTTATTTCGTCAGTGCTGGAAGACAAATACGTTCTGTTGCCCTATTTTCCTCCACATTACTGGGACAAGGTCATACTTTCCGTAAACCAAAGAGAGTAACCTTATATTGTTACGAGCTGCTATTTGCATTAATTTATTCAGACCTCATCATTGTCCCTTTAAGAGCTTTTTTTTGGCAATTGGTATTTTCAGAAATGTATCTTCTTTGCTTCTGTTTGTCCTGCAGGTGGTTATCAAAAGGTTCCCATTCAGCTCTGCTTCATATTTACCTTTTTGTTCTAATCAATCAAGACAATTATTTCAAAACGTATGTCCATATTTCCTCTAAAACACTCACTGACCCTACACCTCTCTCCCTTTACCCGCCCATTTCTTCAGAACTTATTTTGAAGAACAGTTTTTGACATTGATCCAGGTTTGAGCCTTTATTCATATCTTCCGTGATCCTGTGTCTCTGTCGTTGAAACATTTTGGTGCATTAGGTGCAGAGTTCATTATTTGTGCAGTTTTAAAGGTAATTTTTAGACCAAAATGTGAGCGTTACGCAAACAATTACTGAGTTACTTCCATGTGCACTTCCCTTTTGAGATGGCGAGTTAGCAGCGTCCATCTATGTAGTCTTTTCACCGGTCCACACACTGCAGGGGTTATTGTAGTCCACATCAATGACTGAAGTTATTTGATATCGACAAATTGGGTCGAAAACAATCATGTAGTAAATTATTATTCACCAGTGAATAAATGACAACTGATAACGTGCGTAAGACGTTATCATTATTCTTGTGGGCGGGACGACTCGCGGCCATCTTGGATTGCTCCATGAGAGCACATTTTTCGGCCCACTCCTTTGAACGGCGGAGATAGGCGTGACTCTGTCCGTTAATATATACAGCCTATGGTAATTATACATAGATTATGCAAAATAAATAAGCAGTTGGTGTCCAAGGGAAGAACGGATGTTGGAACCTATTTCTTTAGAGCATCAACATCAGGGTTTGCTCCAGAGGATATCACCTTTACAGTTTATGTAAAAGTCCCACATCAAAAAGAGACTAACATTATTTTAATTGGGTCCATGTGGTCTTCAATGATTCTTTTTACAATTAAGCTATAACACAAGTTGACAGCCAAAAAATGGTCAGGGGTTTCTCAACTGATTCAGACTAATGTTGGAGTTCTGAGAATATCTCATGCATTTGTCTCTATCAGGTCAACTGTTTGAGATACAGCCACAGTGTTACGGATTATGTACGTCTGTTATTATGAATTCTGCTTATCAAATGTGATGGAGTAAATAAAAACTGAATGACTTTGGATACGTTGACTTTTATTTCTTGAGGAAAACGGAAAAAACCTCAAGGGTTTCTCAGCTGATGATCCGCAGAAATTTGTTTTTTACGCAAAGTCGATTTAAAAGAATATTTCTGTAGCAAAAAATCCTGACCTGATTGAGCAAAACCAAGGTCATTTTCAGACTCAGAGCATCAACATTAGTTGAAAACCCTGGACTATTTTCAAACAATATGTTTTTGTTACCCAGTGTTATCTGCCTAAAACATCATGATCTTAGTTTTTGACCGTTTTTTGAGCAATCCGTCAAAAAATGTGATATTATGAAATTGAATTCAATCGGACTATGCTCGGACTCAAACCCAATTCACCGAAGTGCAGGAGCTACAGCCCCATCGCCACACACGACTTCATCTACCGGATGCAGAATGGCCTCAAAGCAGCAAATTTAGCATCACACGTAAACTTTTATCAGCCTCAATTTTTAAAGGCGTCCCGATATAAATCCTCGTTTTAGTCTCTGTTTTGTCATTAATTAAAACAAATGTCACAACAAGAGCTTTTTTTTTGCCACGCGGAGTCCTGGCAACCCGATCGCGGACCTCCATGGGACTTCCTGATTCGCGACGCGGCGGAGGGCAGGCCGCCAAAATCAAAACAATAACAACTTTTATATATTCAAATATCTGGGATGAACTAATGTTATCAGTTACAGATGTATTTGAAAAGAGCATGATTTAATAACGCCTTTTGAAATATTGGGGCCTTTTAATGCTATCTTGACATGCAAATATTCCATACTGCTGCTTTAAAGGTAGAGGGTCAGTGTGTCACATGTTCAAGAAGTTTCTGGTTTCAAAATGTGGGCCACGATGGTCAGATATTAATAGTCTCAGCCCTCTCCTGGTTTCAAAACACGTCCCCATGAGCACTCGCTCCTGGGTCAGGGTCCGGGACCAGGACTTCCTCTTAGTTTTACCTTTTCATTGGAGAATTGCAAACTTCATTGACTGAAATTTAATCCTGCTCTGAAGCTGAAGCTGCTGAAGAGAGAGAGACCTTCTGGATCTGACGGTAAGTGGTTTTATGTCCGGTCTCTTTCTGGTCACTCCCTCCGGTCTCACTCTAGTCTCTTAACTTGCTCTTTGGTCCCTCTCTCTCTCTAGTCTCCTGCTCTTTGTTATCTCTCTTTATTCTCCTTCTGGCCTCTCTGGTTTCTCTCTCTGGCCTCTCTCTTGTCTCTCTCTCCAGTTTCTCTCTCTGGTCTCTACTTCTGGTCTCTCCTTCTGGCCTCTCTCTGGTCTCTACTTCTGCATCTCTCTGGTCTCTCCTTCTGGCCTTTCTCTGGTCTGTCTCTCTCTGGTCTCTCTCTAGTCTCTCCCTCTGGCGGTTGGCTTCTCTCTGGTCTCCCTCTAGTCTCTCCTGGCTTCTCTCTGGCCTCTCTCTGGTCTCTCTCTGGTCTCTCTCTGGTCTCTCCTTCTGGCCTCTCTCTGGCCTCTCTATTTGGTCTCTACTTGGCTGCTCTCTGGTGGATTAGATTCAACCATGGATCTATAATAATATCTGGATAGGGTATTACTAGCTTACAGCGGTCCCACCCATGGGCTTTCATAAAGATCGGATTTTCTAATGCTAAAGTCAGTTGGTGCTGTCCTGGCTCTGTGTGTTTTACATTTATGTTTGGTTTTCTATGCAGTCATTTTTGTTCTACATCATTTCCCCACGGTGTAAAATAAACAAGAATATTCTATATATTCCACAGAGAGAGAGTGAGAGAGAAAGTCCGGTCTGGATCTACAAGGTCACGTACTGAAGTGTTTTAAGTGACGGTGAAGCCAAACTGGGTTGGTGGAAACAGGGCTTCTAAAGGATTTAACCCTTTAGGCGCCACGGTTTACGTCACCATTTAATGTTCACCCTTTAAAGAAAGAAATAAAAGATATAGGAGCACTAATCTGTTATGTTTTCATGTTATTTTTTTATTTTTTACCCCTAGTTTATTTTTTATAACCGGCCTTTACCAAATATTTGAGATGCATGTTGATGGTAAAAGTGCCTTAAACCATGTGAGATGCACCAAAGAGGTAGATTTCAGTTCCAAATATGCTTAAAGTAGATCTGGAGAATCAAAAGGTGATCTACAAAATGGTGGAGGAAACCATTAAAGGGTTAAGTCGACGACACGTGGTATTGTTTAAAACGGCAGATTGTGTGAAACAGGGTCTGGGCTCACACCTGGGGCAGTAATGAGTTCTGTTTGTGTTCATGTCCTGGTGATTTTCATGTCTGTCAGTAAAAAAATCAACAAAAATCATGAAAATTCTAAAATCCAAAATTGCCACCGCCATATAACGTCACAATATGCAAATCAGAGGGGTCAATTCAACTTAATCCCTACGTAAACTTTGGGCCATCCTTAATGTTTCTATAATTTACAGAAATCCTGTCTCTCATCACATTTTAGTTATAGCCTTTTGAAATGAGTATGTTCAAATCGAGCGTTTTAGGAAAAAACCTCTGGCGCTTAAAGTCATTGACTGTTGTTTTGATGGTCTCCAGAGCCCCGCCCCCTGCTGGTCACCATGGCGACGCTAGCCTTCGAAGACTACTCTCTGTACAGTGACCTCTCAGACGACGAACTCCTGCAGCTCGCCATCCAACGCAGTCTGGAGGAAGGCCACCAATCAGACGCCCCGCTGCTGCCCGAGACTCCACCCCCTCAAGACATCCAGCCAATCAGGGCGGCCCGCAATTCCCAGCACCAGAACGCTCTCGCTATCAGAAGAAACTCCACCCCCCAGAATGCACCTGTGCCCGAGGTCGCTCACTACAGCTCTCCCAACCCGCCCCGTGAGAAGCCCCCAGACCCGTAAGAACCCAGTACCAGATGTAGCCGTAGACCAGGGGTGTCTAAACTTTATGATGATGTAAAACAGTGCCGAAGTTGGCTGAATGATACTTGTCTTCCATCTCACCAGCTACATTAGCAACACTAACAGAAGTGAAACACGTCAGTACAGTTTGTGCAAATGAAGTCAACGACGTACTGGGCTTTAACAAGATCTATATTGGCTGAGCTGAAGTTGGATGGTTGACACTGAGCTGTATGATCTCAAAGACTGCTTTAGCTTAGCAGGCAGAGGGCCACATAACATGACACTGAGGGCTACAATTGGCCCCCGGGCCTGAGTTTGGACCTGCTGTAGACAAAGGGGAACCATCGAGACCTGGTTTAGTCTAATTGTGAATGAATGATTGTGTGTTCTTTGCACACACCAGGAAGACGTTTAATGGGACCATCAGCCACTTCCTGACGGGATCAGGGAGGAAGATGGTGACGTACCGCAATCTGGACGATACCATCGCCTACATCGGCCCAGAGCCTACAGAGTGAGGGTCGCTCTGGTCTCCCTTTGGTCTCTCTCTCTGTGTCCTCTCTCTCTATGGTTCTCTTTCTCTGGCCTCTCTCTGGTCCCTCTCTTTATGGTCTCTCCCTCTCTGTGTTCTCTCTGGTCTCTCTCTCTCTCTGGTCTCTCTCTCTAGTCTCTCTCTATTCTCTCTATGTTCTCTCTTTCTGGTCCCTCTCTTTTTATGTTTTCTTTCTCTGGTCGCTCTCTGGTCTCTCTCTAGTCTCTCAATTCTCTCTCTAGTCTCTCTCTCTGGTCTCTCTCTCTGGTCTCTCTCTGTTCTCTCTCTCTGTTCTCTCTCTCTGGTCTCTCTCTCTGGTCTCTCTCTCTGGTCTCTCTCTCTGTTCTCTCTCTCTGGTCTCTCTCTGTTCTCTCTCTGGTCTCTCTCTGGTCTCTCTCTGGTCTCTCTCTCTGGTCTCTCTCTCTGGTCTCTCTCTGTTCTCTCTCTCAGTTCTCTCTCTAGTCTCTCTCAGTTCTCTCTCAGTTCTCTCTCTAGCCTCTCTCCCTGGTCTCTCTCTCTGGTCTCTCTCTGTTCTCTCTCTCTGTTCTCTCTCTCTGTTCTCTCTCTCTGTTTTCTCTCTCTGTTTTCTCTCTCTGGTCTCTCTCTCTGGTCTCTCTCTCTGTTCTCTCTCTCTGTTCTCTCTCTCTGGTCTCTCTCTCTGGTCTCTCTCTCTGTTCTCTCTCTCTGTTCTCTCTCTCTGGTCTCTCTCTGTTCTCTCTCTCTGTTCTCTCTCTGTTCTCTCTCTGTTCTCTCTCTCTGTTCTCTCTCTCTGGTCTCTCTCTGGTCTCTCTCTCTGTTCTCTCTCTCTGGTCTCTCTCTCTGGTCTCTCTCTCTGTTCTCTCTCTGGTCTCTCTCTGTTCTCTCTCTCTGGTCTCTCTCTCTGGTCTCTCTCTCTGGTCTCTCTCTCTGGTCTCTCTCTTCTCTCTCTCTGGTCTCTCTCTCTGGTCTCTCTCTGGTCTCTCTCTCTGGTCCTGAGCCCTCCACTAACCCTCTAACAGCTTGATCTGTACAGTTTTAAAGCACGTGTCAAATGCAGAGGCCTCACTCTCCCACAGAGACAGTCAAGAGTACAGTCACCCTCGATCTTTTCCTCCCCAGAGACGAGGAGCCCATCTTTTTGGCGATCCGAGAAGGAGACGCAGCTCGAGTGAAGGCCTTGGCTTTACAACCAGGGACCAACCTTCTGCAGCCCAGTAAACCCGGCTGGCTGCCCATCCACCAGGCGGCATGGTTCGGACAGACAGAGTGTCTCAGGGCCCTCATATCAGGTGATTCTTCTCACACAGGGCGGGGCCAAGCTGAAATCTCAGTTGTCATACTCAGTCATCAAACTGTTTAACCCTTTAAGCGCCAGAGGTTTTTCCCTAAAACACTCAATTTTGACATATTCATTTCAAAAGGCTATAACTAAAATGGATTTCTGTAAATTATAGAAATATTAAGGCCCAAAGTTTATGTTCCTGTTTTGGTCCGTCCGTATGGAGGACCAAAAATGACTAAAGTATAAATAAATAAATAAATAAATAAATACAGGAATATATTAATATATTAATAAATACATTCATTTTGGACAATAAAAATTAAATATTTACATTGATGTGTTAAATATTACTGTGAAATCAAATAAATATACATTTATTTAGGTTATTTATCAATATCTACATTTTTTCCTTTATTTATTTATCCATTTATTGCATATATTTATTTATGTATTTCTACATTTCTTCATTTATTTATTTATGTATTTCTACATTTCTTCATTTATTTATTTATGTATTTCTGTGTCGCTACATTTCTTCATTTATTTATTTATGTATTTCTACATTTCTTCATTTATTTATTTATGTATTTCTACATTTCTTCATTTATTTATGTATGTATTTCTACATTTCTTCATTCATTTATTTATGTATTTCTGTGTCGCTACATTTCTTAATTTATCTATTTATGTATTTCTGTGTTGCCTATGCTAATTAGGCGGGCGGTGCTGAACTCAATCAATAGCAGGATTGGTGGGCAGTAGGTCAGCCAGGGCAACCAGACAGAAGCAAAGTTAAGCCTAGTGTACATCGACAGAGAAACTGGAGACAACTAGTTGCAAGGCGGCTTTTGGCGACTGAGAGGAGATGGTGGGAGATGATCAGTTGCCAAAATCGGTCGATGTGCGCGCTCTTACAACTGGAGATGAGCAGTCGGTCTCCAGTTTCAGTCAGTTGCCCGTGTTCTACTTTTCGGCAACTAGTTGTCCTCAGTTTTTGAGACGTGAGATGTGCGCGCTCCATGCGCCGCTCCGACAGCGTGTGTGTATTGCGTATATGTCAGAAAACACACTGTAGTTGAGGCCAGTTGCTGTCGATGTACGCGCTGTTATTCCCGAGACTGGTCTGCTACTGGGAGTTGCCCGTATTCGTCAGATTGTCGATGTGTGCGGGGCAGGAACTCATATGCGACGGATATAATCAGTTGCCAGTCCGATGTACGCTAGGCTTTAGCCTTCTCGGTTTGTGAGAGGATGTGAAGCTGCTGCTTGTTGAAGAGCGTCCAGCACAGTTGCATCAAAGTCTACCTCTGGGTCAGCACTGTGATAAACTAAAACATCTGATAGTCTTTCCAGCCGAAAGAGTAGATAGTCCTCAGGTGCATTATGCTCAACATCATTAACATCATTTGCTAATGCTCTTAATTGATGAGCAATGGCTCCTAAAAAACTTACATTCGAAACTGCCATCATACCACACAAAAGTGCACAGAGGATCTCTAGCTAGCTAACAGAGTACCGTAATGTGAGGCAGGAATGATCGAGACCAGAGTTAACCTCCTAACCAATCCTGTTCTAGATTGAGTTCAGCACCGCCCACCTAATTAGCATACAGGAACACAGAAATACATAAATAAATAAATGAAGAAATGTAGAAATACACAAATAAATAAATGAAGAAATGTAGCGACACAGAAATACATAAATAAATAAATGAAGAAATGAAGAAATGTAGAAATACATAAATAAATAAATGAAGAAATGTAGAAATACATAAATAAATAAATGAAGAAATGTAGAAATACATAAATAAATATATGCAATAAATGGATAAATAAATAAAGGAAAAAATGTAGATATTGATAAATAACCTAAATAAAAGTATATTTATTTGATTTCAGAGTAATATTTAGCATATCAATGTAAATATTTAGTTTTTATTGTCCAAAATGAATGTATTTATTAATATATTCCTGTATTTATTCATTTATACTTTAGTCATTTTTGGTCCTCCATACTCACTTACTTACTAACTTACTCACTCACTCACTTACTCTGACATCAACTGGCTGACTCACTCACTTACAGTACTCACTCACTTACTCTCTCACTTACGTACGTTACGTACGCTTACTTACTTACTCACTCACTTACTTACTTACTTACTCACTCACTCACTTACTTACTCACTTACTTACTCACGCACTTACAGTACTCACTCACTACTACTCAATCACTTACTGTTACTTACTGACTTACTGACTTACTTACTCACTCACTTACAGTACTCCGACTCACTTAAATCACTCACGGTACTTACTTACTTACGTACTACTTACTTACTGTACTTACTGACTCACTTACTTATACTTAAAGAACTACTTTTAGTCCTAGCTCTGGAGTGGTTGACTCTTACTTTTGCCTTCTCCAGTCATAGTTCAATGCTGCATAGTGGGACAGCCCACAGTTGAACCAGTCTGGTCACAGCTCAGTTGGGTCTGTGTCACATCACTTCTACAACATTACCAGGTTAGAGAGGTAAGTATCTGTGAGCTCACGTTCTGCTGGGGCCCCTGTTGTGACCCAAGCTAATCCCCCGCGGCGATGCTCTGCTCTGATTGGCTGCAGATTACATAGAGCCCGCCCCTTAAAGAAGAAAGGAGGGGCAGAGGGGTTGTTTTCGTCTGACAACAACAAGCCTGCTGCGTTTCTTCCAGTCACAGCAGCAGTAGCAGCAGTCACAGCAGGCAGTAACCCAGCCAGAGCAGGGGTTTACATCAGGGAAAATGTCTCTGAAATACAGTCCTGTCTCGGTCCTTGTGGGGTGGAGCCAGGGCGGTTCTTGCTGAGGTCCACACGGGAAAGAACACCTGTCTACATGCTGCGGAGAGAAACACGGCTGTGGCATAACAAAGGCTCAAAGTTGTGATTCCAGCGCCTGTCCACGGTCGAACCCCAGCCCAGAGCCCCGAGTGGAGTCAACAAGAAGCCCCGAACGAACCCGTAGGAGCCCCCGGGGGTGAGCGGAGTGAGGGGGACGATCTTACTTCACCAATGCTGCACCGACTGACCAGAAGAGCCTGTTGTGGGCCAAGTACCACGATATGAAGCGCCTGGTGCACGGTGAGACCTTACAAGACCATACAAGTGGAATCTAATGCACAATAATCATACTAGTTAAAGCTTTGGATGATCCTCTGTATGCATTTCTACTACACTGCACTGTGCTGTATGCCATGTGGCTCATAAGTCTCTCTTAAGTGGCTAAACTGTCTGAGACTTAAAACCCAGACCCGTTTTGCTTCAAGACAATGGGAGAACTGTCAAGGACGTTGCTTGAAATGCACTAATGAAAGAATCCACTCGCTGTCAAAGTGTTGATTGTATTTTCTTGCCTGGGCAGGACCAGGACACGTCTTGCAAAAAGCCAATACGTGCATCCTGAGAGGGGGAAGTGCGTGAGCGGCGTGCAGAAACAAAAAACAGACTTTACAGGAGCTACAGTACATGCTGTACCCATCAACATCCGTAGAAGGGAGTTTAGATTCAGGGTTTTGACGTATTGAAGTATTTTGCTTACGTTTGAGGCTTTTTCAATGTTTTACTCCTTACTTCTAATCTAAATCCAGAATAGTGCAAGTTCTCATCCTTACATTATAAAATGAGTTGGCAGCCCACCATAAAAAAACGGGTCTCACTCAATCATGCAGTGTATCTCGGTCCTTTAATTGTACTTCTATACTTTTACCTAAGACAGGAAATGGTGTTTTTACTTTTACTGAAGTACTCAAGAAGCACTGGGACAGAACTCTTGCCACCTCTGGTAAATGACCACTACAACATAACATCATTACCTGTTGTGCTTAGTTTAATTGTAAAAGTAGGTCATGCATTATTTTTTTCAGATAACATGTCACACAGCCCAGGGTGATCACATTGGATTTCAGTGTTATTCCATATGGCCTACTTGCACGTGTCCTTATTTGCAGCCAGTACTTATTGCTAACTACAAAGCACACATTATAAAGTCAATATGATTGTGCTAAAGTTGGTGAGATCACTGTACTCCTGCTACGTCCTGCGAACACGATACAAGTGTTGTGCACAAAGTTGCTTGGGCCTGATTTTTTTTACAGACAGTTGGCTCGTTGTGCTCTTTTTGGAAATTCTTGCTTAACCAAAGCCGTGTCCGTTTACATATTGACTGCGAAACATCTGTCCTTTTGCCAATCCCACTCAACTGGAAGCAGCAGAACTGGACTGTTCTGTTTCCTGCGATCCTGCTTATCATCAGCTGTCAAAACATTGTGTTTTCACAGTAGGACCAGGGCGAGTTTGAGTCTCAGATGTGGCTGCTCTTATTTCTGTGATCTGGGGCTCCACGAGTTTAAAGAAATGTTTCACACATGTTTACGATTCGATTTGCAATTTCTTGGATTATGTTCAAAGTGCACTTGGAGGATCAAAAGTTGAGAGTAACTGAAACCTGAAACAAAACAATGAAGTTGTATTTTTTTATTTTTCACTCTTGAAATGAAATGAATACAAATCTCACTTGAAATTTCAGTTGAAATCCCACTGTGCTTCAATTTGATATGACCGGACTTTCATATTAGCAGATAAAACGGTGAAAATGCACTGAAATAACGAGAAATACTTTCTTAACTTAATCTTGCTTTCACCTGTTTATGATATTAGCAGTGATTGTTGTATTTCTAAACACATGGGCAGAAAGATTGTTATAACTTGCAACAAGATTATTTTGCTGTTTGTAAAGCAAATCTATGCCGGGTTGCAGGGACATCAGTCTGAGCAGAGACGCCCAGACTTTCCAATCGACGCACACTTTTGGCAGGTTGCAGCCACTAATATTGGGATTGAGATCAATCATGCACTCATCCCCAGGCTTCTACTCTGACCTTGTTGAAATCCAGATTGAAAACAGTTCTGTTTCGCTGTGCAGACGACAGAAGTATTGTATCTTCAAAATGTTAATGCACTGTGATTATTTATGATTTTAATGTCTCGTGTGAATGTTTCTTCTCTTGTTTGGTTCAGCACTTTGCCTTGTCTATAAACTGTGCTATACAAACAAACATGCCTTTCCTTGCCTGTTGATATAATTATTCTCTATCTACATTCCTTTTCTTTCAGAGCTGATTCCACCAGGAGCGTGCAGCGTTCTCATGAATGCAGCCACAGCGACTTCAAACAGTTTGGATACTAGCGAAGTTCTCATTCAACTCTGCGGTGAGACGACGGATTTTTTCTAGATCTGCAAGGTGGCACGGTCGCTCACACGGAGTCAGGTGAGGCGACTATAAAGTGCATGTTTGGCCAATATCATTTCCTGTATGTTCCTGTTAGTGTGTTCGCCTCTGTGTACACGTGTGTTTCAGTGGGATAGTGCTATTTGCTGAAACCCTGAATTAAAAAGATAAAAACATCGTTATATTAAAAACTGACCACACCCCGGCTATACAAAGATGATCCCCGTATACTAAAAGGTGCACAGAGAGTGCAGTACTGCATACTATGACACACTGGAAGATTGCTATATTACAAAGACACACTGTTTAAGTGAAGAACTCACAGGGTCAAGATCGATTCTTGAAGTGGGCGAATGGAAAGGGTGGCTGCCAATCTGAGTATGCGGATTATGTGATATCTGGCATTGTAGCCATCATTGGGACAGGGGATAAAGGTCAGCTTGGAATTTGTTTTTTCAGTTAATTTTAGCATCAATCCCCCTTGCCTTAGTTTTCGGAAAAAGCATTTAAAATAAATTCTTAGATTCAATTGCATTTGTTGCCTACCTGCAACGAGAAGACAGACACCGGAGCCAAATTAACATTCCTTTCTAGTACATTCGTGCACGTGCCCATTTAACTGTGCCTAGTTGTATAAAAAATTGGAATCTATGAGAACAAGAATAAAGTTTAACAAATATTATCGCTGGTACCATGCATGAGATAGAACACTGTCAATACACATATCAGTAAATAGATAGATGGACAGCAATTACAAATGAAATCGGTTATGGCTAAATAGGAGGCCTACATACTAAAACTTAGTTTATTTAGATGCTGTTAATATGCTTCAATATTTAGCCTGAATACACGGTAAATTATTTAATGGATTAAAATGTAAAATTACATTTAATCAATCTGCTTTACTAAGTGTTTGGACTGTACCACATCCAGTCTACCCCCCCCCCCCTCCCTTTTGAGAAATTAATTTAAAATTTATGTGGCATAATTTAAAACCCGACAGGAACCATCCGAGCTAATATTTAATGTAAACAGCGTGCCAAACGCCTTAAGTAACTTATTGCTAACTGAGGCAGCCATGAAAAGGATAATAGGTTAGGCCCATTATATGAAATTCTAAGTTGGGCGTGGCAAAACCTGAACAGTCCGACGCATCTCGCTATCCTGCGAGCAGCCTATCTTTGACATGTCGAGTGGGCACAAGATCCCTATTTTATTGTCGAGACACAGTGATATGTGTGTAAGAACTGAGGTTGTACGGGTCCGGGCACAGCCAGGGTTGCTACTTGACATGTTCTCCCTCCTTGTTGATATGGACCAAACAGTCGTGCAACCACTGCTAGAATAAAGTGACAATAGGTTATGAAATACATGAAAATCTACAAAATAAATGTACGAGTGCAATAAACACAAGGCAATTTCCAAAACCTTACTCCAACAGGGTGTCTAGGGTCATAGTGTGTGCGGGCTGAGAGAAATTGAGGGCTATGAGCGGTCTGCGCTGCACAAAATGCAAAGGGATTTAGCAGATATGCCAGCTTTCTATAGTTAACTGTAATTTTTAGTATACGGAGAAATTCCTTCATCAATCTGACACATAACACAAAACAGGACTTAAGTTTTCAGCGGATGGCCGCATCACGAAACAGGTCGCACGATGTCACTGTTTTTTTTTCTTCGCCTTGAAGTCATCACTAAACTCTTACTACAACTGAGCAGGTTAGTTAATTTTGATAGCTATAGATGCTTCTGTCTGGTGACATGGCTGACCTACTGCCCACCAATACTGCTGATTGAGCTCAGCACCGCCGCTAATTAGCACTACAGGCAACACAGAAAAACTACATAAAATAAATAAAATGAATAAATGTAGAATACATAATAAATAAAATGAGAAATGTAGCGACACAGAAATACTAAAATAAATAAATGAGAAATGTAAGAACACTACATAAATAAATAATGAGAATGTAGGACATACAAAAATAAATAAATGAAGAAATGTAGAAATACATAAATAAATAAATGAAGAAATGTAGAAATAATAAATATAAATGAAGGAAATGTAGAAATAATAATAAATAAATGACGAAATGTAGAAATACATAAATAAAATATGATAAAATGGATAAATAAATACAGGAAAAATGTAGTATTGATAAATAACCTAAATAAAAGTTATTTCTTGATTTCAGAGTATATTTAGGCATATCAATGTAAACTAATTAGTTTTTATTGTCCAAAATGAATTGTATTTTATTCATATATTTCTGTTTTTTTATTTATTTATTTTATTTATACTTAAGTATTTTTGGGTCCTCCATATGCAGAGGGTACGAGTAGTAGCGCTATAAAAATGACGGGGCAATCCAAGCAGACTTTAGAACTATCGAAAAGAAGAAGAGAAGATTGAGGCACTCTGTTCTGTGGAAAAATAAGTCATTATTAAATGGACTGCCATTATACTGTAATGTACCAGATATTGCAAGAAGGCTATTTTTCATCTGTTTTCCCTGGACATATTTACCTACAAAGTTGTAGTATAGGTCAAATCAGCCCGCTTTGCACATTTAAAACTTGATCTTTTACATCCAAGACTTTTTTTGATTTCTCACCTGCATAACTTGAAAAAGAGATGCTCACAACTTACTAATTATGGACTGTTTTTGTAAATGTTACATCCGTCGTGTCCTGATCAAATGACCAACACAGGAAAGAATATCTCTTCTTTTCTCCTCCTCCGTTGTTGATGTTGAGAGTATATTCTTTTCCTGTGGAGGTCACTTAGGATCCGGTACACTACGGATGTAACAGTTTACAAAACAATTCCAATTAGTT